ATTTTAACAGATTTTAAATGAAGATAATCATGATGTATAAATGTTAACTCTTTTTGGCCTTGTTATGTTGAAGTAGCTAAAAATAAACTTTTCAGGTCGTTTTTTGATATTATGTACTGCGGATACAGTAGAATATTTCTGTCTGATGAAGCGTCACCTCCCAGAATTCGTATTTATTACTTTACGGCTGACACAAAGTGCTATATACGAACACCTCAAACAATACTGCGAAAAATCGCCCGTTTTACACGACTTTTCTGCCTGGAACCGTTCAAAATGCAGCTTGGATATGCCATTAAAATAAATAAACAACGAAATAAATGACCATTTTAAATACCCTAGGCAGTATTATATAGCAGAAAGACATGTGGGACGGATCAAACATGACAAAAACAAATAATTTAAGTTAAAAATGTAAACATGACATAATTTACAAAAGCTCAACAGACATGCAGAGAGCAGACCAGAGGGCCACTTTACGACACTTACGCGAGCGTGGGCGGCCGGGAGAGCACGTTTAGTGCGTGATATGAACTCGGTTCGGCCCAGCGCTGCCGAACACTACCTCCGCGTGTGCTCCACACCTGGATTGTCGTACATGTAGAGAGCAGAACAATTTGTTGCCGATCAAATATCCAGCTATCATCATCCAAAATTTAGTATTGGCTTGGCTTCGGAGATTCGCATGGAAATATGTATGGCATCTTCATCCAGGGGTATTTCTACACTGGATTCTTGACTCAAAGACTAATACAAAAACGTAAAGCAAAAATTCTCAATGCATGTTATTCCGGTTCCGTTTTTGGCAAACGCTTCTTAACAACTAAATAGTCATGCAAAATATACTTCGTTATTGCCAAAAAATAGATAATTGCCGTGAATATTTTGTCTGAGGGATATTGAAGAAAAATGACTTAATTCATGAGATCAAATTTGTTGGCCAGTTCGTAGAGTTTTTGAAAGCCAACGAGTGTGACAAGGGATTAATTGACTAGCAAGAAGTCTTTCTTTGAGACGCACGTAAAAGAATGAAGATCGAAGCCATCTATAATCGACTCCGAACTGTTTGTTTCCTTTTCTTCTCTGCTGAGCAAACTGCTTCATCACTCTCTTGCTCCTTTCTTATACAAAATAGTGTAATCAGTCCAGCAAACCTTTGGTCCTGTGCATAGGAATGTTTATCATTGTGCTTTTGTAGTTTAAGAGCTATATTTTTCATCAGGTGTACAATGTGTTCAGGGATAACTAAATATGCACCAATACACTATACACATAGACTGGAATGACCTTGATTCCTCCACCGAAAAATGTTTCCCGTTTTCCCCTTGGATCATTGGGCGGTAGGGTTTTAATTATTACTTTGCGGCTTAAACGCGTATTAGGGAGTGCCGTTTATAGCAAATCATGCAGAAAAAGAGCATTTTTCAGGGAATGTGTGTTTGTTGGGTGTGTGTTTATAATATCAATAATACGTGAAGATATACAATCATTCCAGGCACACATAAATTATTTTTGTTCAAGCGTTTCCTTAACGGAAATGTAGAGAAATACCTCTAGTTTCCAAACAATTAACCTTGTTGAATTCCGACAATTACCTTGTTTGTTGAACCAAGAGTCGTCGACTCGTTCGGAAATTGTCGGAATATTCCCAAGATGCATCACCTAGACTTTACACCATTTATGAAAAGCTCGACGTCGTTTCGGAATTTTTCGTCGACTCGGAATCGGAGACATTTTTGCTGACGTCTGTTGCTGCGTGTTGTTCCGGGGATACGGAAGCTATATGAACACCTCTGGATCTAATTTGAGTTTGTTCAACACGAAAATAAGCCCACGCGGTTTAAATGTGTGGGTGGTTTTGATTTGCGCATGAGGTTTCTGGTTTGTTATTCTTTTACCGTCTCTAATGTACACAGGAAAAAAAATGAAGCTAAGGTACATAGTAAAACAAAGCAAATCTAAGACAGAAATTTCCCTAAAAATAAATAAAGAAAAAACCAGAAGGAATTCAATGGCTGAACAATTGTAGCTAAAGATTGTCGGCAATCTTTTTTGTCTTCCTTCCACGGTATTTTGAACATAACAAAAAGATAGCCGGGATTAGCTCATTAGCCTCAGTATATAGTTATCGCGAAATCACGAGGGATTACACTAAAGCGAAACTGGCACTGTAGACTCTAATGAAAATTTATTTGTCAAAAAGTCACTGATCAAAATGAGAACTTAATTTTTGGTGTAATTTTAATCATGTTAAACTGACAACATTGACTGATGATTAAGGTAAAGAGTCATTTTAATCGATATTTGAATAATACATGATTTTTATCGTCATTAGTATTGATTACTAAGAAGTAACGCGTTATACTTTAAGATTAGTGTACCAGATTTTGGAATGTAACAGATTACATTTTTGTTTTACTGTCGTCTTTTCTAGAGTTCCGAGACCAAAAAGGTTTGTTAATACCACTCCTAACTTTGTCAACATGCGTTCTAATTTAAGCCTAAAGTATTTAGGCGTAACGGAACAACGGACATAAATAGAATTCCATCTCCCGACCGAATGACATAAAACTTGCGTGGAAGATATCGATAACTTATTATTAGCACGAAAACACTCGTTTATAATATACCAGTGAAAGTCGATAGAGCTTTGTTTACCACAAGGAAAGCTGTTAGGAAAACACAACCGCGTTGATCAGGATATAAGAAGAAATTATTTCCACAAGGTAAGAAAGAGTAATCTTTGCTGCCGATAAAAGCAAAAAGTGGGTACAATACAGATACCTTCTTTTAACACGTTATGTTAAAGCGATATTTTTGACTGTCGGTGTTAATTTCATCTGGTTTTCAAGCCCAATTGTCGAAGATTATTATCCTTGTTAGAAAAGCTTAATAACTTTTCCAAAATGATTGACTCGGAAATAGCAAATTAGCAGCGTTTTGAAAAATAATTTGGCATTCTGAGGTGAATGAAAATGGTAACCTTAGAGTTCACTCACGTTTAGAAAAACATTCTAAAACTGACGCATTATAAAAACATAATTTGTTTACCCATTGCCTTTTATAGCCATGAAAACTGCTCTTTGATTTGAATGGTTGACCATGCATGTCTGTACTATTCAATAGTTAGTTTTTTTTGTGTAAAATATATATAGAATTTGCAATTATTTATCACCTGATCTCCCACTCGTTGAACAAGTGCCTCGTGATTTAAATCTAAGTAAATTTTTTTGCGTCAAACTGTCATGATAAAATGCCACCTTCTATAATATTGAACTGATTGCAATTTAAAAAGCACGTGTTTGTAGCGCGATGGACAAAATATGATGAAATATTCCCTCCTTATTTCCCTCCCTCCTTGGCATGCTATGACGTCACGTAATGCTTCGTGCAGGGTGACAAATTGCTTTCGACGTAAATTACACCACACATCACTGGGGGTTGTTAATTTTCAGTCTTATGAAAAACATATTTTTGTTTAAAAATTGAGAACTTCAAAAGAAAGAAAAAAGGTCGGACAATTTCAGCGGAAACTGCGTTCGCAACAGGACACAATTGTTATTTGTCCTGAAGTGCTAAAATACTGAGGGAAAGCCATCACAAGTTACTGTTTCTCGATTGTTTCCTCTGTTACAAAACCAATATCTCTAACAAAAACTTCGTTAAAAAAATTTAATGAAGGAATTCTACAATAACGGAGGACAGTAAAATGAATATAAAATTGAAAGGGATTAGGATGTAAAAAGAAAAGCTTAAGTAGTTTTCCGAGAAAACAAGGAAGAAGGAAGGTTTGTTCGTGGTTTACCAGTAGACACTTCACCACAGCTGAACAACGCAAGGATGCAGACTGAGACAACATTAATGATTATAAGACAGGAAGTCGACGGAATTAGTTATCTTATACCTCCAGGCGTCATGCTTTTCCGCCGAGTCCTATTTGTTCGCTAAAGAAAAGTATAGAATATTTTTGCTCGAAAAACACTTGTAATACTAATACCAGTCAGTCACGCGAGCCAACACACACTTCATTATAAATAGAGGAAGGCACTTATTACGGCCAGCCTTCCATAAAATTTTCACAATAGATTTTCGCAGCGTTCGGTCTTGTGTATCGGAGCTCTCTCCTATTTTTTAGATTAAACGTTAATTTTTTGTAAACTTCCAGTCGAAAATGAATGACAGGAACGGCAAACGCGGCACAAATACCGCTAATAAGTGAAGGTTACTGATCAAAACCGGGCTTGGTTTTGTGAACTCCGCATGTTGTCTCCGTTTACACTGCTGCAATTTAGTACACTGCAAATAGGATGTAAAAAACTTAGCGACGAATTCAAAATAGAGATATAGCCACTTTACTTATTTACAAAAGGAAGTAGGACGATGAACTAAGACCAAGATAAGTAGCTTTATTTGGGGAAAATAGACCACCGTAAACTAGATCGATAACCTCTTAATTTGTTAAAAAACTTCCTGGCCCCGGTGTAAGCAATACGTGTAAATCAATACAGGAAGATAAAATGAATGGGCTGGGTTTTCACGTACATGGATCAATGAATCTGATACAATTTTGTTGTGGGAGGTCACAGGTGCGGCAAACAATGTCATGGGATTTAACCAAAACATTTTAAAATTAGAAAAAGGTGTTGGATTTTAAGCCACTCATAATCATTAGAACGGAAAGCTAACTGTTAGGGCCAGAGTTAAGGGGAATAACTGAAAAATTAACAAAGAAACTTGGTAAATACGAAAGTAACTCACCATTTCCGGCGTTTCAATTTGTCGCGGCTGTGTGATGCCATCTAAAAGCGGAAGTTTGCTTGATCAAGCTTTTCGTTGATTGGTTGTTAGGCCGTAGGGAGGGAATCAACGTAAATGACACATACTATGAGTTCCTTGATCGCGTTGCAGTTCATTCATTCGTTGTCTCCAATTCTTGTTGCAGCATCTTGGAGGAGTCAAGAAACCAAATCTACCCGGTAATACGTAAAAACAGAAGAAACATGGAGTCTGGCATGTGCAGCATTTGTAGAACTATGTCAAGGATATCCGTGCTAATTGCAGTGATCATGGCCTCGCTTGTTTTTCAACAAAGTAAGTGATTTCTTAATGCCTGCAGACGGCATTTTTTTATAGATACAATCGTTTTGGTGGGTGGAGAGATTTTTTCTGCTTTGATTTCTCTGAAACGCCGGCCAAGCGAAATCAACTAGCCAAACGCTAGAGGTCGAGATCAAGATGGCGATGCTTAGATCGCTTGACCGTGAGTAAGAAACCCGCTCACCATAAGAATTAACTCTTGGTTCGACCAAACCGATTTGCATAATCATGTTTAATGTTTAAATGGAAAGTCCGACAATTTGAAGTCATTCGTCTTTAATAAGCTTTTCTCCTACCGAAGCACTCCATACCGAGTAGGTTTGAATCAAGGTTTGATGGTTTTAGACTCTGGGGACGTGTACTCGTATTAAATTAAGCGATTGGTATACATATTGATTTCAGTTTAAAAGCTTTGGCGTGAAAGTTGTCGCGAAATTCAGTTGTTCCACATGAATGAAGAAGTTACCTCGTGCTCTAGATTGTTTAGATCAGCTAAGCAAACGGTGTCGCTATGTGGGCTGGTTTTCGCAACTTTTCTCACTGTTTTCTGATTTTCTGCTTACGAAATGATAATTCATTTATGTACAAACGTGGGAAAAAATGCGTGGAATTTGCCACCATCTTTTGCCAAACAAATTTACGACTTGACGACTTAACCTTTAGCGAATGTTTGTTACCGTTTCATTAGTTCCTTGGGACCGACAGATTATAACCTCTGATGATTTACAACTCAACGTGAAAAGAATTGTGCTTCCGTAAATATTTTAAAATACCCCCGTAAATTTCGATGTTTTGACGCGTTGAAAGGCTACATTAACTGTCTGATCAAAGAAAACAGTTTCACTTTGACGATATCAATTTTAAGTTTAAAAACTTTGTTTGTTCACTCCCACTCAAAAATTACTTTGTGGGCGTAGTGTTATAAATATTTTATGCGCAATGAAAATACCACGTTTTCCACATGCTTGAGTAGTATGCTGCAGCTAGTATACAAGATATCTTGAGTATTTGCGTGAAAAAATCTACTAGTCACGAACGTTTCCGTAGCTACAAGAATTAGCTCGACTTTTAATCACTTATAAGGTAATTGACAAGTTGATTCCATCCAAGTTAAGACCTAATTAAGTTTCCCTAAGAAGAGGAAAGATTATTTCAAAACAAATTTTGAATGCATTAATTAACTCATTGGATAACGTACTACGGTAGTCATAGTATTCTTTATGGACCACATTATAGAACGCTGGGAGAAGTCAACTGTACAGAGATAAACCTGTTCTTTTAGCAACACGTTAATACAATCAACAGCTTGAACTCTAAAGAAACGAGAGGTACAACAATCACTGGAAAAGTTTGAAAAAAGAGGAAAAATGTCACACCAAAGCTCTTTTCTCTCGGAAAGGAGGTTATCAATGTGCCACAGGAACCGCATTGTGAAACATAAAATTAGTGACAAAAAGTAGAATAGTTATGGACAAAAGATTGCACCATGAATAATTCACCTGGTTAAAAGGGTGGAGCAGGATGATTCATTCATAAGTCATAACAACTTTGTAAGAACAAAAAAGGTGGTAAAAAGAAGCATGAATGAATAAAGGGTGCCAACAGAGAAGAACTGAATCTTCATACAAGGCTGACCCCTTCCCTAAACATATAATGTTAGATATGATTTAAAACTAGATAAAGACTATCGCTTAAATGCTTGTACAAAAGCTTCTTAAACTTGCTAACACTTACTACCTCAACAAGATTATTCGGTAGGGAATTCCAGTTTTCAATATATCGTCATCAAAAAGAATACACTTTGAAATATTTGCTTGTGCCTAGGGTTTCCAAATCTTATATCTGTTGGAATATCTTGTGAGTTCCCCTCCCCATTGATAGGCTCATCTACCTGTAAACGAAAAAATGCATCCCCCCTGAAAATAAACTCTTCTCTAGCTTGCAATGAAATGAATTTGACTTTTTACAACATTTTGAAGCATAAAAAAGTGATCAAATTCAAAAAAGTATTTTGATCAGCACTGTTATGTAGCTTGTATTGAAACACTTTTTTTAAGTCTGGTTATCATGCCCCCCGTTTATAAGCCCTTGCAAAACCCCTTATGAAGTTGTATAAGCCCAGGGCTTAATAACAATAATTAATAATTTAATATTTATATTGCACAAAATACGTGTAAATATGATCAAATGCGCAAAAAATGAATCTTATAAATGGAAGTGTACAGTATTGTCCAATTTGGCATTACAGAAACCCTTAAAAATACTTGAAAAGTACAACTGTTGTACAAGACTTAAGAAATTACAATGGGTTTTCAAATCCATCCAATATGATTTACAGAGCTTCCTAGAAATCAGGAACCTGAAAACCTGAAATCCAGGTCTCGACTACACAGTTCTTATAAGTGAAACAATACTGTGGAAGTAAATGTGTGAGTTTACAAAAAACAACACGACCTCTCTAAAGGTCTTAATTTTTCTGTCCCTCTGAGTCTCTCAAACAATGATTCATATTTACTCGGGGATATTCTTTTTTCAGCATGTGTGTCATCATTAAGACTGCTAGAACAGCACTGCAAATTACGACCAACAATAATTCCAGTAGGAAAAGAGGGTTTCAAACCACACCATATAAAACTGCATCAGTGCCAAGGAACGTGTGGTGACTCACAGCCCAGTCAAAAGCCATGTGCACCAGATTCAATACAAGAAATAAGCTTGGATGTAACAGATCTTACCTCCGGCCAAAGAGACACAGTTACTGTGTTTAATCATACGAGTTGTAAATGTGATTGCGAAGTAATAAATAAGTGTAAATTGGATAAAGGAGAAATGCCAGATGAAAAGAACTGCAGATGCATTATCTTGCAAACTGAACCAGTAGGAGAAGGAAGTGATAATAAAAAAGGTTAGTGTGCTTAAGTTTGCATGTTGGAAAGTGTTTTTCCTACAGCTTGTAGTTTGAGATAACTATAAGCAAAAATAACATTAGTAACCTCAGCTCTCCATGAAACCCCATTTTGAGTAACCAGAATTTATAAAGACCCTCCTCTCTCATATAAGCTATGCCTGTACCTATAATTGCCATGATCTACCTTGTTACATTACACATTCATTTTTCATTAATGACATTACCAGTAAGTGAACGGAAACACATTTAGTGTTTATCAGCACAAATGCAAAGGTTTGATGCAAGACAACTGACTCACAAAACAAGTAATTTACATGTAGAACCATAACCAGCTAACAAAGAAGGCTAAAATATTGCTTTCTTGTCAGTAACACCTCTTATAGAAAAAAAAAATGAATTACTGCTATCATGGGTCGCAGCTATAATAAACCAACCCTTGAAAATGGCTGAGGAAAAATGCCCCTCTGGGGCTGATCATAGAGGTTACAGTACTGAGCAACCCTTTTGTTTATACTACAGTGTATATTACAGACACCAAAAATAGAAATAAACTTTTAAAATCCTTTTTAGTAAAAGAGATGATTATATGGCTAGTAATTTATAATTTTGTTCTTTTCTTCTCTAGTGGATGTCCTCCCCTATCAGATTGGCTTAGCAGTCCTAAGCTTGTTTGCCCTGTGTGTGCTAGTGTTGGACATGATCATGTGCGCCAAAGGACAGGGTGTGATATATAAAGTCAGAGAAAAATGCTGCCTTTCGGATCGCGTTGATGGCAACAGAGGTGAGATGAGTAATTATGACAGACAGTGTACATTTATTATTTTAGACCCAAGGGTGAAAGCATAAGACTGTTCTTTCGATAAAAGAAGTACTGACAGTCTGCACATAGTGAATAGGTTAATTTTGGTTTTTATTAATTAAGGTGAGGTACGAAGAAATGGACAGTGCAGTGCAGAAAAGGAAACAAGGAATGGACATACAAGCCCAGCAGAGGAACGTGTATAATTAAAAAAAAGAAAAGATGGCACCAAACTCGTCTGAGAGAGGCGCAAGAAGCAGGATAAATTGATGAACTATCTGGTGGTATTAATATTCTTACTGCCTGGAGTCAGTTTTGGTTTAAAGAGAAATTATCAAACTTTAGCATGCATAGATTAAAATTGCACCTTTAAATTATTAGAAGTTGAACTGAGATATAAATGTTGGAAAAAATAGCCTTCCTTGGGTTGCAAACCATGCAAGACATTGCTAAAAAATTTTTTTAAATGTATCTGAAAATAATTCACTTAAACAAAATTTACAAGTTTTTTCAAGAATTTGTTTTCAAAGTTTCTTGTTTCAACTGTATTGTTGAAAAAAGCTGTTTTAAATATGTTGAGTGCAAACAAGAGTTGGTACATACACAACAGTTTCAGATCAGACCAGCGTGCAAAGCAAGTTGTGTCCAATAGCTCTGGACTAGTGGATTTTCTCATCGGGGTAGTGAATTCTGTTCTCAACTTGCCCAACAGGCAAATGAATTTTTTTTTGGGGGGGGGCTTAGTAATAAAAATTACTCTTGGGCTGGTACATGCTAGTTGCAGCTTGCCTGAATGGCAAGCTGTATAACTGACTTTCTTTGTTCCCTGGATCCAACAAAGACTTTTGTCAAGTTTCGAAAAATACTTTCACGTCAACCACTAATGGGGTCAATCCAACATATGCACAATGAAGAATATATTTAAAAATTTCAGAGCAGAGTGTTTTGTGACCAAATCTACTAATGCACAATGTACATAAGCCATTACCAAAAATCAATAATATTGTTAATCATAGAGATTGTATAATAGCTAATTATATATTTGATTTTACAGTTTCTTGAATTTGTAATAATTCTTTTTTAGTTTCAATGAGAACTTGTATAATACCCTAGATGAGTAACACTGAATGGTATTTAAGTGTCTGAAGTAGAGCTATATTGTTCATAGACGTAACATTAAAAGATGTAAAAACTTATTATAAGCTATAACATAGCTATAATAACATCATTGTAGTATAGTTGGAGGGATGGGTTTAATTTATTACTTCAAGGTGCAGCTTTATTTAGTAATGTAAGAAAATTCCAGTACATTTTACATAGCCTAACATGAACTGTGCACTGTGGGATCTTGGGTAGTCCTTAAGTGCAAATACATGCACACTCTCCTTTTGTCATCTTGGGAAAACTCCCAAAATCCTAAATCTTCCCCTGATGTCATTTTTTTAGAACTAATAATTTAAAGCTACTAATATTATTGAAAGCCATCCCTTTAAGTATGCAATGTTCACAGATGCAACCTTCTTACACATAATATTAGTGAGTTTATGCAACAAGACGGTAGGAAGAAGAGGACGGCAAATCACTTGTGCTTGATGAACGTGAAAAGGCTATTTCTTGCATATTTAGTGGTGATCTTCACTAACATCAATGTTTTCTGGTCTTTAACAAGAAGATCTGTTAAAAAGAGTTGGAAATTTGGCGAAAAGTTATTTCAAACAAAATTATTGTCATGCCTTTCACACAAGGTTTGTCGTCTTCTTTCCTCTCCCATCCCATTACATAAGTTCACTATTTATCTCACAGAAACAGTTCTGTCAATAACCAACAATCCTTTTGGATTTTAAGTTGTTCACTATTGCGAACGCAGATTACAGATTAGTGTGATTCACTTTTCAGTAGAAGGTGACGCACATTGACAAAAAAGTCTTTTTTTAAGTTTTAGTATCTAATAATGCTAACACATTTTAACAGTAGGTGTGAAAAATAAAGTACAGGTGAAATTGTGCAGAAAATCAACTCCACAAGGGAACTAAAGACATACTGAAAAATTTTTGCCACGAATGGCTGCACAATTTTTTTGTTCTCACTGACAATATGGACACAAGAATGTGTTTACAGCCTTCTGGAATGAACAACCAACCACAGGCCCATAACAAGGGATGTTATGCAAATGTATAAGATAGTAGATTGTTCATGTCAAAACCCAAAAAACATTTTTTAGGTTAAATAATAACATCTTGTGATCAAGATTTTATGCTATTCAGTGAGTGAAACACTTTGGTACTGTCTTATGGCGGTACTACTTTGAAGTATTTTTCAAACATAAATTTGGTATTATTCCTTAACTTTCATTACAGACTTTTGTGAGTTAAAGGATCATTAATTTAATAACTGTTATTGAATAATTCATCTACAGATGAACACTGGCCTTATCGGCTTGTTTAGGTCTAGCTCTCATAGTCTGTTAGGAGTGCTTTAATTATAATATCGCTATTGCAGTAGTTGTCCAACCTGAAAAGACTTTACAACTCATTAGAATATGAGCTTAGAGTTCTGCATTATTCCCTCTGTTGTTTAAGTATATCGTTGGCAAAATTCAAATGGATTTTATGTTGTTCATTTGGGACATTTTAACATGACATTGGAAAACCTACGGGGGCACAGTGCTTTTGCTCTGTCTAGAGTACATCCATAGAACAAATTTCACAAATTATTTAGTATCAGTGAAAGCTTTTTGGTTTTCACTAATGATTTTAGTAATAGCACTTGTTTTACGAAATAAACGCTAGTAAACCATATAGTTTTAGGCTATTTAAAATAATTCTAGCAGATGTTTATCACCTTAATTTTAATTATTATTACATGATAGTTTACAGAAAGAATGGAAGTACAACATTTGTAACCTTTACTGACAATAGGTCTAATATTTACTTGAGATAGGCCATGTGAAAATGGTTAATTGTTATTAATAATAATTATGTACCTTTTCATTATTAGAATATACATGTACCTGTATGAGAATAAACTTGAAAAGGAGTTGAATTTTATTGTCATGGTCACTCAAGGCTATTTTCCACTTTTGTTAATCCAAGATGGGCATGTTTGAGAGGGGCTGAGGAGTTCAAAACCATGTTAACAGGTTAACTTGATGTGAAATCAAGTAGTCATCCTGGTATGGAACTTGTGACAGTGCAAGTTTTCTATAGTTGTGTAATTATAAACACTACTACAAGGAAATTTTTAAAAGTACTAGTATATCTAGTTCAAGCTGAGCAGGGTTTGCTACACATAATTAATTTCAGTGGAAGTTTTGATCAAGAATTAAAAATTAACAACAACAAGAACAAAACAGTACCTTCCCACCCTCACAACCATGAAGTGGGATGAAAATCAGTCATAAGTTTAAAAGAAGTTTTTAGTTTTTGCCAATTTCTGGCACCAACTTAACCTTAGAACATACTTGGTAACACTGAAGTTTTCATGTCAGTACAGTACTCGCACGCTTGTAAATTCTTCACTCCATTTCAGTCAACTCACAACTTTAACATTTATCACATGCAAAACCCAAAACAAATCAACTGGAAACTATTAATTTTGGTCTGGTGTTGCACCATTTTTATTATGATCTTACTTCGGCTGACCACAATAAATTAATATTAACATAAAGTGAAATACTTCTACAATATCTGAATTTATAGAGCATTTACCGCATCTCTATAAACAGCTCAAGATACCAATAACTTAATACAAAAAGCATAATGTACACTGAAATTTAACTATTTTTCAAAGGCCGTAATATTTAATATTTTGCTTTTGCAATTTGAAAGTAAAATGGATTTTGAGTATTACTTGAACCTCATAGGGAGATGAAAGCTGCAGCTTCAAATATTCTGTTAGAGCTTGAGTCAAAGTTAATTATACTTCTTTACACCAACAATCAAGGATTATATCATAAATTACATGGAAGCCTAAAAGTTTTGCAGCAAAAATTTATAGTATAGTGTTACTGTAAGTTACTAAACAGGCATGCTACTCCTTGACTGCTGGTTTAACTGAATTGAGAATTCTTAAAGAACAGCAAATTTTAATAATAATATATCTTGTTAAATTGATTCAATTCGTGACTGGTTTAAACTATCATGTATTTTGACAATGTTTTTCCTACATGTAGTCAGCTGCATGTGTTTCTGGACCTTCCATGTAAAGGTTTACTCAACCAATGTTGACCCAAATAAATATATCTAATTAAACAAACAAAAATATGACTGTGTTTACAATCTCTCCTCCCTACCTCAAATCATAATATTGTTGTTCAAAATGACACCATAAAATGTACAATAGTGGAAACGTGTTGATTATGACAGTTTATCCAGAGGGCAAATTAAAAAAATATCCATAAAGATAACAAATTTACCCTTCTAACAAGTTGACTGGAGGGAAGTACTTACACCTTCCCCAACCTTTCAACAATTCAAAATAATAAGAAGTAAAAGATATAAAAGCAGGATTTAAATCAAAATTCTCTCAAAAAGAGTTTAAAAAATACCTATCAATACAGTAAAGAGAATCTCCAGTGTAGATGCTTAGTTTACTTATCTAGAAGAGACAGCTGGATGATTTTCTCAAGTTCCTCTTCCTCTTGTTTTCTTAGTCGCTCATCTTCTTGCAGCTGTTGTTCTGACAATGCCATGGCCAACTGTAAGTCTTCATCATAACTGACAGCTCCATCACCAGCTTGTCTGTTTTCAGACAGATTTTGTGTTGGTTGGTCATTTCCTTCAATACCACTTTCTCTCATGCTCTCCCTTATGGCCCTGTCAACAAAAGAAGTGAAATGAAAACTGAACGCTGGGCTCAGGCCTCAGAAATACAACATTTTATCTATTTTTTTTTAGCTAGATTTAAAAATTTCAAATAAAAAATATTAATAACTTAGCATTTTTTGACACGAGTACGATGATGTATGGTGTATGATGATGGCTCTTTTTTTTTATTTGATTGCATCATTATCAGTGTACTGGTGTCTGCTTGTAGTACTGTAGAGAACAGTTTCCCTTAACGTCACATATCACAGGAAGCAGCTGGGATCCATCCAGGAAATGTCTGAGTATTTACCATTTTTGACCTTACAAAATTTGTATGCAAACTGTAAGCATCGTGTGCATCATATCAGGATACAATGTCAAACAAAATAAAAACTACTGAGAATAGCACTTACAATATTATCATTTTCTAGGTTTCATGCATAACCACTGATATAACAGACTTTTGGCTATGCATTACTATTGTCATAACTGAGAGTTCAGAAATATTCAAGTGACAATGACAGTAATAATAACAACCACACTGAATAATAACCAATGAATTTGATTCACTCTGCTTGACACTATCATTTCACACAAAACAATGTAATGTGTAGCCATCTCTCTGTTGTGCAACCCATCTGTCTTTTTGTGCATTATATCCAAAGTATTAGAACAATGCATATTCAAGCACTTCAAGGAATTTCTTTGTCCTTTGTTTAATAATGCACAACATCGGTTTCCTCATGGTCGCTGAATGGTCACACAGCTGTTGGCATTTTATCACGAAATTGGTCAGTCTCTAGATAAGCTCTTGCTGTTGGACATTGTGTATTTGGATCTTTGACAGTGTCTCTGACCAAAGGCTGCTTCTTAAACTCTCCCGGTATGGAGTCAGCGGCAAACTTCTGCAGTGATTCGAGACTTATCTAGGTGGACGCATTCAGCGGTGCTTGGTCCACGGTTTCACGTCAAGCCATACTCCAGTTCCATCAGGAGTTCCTCAGCGCAGCATCCTTGATCCTCTGCTGTTTTTAGCTTATGTGAATGATCTCCCACTGGTGATTTATAATCGTATCGCGATCTTTGCGGATGAATCAAAATGTTCCGGCATCATTGAAAGTCTACAAGACTGTGAGTCACTCACACTGGAGCAATGAACACCTATAAATGTGAGGTACTAATCGTCCTATGTAAGTGCCACCCATTTTGCTACAATTACAAATTGAACAACTCACTTAAAAATGTCACTGAAGTACAGTGTAAAAGACCTTGGAGTGACTATCTCACCAGACCTCACATGGGACACTCACATTAACACTATCTTAGAGCAAAAGCAAATAGCATGCTCGCATTTTTGCAGCTCAATAGTGTTATGTCATTCACTACAGACCATTGGGAATTACCATGATCCTGTTTGTAGGATCATGTATTGGCTATGCTAGTGACGTATTGGCTCGCAGAACGATAGGTAGTACAACAAAAATAGAGAGTCTTCGATGCAGGGCAACAAAATGCATCTTGAACAGGCACTGGCAGGAGTATATTTCGTATCTGACTATCATGAGCACCTTTCTTGCCTCAATATGCTGCCGTTAACATCTGGGATGAAGTGGAAGACCTAATTTTTTATTTCAAGTGTTGCAGTGGCTACTACTCCTTACCCATAGATGATTATGTCAAGCCTACATATAAAGGCACTCTTCCCACTCGCCACAGCTCTCATCAAGACTTACTAATTCCTAAGTGCCGCACAAAGCTCTTTCAATTTAGTTACTTCAGCTATATTACTAAAATCTGGAATGCTCTACCTGAATCCAGTCATACTCTTACCTCTCTTAACAAGTTCAATTCTCACTACTCCAATGCTATTCTGCTGCTTTTTGTGCACACTACGATGTCACTAACTTTAACACCTGGAAGTCAATCTGCTGCAAATGCAGCATGTCACTTAATCTTCTATTAGCTGGCAACTGCTGCTAATGACACTTTTTAATGGCTGCGGGAGTGAACTGTTCTTATACCACTTGGAAATAGGATGTTTATACTTCTTATAACGTTTTAAATGTTTACATTTTAGTATTTGAATGTGTATTATTATTAAGGGCACACTTAATTTGGAGCCATGCTCTTTTGTGTGTCTTGCACCATTGTCTCTGGCATTCTTGTAATTTGCTCAAATCTGTATTTTATCCTAGTCATATCTTAGTATATCCATGGTGAAAGTGATTAAATAAATATTAAATAAGTTCAGGCTAGAACACTTATGCTAGTATGTGACACTTTTAATAAATCATTAAAAGTGTTCAGTTTGATTATTACATAACACTTTATGACAGCCTAGGCCTAACATTTACCGTTGAAGGTCATCCTCTGTTTCCTGTTGACTGTCTGTTAAGGCCTGTAGCGTCACTCTCTGTTCAGGGTTCTGCTGGTATTCCAATAAACTCTGCTGTATTGCTAGCTGAAGCATCTCATCTTCCTCATCCCTGAGAGGAGCTGCCAAGATCAGGTGATCATCAGTAAGAAATAGCGTATTAATACTAATTTTTTTTCATTAATAATTTAAGGCCATTACTGTGAGAATGAGTGTCTTCCAGGTCAAGTTAAAACATCAACTGAGGCTGTGTATGGAATATAAAGTATTCAGATGCAATTTAAATTACACTGTAAGAGTGCCTTCAGTGGTCGTGGTTTAGGGTAGTTCACTACAACTGTCATCTTTCACATGATTTGGTGGCATATGGTCAGAGTTTCCTTCATGCAGTGTTTTCTTGCCACAAGGCTTCGTCCAGCTAGTTTTCCCCCACTTCCCTCCCTGTACTGTTACATTTTCTCCACTTATTTTTTTCACTTTGACAGCTACCTGTTTGTTTCCTTTTAATGGGGGCTCATGGCTGGGTAGCACCATTGTACCAGCCATGGGGGCAATATTCAATCTATGGGGCTGTCACAAGTCAAAGCCCCTGGATACCCTGGACTTGCACCCAACCTCCATCTAGCCATGAAGTTGTTTATAACTTTAATAATATTAGAACTTATACTTACCTGTAGGATGCTGATCCAGATTAACCTCTCTGTACCCTACTGGGGCATCAAAACAAGTTGTCTCTATGACACATCTTGAAGCCATTCCTGAGACAGCAGCTGCTTCTGCTTCATCCTGCTCTGCAGCAAAGGTCCCATTGTTCTCATCAATCTCCTTGATATCAACTTTTATTGCATGCACCCCAGACACTGGGGATTCTCCTCCACCAATATTACCAAATGTTACCTTAGCATTGAGGACATGAAACAGTGGAATTTCTAAATAAATAAGTAAAAAGTTTAATAGTTGACTGTTACAATATGGAAGTACACACAAATTTGTCTTTACAGTAGCTATACAATAAAAAGTCAAAGAAAGAGAATCTTTATCCTCAAGAGGAATCTAAATAGAGAGCAAGGTATTCATTAGAGACCTATAGAATTGAATGTGGCAGAGTTGACTCAGTTGAATGCTGGCCCAGTTGTTCAAACATTGGATAGAACTACAGTCGACTCTCTCTTAACGGACACCTCTATAAGACGGACACCTCCGTAAAACGGACACCTAGAGTTGGTCCCTGCCTTTCTTTACTTCCTTTTATTTGACTCTCTATAAGACGGACACCTCTCTAAGACGGACAGTTAGTGCTGGTACCAAAGGTGTCCGCCTTAGAGAGAGTTGACTGTATACTATACGATTCTACACTTACCTATTTTAACTGGGAATCCAGCTGGTAAATGAAGAGCAATAAAATCCCTCAGCTTTGCAAAATGAGTGTTGCTGATAGCCTGTAAAACAATGGATTACCATAAATTATTGTTGACAATTCACATTAAAATCATAATAATAATTATTATTATGCTAACCGGGGTCAAAACAAGAAGAGGATCTAACAGTATGCCGACTGAAGCAATGTTTAATGGTTTCTTTATATCTGATATAACCAGGGCTAAACTTTACGTCCAATTTTTCAGACCAAAATAACCCAAATCTAAATATCGGTGCAGGAAAGTCATTTTTCAGCAGAAGATTTTGAAGCCATTCAATAAACTCAAAGTTCCTGTTTCATCAGGCCTGAGTGGTTGTTCAAAGACCAATATCAATTATCACTAACCAGGGATTAAACTTTAATCCGTGTTCCTCTTTTGTTCAGAAGCAGTTTTTCTGTTCATTTTGACGATAGTCATTTATGAGAACAAAGGGTAGGCAAAAGATCTCAACAGGAATTTACTTTGTAAGTCTTTGCATTTACACCTGTATCCTGGTTGGGGGTGGGGGGATTATCTTGATCCTACTTTGAACAACCAGGTCCAGGGGTGTAATTCTGGAGGTGATTACAGTTAGATAATAGCATGTTTATAAAGGTTAAAATTATTGTTGCTATTTCTTTTTCTTGCTCCAAGGTTCTTCTTCCTGGTACTCTAATCTACCCAGAAGCTATCCTCAACAATCAGCATTTTTCAAATTGCAATTTAATCAGAAACATATGGGAAATGGAGAATCACTGTAAGTGGATGTGCTACCACTGAATAATATCATTTTTTTACAGTTAAATTTTACTATTTCATACAGTCACTAGAGTCGTAGGTCATAGCACTAGATCTACTCTGTCTCATGTCCATTACTCACCAATAATTTAACAATGGGAAGTACTTGATCTCGAAGAGACAAAGGGTGTTTATCAGCCATTGAAATGGTGGCTTTAAACTTTTGCTTCTTTACTGACAATTCCTTCAACTTGCCAATATCTGTTTTGTCAGTAGAAACAAGTTCATCAATAAAAATATCTGTTAGTTACACTGTGCAGTATTTGTAAGAATATTTTTGAAGGTTCCAATAATTAATTTTTCTTCAAGAATAAGATATTAAAATTAATAATAATAAATAATAAATAACAGCAACACAGGAGCAAACATCAAAATATTTAGAAATGGAAATAACCATAATGAGCCCTGGAGGGGGGAGTACTCCAGATTTCAAGTCATGGGGGTGATAAAAATTTGTATTATTAGTGTGTGTTTGATCTAAGTAGGGATTTTCATGGGTATTTAAAACAATCTGAGGATTTGCAGAAGTGCAGCATATTCTGGCCACATACCTGTAGGTCTGCTAATAAAATAATACTAGTTACATGTTACTGAATGCACTCTAGCAAGAATCAGGGCTCGAAATTAAAAAAATCCTCAGGTTGCCAGATGTAAATTTTTAACCCTCAGTTTGTATGATGTAAATGACATAGCTCATTCATTGTATGGCATGATCCATGATTTATACAGTAGTCTGTATAAATTTGGAGGTAAACTGGCTTTGTTTATGCAATTTGGCACATTTTTTATGACAAAAGCAAAGCAAAATAAGATGAAATGTTTGTTTTAACTTTACCCTTTTTATTAAAATCTAAATCATAGAGAAATCTAGTCCCCAAAGTGGCCAAAGTGGTGACTTAACCAGAATTTTAAGTCACCAAGGAGAAAATGTTAGTTGCACTGGCAACCGTATCAGTCACAATTTTGAGCCATGCATTTTGCTGCTTTTGTATATTTTTATACCATTGGTCCCAATAACAGCTGTACACTGGCTAATACCACCCACACTGTATGCACACATACCTCTTGTATTTTGTTCTGTAGAGGGGTTAAAGTATTCCTCAATACTCATATGATAAGGGTTAGAAGATGAAGGATCTACAATAGCTCCAGTCTGTTCCTCCTGGTGATAAAACAACAAGAAATAAAAATACGCAAACCATAGTGGGACAATGTGAATCAAGTCATTCCTTAAAAAAGCACAACTGTTAATATTAAGCCCAGGGCCCTGTTGTTCAAATGCCAATTAGCACTAACCTGGGGTTAGATTTTAATCTGAGTTTCTTCTTTTTGTCCAAAGTCATTTTCTCAGATACACTGTAATTTTCTCCTTTTTTTTGCATCAGACAATCATCAAATTGCATGAGAGGCACATTTTATGAGGTAGATTTTTGAAACTACAGTTCTACTACTCGTAGTTACGTAGTATAAAAAATAAAAGGCAGGTTGTAATAATACCATAGTAGCATAGTCATTAGTGGCGTAGTAGCGGATAGCGTGTTGTTGTTCCCAGGCCTTAAAACTTAATGTCCTTTTAAGCTTTAATTTCCTATGTGACTTCAAATTTTGCATTAACCCTGGGTTATCTTAACCCAGCTTTCAACAACCCAGCCCAGTTGTAAATCTTAAAATAACAACATATCTGTTATAGTATAAAATTATGATCTCAGTATGTCACCTCTACATTAGCTGAAAAATTCTCCTCCTCAATTCCCAGTAGGGTCTGAAGACCATTTGCAGCAAAAGTGTCATTGGTGTCTATGGAAGGAAAATTGAATGATTAAAACAAATCAGTGGATTAGACAGGAGAGGGTTTAATAGAGATTCCAATCTTTCTGTTATTGGTGAAGTTCCACTGGTCATTATGTACACGGGAATGCAGCAACAACTGACTAATTCAATTCTTTAATGATCTATGGGTCAATAAAATCCATCAGCTCCATGTGCCTGATTGTGCATTTACCCCCACTTGCCCTCCCCCTTTTATTTTTCCACTGATAAATCAGTTTGACAGGTCCCTGCTTCCACTGGCATGGAGACTCATGGCTGGAAGGCCACATCCAGGCACTAGCTTTGCCAAAGGCGGAAGCCCCTGAACATCCTGGGTACCTTCCTCCACCAGGCGACAGAGTTGTTAATCGTGCTAATTCAAGCAAAATAAATCAATGTGCTTTTCAAGGACAAAACAAGACGAGACAAATATTTATTTGAGGTCTTATACCAGCTGGTACGTTTACATTTTCCAAATTACAAAATAAAAGAATAATTACAAGATGACAGATTATAACAAATTGTGTGTGAAGAGATATTTACACATACATGTAGATACACAAGGATGATTTCATAAACAATGGATAGCAGCAAATAACTCACATAGTCTCCTCAACAAACAAGAAGAGCAGCTTTATTTATTTCATTTCAAATTCCTGATCATGGCTGCCAGTCCAGACAGGGAAATCAAGAAAAGGAAAATGAAGAGAGGGAGGGTGGGGGTACAGCTGTTAACGTAAGATCTAAATGCCTAATGAAGCCAGTGGCTGCTAAGAAACCCTGTACCAGACACAACACATAGAGACGATAAAAGCAAGGCTGACTGCATCTGTGCCACCAAAAAGGCCGGTGACTTACAACAAAAGATGACATTCCTTATCATTAACTGCATTAAATTCCATTTATTGCACAGTCATGACTGGCTGAAGACCAAGAGAAAGAGTGATAAGGGAGTTCTTTCCATGCAGTAAGGTCATAATACTGCACTACACCGTCCGGGGGCCGTAGTTTATGACTAAAAATGTCAAGATGTTACAACTTACTTTGGGCAGTTTGTTTATCCTCGGCATTCAAATGTTCTACTCTTGTTTTAGTGAGTACTTCCACTCCAGTAGCTGTGAACACTTTACACTCAAACCCATTCACCACTTCTGTCTTGTCCCCACCCCATCCCCACATGGTCTTGTGCCTGAGGTAAAACATTCTCAAAGTCATTATAACAATATTCAAAAGTGAAGGCATAGGAAATCATCCATTGTGGTCTTTTGAAATTTCTGAGAATAATTATTATAAACAACTTCTTGTTTTGTTACCCTAATTTCTCCTTCAAACTCTTGCTGTTTGACCGTAAAGTTATTTTAAACATTTGAAACTTACAGTGTCTCTTGAAAGTGAAGTTTTGACTGACGTCATTGAGAATCCAATCAACAGGAAATTTGTCCTTTTGAACGAGGAAACCAGTGGAAATTTTTATTGTCCATTAAACTTTCTGATTCAAATAATAAACAATCTGTTCCCAATCAATAAGAGTCATTCCCTAGCACATGATACAGCAGAATGAACCAAGTATTTTACATGTAACTGTTAACAGTAGGAAAAAAGACTGAATTTTCCTCAAGTTTACCAGTATCATCAGCGATACAGGATGCTAATAAAACTTGCAGAGGGCTTCAAAATTTAAAAAAAAAATGAAAGTATGAATACCTTGTAAATGCTATGTTATCTGTGTTAAGCATCGTTGCTACAGATGGTGTCGTGAGTCTGACATTCACAGCATCATCACTAGGCTTGAGAGCATCCAGATCACGGAAATCATCCCTTATAATAAAACAAGGTAACCTCTTACTATCACAACAGTATTCTTCACAACACTGAATACAAGTACAGGTCATTTGACAAAGTAAACTTTATTTTTTAGTTGATCAAAGAAGATACTGTGAAAGGCTTGAACCCAAATGTCATTTCATATGTAGGTTGAGTATGATCGTCTGGGTGAATGTAGCCCTGAACAGGACTTAATAACTGACAGTGACTGACATTTCGACAACCTGTGTGGGCAGTCATCTAAAGTGTCAAAGTGAGTTGTATCACGTCAGTTTATGGTATTTAACTCTGGTTATTAACCTGATTGGTCAATTAAGTCGCGATGTTGTTGGTTGTCTGTCAGTTAAACCATGATGTTATTGGCTATGAAGGCCTGAAATGTCTTTGGTGAGTTTAATTTTGTTCTGTCTATTGTCACGGCAAACAGTTGTTCATTGCTAGTCAAATTGTCAGTTTCCTGTTGTTCTCTCATAGTTAGTTTTGCTTTAGTCCGTCAATAAGTCGTTTGTCTGGTGCTGGTAACTGCTGACTACGAGTTAGTGGAGTTTGTTCAAATATACATGATAAAATCAAAATTAATGTTATGTACAAAATTTTACGAATCAAAATATTCATAACAATTTACTAAAAAACATTTTAATATTCATTTAGTGATTGCAGGTAAAATAAAATTATCAAGCATTCTATCAACATTTACCTGATGCGAAGGGTTTCCTTGAAATATCTCTTTTTATCATGGTCAATTTCTAAAAATTCTCCTCCATCAACTAACAAAAAAAAACATATTTGACTGCATTAACGTTTTTGTAATAATTCCAGGATGCCCAATACAGGCAATCAGTTATCCCCCTTTCAATTTGTAGGCCTTTAAATGATACTTAATAGTAAAAATATTACTAGGCAAAAACACTTGCACAGACTGTCAAAGTAACACTTTATGCTCCATCACAGAATGGTTGAACCTCTCTTATGCAGGCCTCTTTGAGCAGGAAGCAAAAGAAGTGTCTCCAACTACATTGACATAAGCAGAGTTGGTCACCTTTGTACAGGGTGTATTAGAGTGATTCATATACATGTAAATGGGAAATCACAGAGGTTGTTCTAGAACTTTCTACTTAAGAGTTTCTGTTAAAAGAGCTTGGATAGTATGCTTTACCTCCACCCTTGAAAACATAACTCCTGTTTCCCCTTTGCCAGTCATTCTGGTCAAAGCCAATCAATGTAGTGTCTGCTCTGACATTTGCACCTGCATATCATAATGGTCAACAGCATTAACTGTTAATTAATTTAATTTACTACTTGTACTCGCTGTGTTAAGAAGGGGTAAATTAACCTCACTATTGAATTTTTGGAAGATACAGAATCTTTCACAAAATTATGATCAGTAAACTTAATAAATGATTTCAAAAAGAGACGATTCTCACAAGCTTATTGAAATTCATGTACATTACTTACAGTCAGGCAGACAAGGAAGATACTCCATATACACAAGCCTTGCTACCAAAAATACCTCAGTTTTAAGGACACGAAATGTCTCTAAAAGCGACAGACTTAAACTAGGTATGGAACATTCATGATAAATGATATCAATTATTATTAAATAATTATTCCCAAACTTCATTACTTACCACACTTGTATATTTTATATGTATCACTTGGGCACATCCTTGACATGAATGGTACTGCAAAGATGATGAAAAACTGGTATCACAATACCTATAGTTACAGTCGGTTTCCATTTGGGCCATTGAAAGCCAAAGAAACAATAAAATTATTAAGGTTAAGGAGCAGTAGTAGGTGCATGACTTTCCATGACTTTTTCCATGACCTTAGACCTGTTTAGCTGTCACTTTCAAATATTTTCAAAACTTTACTTGTTTTAACATATTTTTTGACCTTCAACAGTACAACAGATTTACAAACTCTGGTATCCACCAAAATGCATGCTGTTTGCGCTGTCTAAATAATCCTCTTTATCTCACATTATCCTTGCTTTGTCATCTGTAGTAACTAATAATCTACCAAACAAAACTTGAATTCTCCATGACTTTCAAGGACCAAAAATTAAATTTCATGACTTTCCAGGTTTACCATGACTTATACAAACCCTGATTTATTTAGAAAACATGCATCAATTCATGATTTCCTTGAATTAATGTGTTTTTAGGGGTTTCATTAAGTAATACCAAAAAATGGTGATGTAGCTCCCGTAAGACCAAAAAAAGAAAAGCAACAACACAACTAACTGCATACATTGTATTAAGGTACATATTCTCTCTGGATGAACTTATTTAACCAAAGATACTATAATGTGCACTACACCCAGGACTTTACATTCAAAACTTATTAACAATCTCTTCACTTTGTCTTACCCCAACTAGTGAACTCCCACTTCATTTCAACATAGAAATCTGGTGTCTGTAGATTACAAGATAAAAAGTAAGCTATTACAGAGGGTTTAATTTGCAGGCATGCAGGTGTGACAAAATGTCCTGTGTTAAAAGTTGTAACACTTCAGTTGCAACTGCATCTTGAACTGCAAATTAACCCTTCAAGACCCAATATCCACTTTCAAATTCTCCACACCAACCTCCATACCTTTCCTCAACGAATTTGTTAGGAGAATTTGATAAAAGATCAAAACATTTCCCTTCGAGGATCATTTTATCGATTCTTGTAACCTTTTCTCTTTACTGTGTATTGATATAGATGAATTCTTGGGAATAAACAAATGATTGAATGAATAAATGATGAATGAATGCATGCCTTGTTGATTGACACCTTTTGCAGCTTGGAGCTAAATTGCAGGTACAGGTCAGTTACATAAACAAAATATAATTAAAACCCTAAGTGGTAGCATATTTTACAGTTACAAACTTAGTAAAATGATCAGTATAAGAGGCAAGGAGGTAAATGATCAGTTTGAATGTGAATAGTAAGCTGAAGATGAGTCAGAACACGTCTGCTGTGAATTACATGTAACGAGAAGATTATGTTGTCAGGACTGATTCTTTTTACAAAATTAACATAGGCATCTTCGCAACATTGCTTTAAGTTAGTGATCCATGCCTTAGCCTTGTTAGGAGGAAATTTATGTTGGCCACTCTTGGCGCCTAAAGGGTTAAGCAAAATGGAATAATATTACTTTAAATCCCTTCTTTAATGGATAAGATCATAAAAAAACTCCTCAAAAGTGTTGACAGATTTGGTCAGGGAAAATGGTTGCACAGTACGTAAGTGCTTCTCAAACTAAAGTCATTTACTAGACATTAGTTAAGTTTCCTGGAACTTCTTTAATGCAAAATGACATCAATCTTAAAGTAAATTTTAAAACTTTCCAGAAGAACATGCAGTGTGCGAAGAAAGTAGTGTCCGATTGCCCAGGGCTAGTGGATTTTGCTATCGGGCTAGTGAATTTTGTTCTTAACTTGCCCAATGGGCAAGTGAAGTTTTTTGAGGAATTCAAATTACAGAAGAACTGTGAAATCAATTCTGCTCATCAAAATGTTTTTGGGGCTAGTTGAAATGACGTTTGGGCTAGTATATTCTACCTTCAGCTTACCTGAATGGCAAGCTTTAAAAATGACTTTCTTTGCACCCTGATATAAATTAAGCACAAAAACTTACTTCATGTACTTTTTATCTTGTGGTTGTCATTACAAAATAATGCCCACAGCATAATTTGGGCAAATTGAAAAGGTTATACATGTATGTTGTAGTTAATTTTTTATCTGAGGTAATTTTCCTTTTTCTTTTGTTTTTGGGTATGGTAATGTATGCTAATAAAGCTGAAACAAAAGAAAAAGAAAAATTACCTGAGATAAAAAATTAACCACAACATGTACATATAAATGATCGTATGAGGACGCTGTAGTTGTTAGAAATATACTGCCATGAATAAGCTGTCAGTAATCAGAATATTATGATATGGGAAATTTTAACTTTCTTACCGCATTGAGTTCATCTAGCAAATCTGGAATCCCAGCAAGCCTTTGACTTCCTCTTTGAAAATCACGATGTTGCAGAACAAGTGATAAAATTTCAGGATTTCCTGTACTGATTGCCTCATGACATACTAAGAGATAGAAAAAATAAATTTTACTTACATCCTCTATCTAGTGCAATTTTGTTCAGACAGCTGAGAATAATCCATGGCACAAGGCATGGACAATAAAATGCAGTTCTCCTTTTCTTTAACCTGTACCATTTTTTACCTTTCAAGGATGAAGAACCCCACCTGTGATGCTGCTTTATGTACAAAATATACTGTACACGGTTCGTACCCTTTTTTGAACAAAAAATTCAAGGACTTTTCAAGGACACATTTCCCATTTTTCAAGGACTCCATTCAGTGCAAAAAAAAGCCTGCAGTCTATGTCTGTTTTACTTCGTTCACACCATAAGCAATTTTATCCTGAAGATCTGTCTGTGTTTGCTCCTTTTCCTTGGCAGTTCTCCTTAGACTATAAAGTTAGCACCAAAATTCAAGGACTTTCCAGCACCAACTACAATTTTCAAGATTTTTTTCACAATTTTTATTCTAAAATTCACGGACTTTCCAGGACTTTCAAGGTGTGTGCGAACCCTGACTGAAACTTTAAATATCCTTGTTTACACATCTCTAAAAACAGAGGAACTAAGCAAGCCAGGTTTAACATTGTAAAGGCAAATGAACATATTCCTGAAGCCTTTCAACGGTAATAAAATATAATTTGCATGGTTTTTCTTCTGCTGGACATTTATAGGATGTCATTAAGTGGAAAGCTACTCATTGAAAGTAATAAATTAATAAAGATCTGTGAAGGCTACATAGGGGTTTTTTAACTTTAAAGTAAAAGCAACTGAACATGCTTGCTAAAAAAAAACTGCACCGAACTGACGAAATTTCACTTGTTTATCACTGTTAACCTCCCTTGCGAAAGACGCAGAATACGTGAGATTATTACCAACGTAGGTCATAACTCAAGCAAAATCTGCACGCAGAACACTTAAAAGAAAAATGGTCATGTAACTTGTCGACATGAGCTTAGAAACCTTACCATTCCACCCATCTTTATTGATGATGTTTGCATCACACCCGCTTCGAAGTAGACTCTTCACGCAGTCCAAATACCCCAGAGTTACCGCTAAGTGAAGGGGTGTTCTACCGCGAGGATCTACCAACTCTTTACTATGCTGTAGATAAACCACAAGCAATCAAAAACTGTCTACGATGATGCATTTAAAAAAAAAACGACACACCGCTACTTTCAATTCACGTACATATTTTCTCTTACGGTTTCAAAGTGGTAAAACCAACCTTATTTAATGCAAGTTCCTCCTCAAGCGAAGCAGAATCTTTATGCCAAATGTGCCAGTGTAATGGGAAATCTGACAGGATTTTATCTCTACTGATTTTGGGAGGAGATGCGGCCAAAATGTCCTTCCCTCCACTGGCCGCCATTTTCGCGCTGTTGTCATTTTTTGCGTATCCGCTGACCACAATTGATAGTTCCAGTCCTCTAAACATCTGTTTCCGGGTACGGGGAACAGCTTTTGCACCGGCACGAAAATCGTACCGGGTAGAGCCTCTCTTCACACATAAAAACAGGGGTCTCGAAGCGGTGTCTTTAGAAGAGAGAGGCTGCGACGCGCCGATCTTGAAAGTGGATCGTCACATATCGGACAGGTCTCTATCAGGAGCCCATAACCCTCTCTCAATGCTACTCTTCGTGGCAGTCATTTGACTCAGAGGTTGGGGGGGGGGGAGGGAGGACTCAACAAATGTTTATACGGGGAGGCTCCGCCCCGAGGTCCAACCCCTTACCCTTTTATATACCATTTTTCAGGAAAAAGGTACCCCTTTCGTATACCCTCTTATGCCGTACAGTGGGATCGCATGGATAGGTTTTCGTTTTCTTCAGTACTGGAAGGTACGTACTTTCCAGAAAAAATTGCTGACTTACCTTGTTTACTACTTTGCATCCCTTTTAACCTGTGTAAATACACTATCTTTTATATAGGAATAAATCATAAACATAAAACGTTTTCTTGACTTTATAAAATTCACCTGTTAGCCCTTTCACAGACCCAAATGACAGATTTCCCTACCGTTTAAAATACTTCAACTAGTGAAATCCCTACACTTTCAAATACCTGAGGCCTGAAAAAGGGACCCTTTTCGGGCGGAGCCTCCCCGTATAGGCCATCATAGGAGTACCCCCCGGGTCATTGAACGGGTTTATAGTGTAGACATTGCCTTAACCTTCTAAAGAGACGACAGGAATCAAAGTTCTATCACCTCGAAGCGCAGACGTCTTTTCGGCTAAGCAGTAGTACCGAAGTTGTCGTTTTCTTTATTTGATCACTTCACCGGCTCAATTCACTGATAAAAAAAACTGGTGCATGCTAGGGCAGATAAAGCACTTCTCTCAGGAATCAAGGAGAGCCCCGTGTTGCAAGTAAATAACGCTCTGATATAACAATGCACAAAATAAACGAAATCCTTTCGGGTAGGTGAAAGTGCCTTTGCACGTTTGTTTGTTTGTTTGTTTGTATCAGTATTTTAAAAAGCGGGTGAATAAGCAAGGCGTACAAGAAATTTTACAGCAGAAAAAGTTTCACTATAAACTATAATAATATAAAAAAACTATTGAAATGTTTTTACCTTACGAGCGTTCTGTCTACTTCAACCGAAACGGGGTGGGGGAACCTCCCTTTTCTTCCTCCGTCCGAAACTGTGAAAATTGTTCGCATCTTGTAAACTCTGAAAGCGAAAAATAAAATGTTAAAAAATGAGAGAAAATACGAAGTCGGGGAAGGAGTGGGCCTGCTCAAATTCTTAGGGAAGGTAGATTTTTAAATGGGGGTGGAGAGGACTGGGGGATTTTTCATTTTATCGCGGCCCTCCCCTTTTCCTTAACTGGTAAACACATGGTCTCCCTTCTGGGAAAAAAAAAGACAAAAATCTGTGACTCTATATTTCCATTGTTTATTGTCCTACATTTATTTCCGGTCAAATTTTACCCGGTATTTTTGGTCATCTGATGTTTATGTTATTATTAATATTCTCTACCGCCCCAGCACTTGCAATGCAGGATCTCAGGCTTAAGGCAGTCTATATCTTCTGAACAAGCTTCGCGCTTGCCTTCGCTGGACTGAAAAACGCGAAGAAAAATACCCCCTGTTCTGCAGACTAGCAAGGCTGAAGGAAACTTGAGGTGCATCTTTGGGGTACGTATCAGACAACTTCGTAAGTGCTAAAAAGATCATCGAAGAACGCTCACCAACTTTTTTCCCTCTCGAATCATCAGGAGCAGCGCCTTATGGTGTTGGGAATTGTCTACAAGTCGGCTGGAGAACGAGGGAGAAATTGCAGCCTTTGGGAATCAAAAATGAACATTTTGTAATTTTGATTTCATGTTTACTATATACTTCATCAACTGTAGCTAAAAAATAAGAGTTAGAAGAGGAGCGTATATAGCCCAACCTCCATGAGGGCCAGCTTTCTACCTTATTTGATGAAATAAGAGTCCATCAATATTGATAGACTCCTGACGATATCTCTTTTCAAACTTCTTGCTTGAAGTACGGATACTAGCATAAGAGGGCAATAACATGTAAACCTCGTTTAAGTGATGTTTGTTTGGCCTGACTCCCTAGAATTGGTTCATGTCATCTGTCAGTTTAGCAGGAATCAATAAAACGCGCAGCGCTTATTTTCCCGCTAAAAAATATCTTTTGTAAGGCTATTGTTCCATTCATTTACCAACCTTGTCCCCAGGGCTTAGCGAAAGGATTTGAAGACAGGATTGATTACCCACTAAATTAATCAAATTACTTCGTTAAAGCCCACCCAAACGGCACTCTATCACGTAAAACACGCATTGAACAACGGCGCACACATTTTAAGAAATATTTATCAGACTTTTGAACCTAGTATTGCTACAATTATATATTTTAAGAATGTTTATATAATATATATATATTTTATAGTCTATAAATCTGAATTTCTTTCTGAATCAATGGAAAATACTGAATGAAAAGAAAAGAGACTGTCATAATATTTCAAGATTTACAAAAAAAAAAAACCTTTCGCGAATCATTGGAATATGTAACATTTTGTAGAAATGAAACTCAGTGGTTTCTAATAACTGTGGCTGCAATAACTCTTAGCTTAATAGTACAAATTCTGAATTATGTTGATTTTTTGAAAGAAAGCTAATAGACTACCCAATCTTGTGGCTTGACACTCAATGTGGGTAAACCTATAAAAACGTAAATCACCTAATAACGCTTTCCACGGTCTCTCCGGGATAACGTAATTTGAAACACAGGTGATATAAAATAACTAACACTTTGTACAGTGGAACCTCGATATAACGAACCACTACATAACGAAGTCCTCGGTATAACTGACGATTTTCTTTACCCCAGTAATAGTAAAATATATGGAAAAGAACCTAGATGTATAACGAAACCTCTGTATACAGTCCCTTGGCCCTTTACTATATCGAGGTTCCACTGTAACCAAGAACACTTGCTCCAACGATACTTTTCATATCTACCATTAAAATACTGCATTTTTCATGGAGCAAGCTAACACATTAAATTAACGGAGCTAATGTTGTGGGTTATTTGGAGTTGGACATTTTTGTTTCAACGTGTGATATGTCTGAGAGATCTCCTTTCGCGTGCGGCTCTCGCGCGAGTTCTCGCGAATACCTAACTGGAGAGCTTGCTCGCAGGCTATTCTCTCCCATATCCGAAATAAAGCAATGAATGAAGTGCCATCAGGTTAAGAGAGACATTACACGTTAGAGCGGTTTTCACTTGACTGTCGTAAAACCAAAACCAAAGTAAATACACTAGGTTACAGTCAAGTGAAAACCGCTCTATTACAGTTAGTTTTCATTTGAGTGTCGAAAGGTAATTGGTTTTGCGTTTACTAATTGGCTTAAAAGATTCGCGCCAGAAGGAAAACCAAAACCAATTGTGTCAATGCATTTTCCCGCGCTTTGCGTCAGCTACATGTAATTACTTCGAGTTTTAATTGGTTCACTGTATTGTCTGTGTCCTTTGTGATTGGCTAGAGTAATTACTTTGGTTTTGGTTTTACGATACTCAAATGAAAACCGCTCTAATAGCGGTTTTGACAACGAGGCATAAGAGCTGAGGTCCTGTAATGATATTTTGGGTGATTCCATGACATTGCAACGGAGAAAATTATCTTGAAATTAAAGGAAACCTCAAAATATTAAAAATTGTTACAACACAAAAAACCGGCATCAAACAGGAAATAGTACACTAGTCTATAAAGGATTAAGAATGGTTTAGGATGGAGCTGGTCAGTATGAATTACTTTCAAGATACCTTAACCATGACGTAGCTCTTTTACCTGGTTGGCATGTCTTTTTTTCTAACGAAAGAACATTCCACCGCACAGTTTAACTGTAATAACCAGTTCTAAAAAGGCAAGCGATAAACGCCGCATATTTCTGCAATTTGATTGGCTTAGAGCAGTGGTATTTCAGCTTAATTTGAAATACCTTTTGCGGGTAGTAGTCTGGGTAGTAGTATAAACAAATAATAGCATGATTTGTACGTGATATTTGGTAAAAATACCACTCGTGATATTTTAAAATTGTCTCAAATTTCACTTGCCTCACAGCTTGTGAAATTACGTATAACAATTACGAAACATCACTCGTGGTATTTATGCAAAGTATCACTATAAATCATGCTATTACCTGTACTAACACGATGCTGTGATTTTGTCATTCACAAGTAATTTCTCAAATGAACACTTGAAGCACACATACAAAACCAGTGAACTAGACAGCCGGACACAGCCCCCTCAAAACAATGTTTGCTCGACAACGTTTCTGATTTGTGGGACCAACACTTGCACTTGGTCGGACAAGTGTCCCTTTAAAACAGAAAAATTATTTGCAGCCCTGCCGTAAAAAAGTACTATTCGCTCTTCAAGTATTGAAAAATGACCTAGAGCAGTTTCTATTCAACTGAGAATGTAGTAACAAGTTGTTTAGCAGCTTTGGCGATGTCATAAGCGCATTGTATGACCTGTTGGGTAAGAAATGCCATGTCTACGGTATTGCCGGGTAGTACAGCACTCTTGCATTCCACCTGAAGCCTGGCAGCGCTGCTCTTCATCAGCTGAAGTGACACGCGCATACTGTCCACATCCGGGTCCTAAAACAATGAAATTGTGTTAGAAAATCCTGGGTATGCTGTGCCCCCCTATTTCCTCTGGCTGCTCACTATTCCGCATACAACAATGGAAATGGGAGACGTCTGCATACAGGCAGGACCGAAAAACTCCCATACTAGGTCTATGTCACCGCATTTCCTCGGACCGCTTTATATTTAGATAAATTTTAGAGCACCTTTCCCCAACAAAATGGACGTTCCGCTCCGTTTATGAGCGCATTCGAAGTGTAAAATACCAATTGAAGAAGAAAACTAAACGTGATTAAAAAGTAAAAAAATAAAAAGCAAACAAACAAAACAACTTTAGGTCTGTAGTTTTTTCCTGACTGTTTGTGGGAGTTGAAAGATATTCTAGATTCGCAGCAAAATCGTTCTTGAAATAAACTGGTCGGTCAAAACGCCGTGACGAAAATACATGAAAGATGCCAGCTCTGGGTTTTGAGCTCCTGACAAAGGCTAGATGTCTATGCAAGACATGTAAGAACAGCCAAGTCAGGGGTAGTTCATAAATTTACAACTGATTACCTGGTAGATGATTTAGTATGGACAAACGAGGGTACTTATATAGCGCACATGGAGACAAAAAATAGCAGTTCGATTAAAAACTTGACCTCATGCAAATTCACACATAATTCGCACTTGTGTGCTTTTAACCTTACATTCGCCCAATGTAAGGGAATCCAGATTCTGGAATCCGGGAAAATTTTGTTTGTAGAATCTGGGATCCTGGCATTTGGAATCAGGAATCCCACGAACGATTGAAGTCCAGACCAAATTTTTACTCACAAAGACTGGAATCCAGCACCTGGATCCAGAATCCGCGGCGCGGAATCCAGAAACCAAGACTTCTTCGATTACCTTACATGGGGCGATTAAATCCTTCTTTGCAGACTGAGAAAATTAAACAACTACAGATAACTATAAAACACACAAATAACGCGAGGGTTCGCCCAATTTAAGCGATTCATGCAATTCAAACTACATGTACATCTGAAAATAAATCATGTCTTTACCTCCGGAAACAAGGTCGCCATATCATTAACAGCAGTGAAAATATTACTGGAACATGGAATAAAACTAAAAGAAAAACAAAGTCAATTAGCGATCCTAAAAACGGAATACGGAACGAAGGCAGCTACTCCCATATAAAAAAGACAGCCAATCTAATGAGCCAATCAGAACTTGCAGCTCTTTAATGTGGCGCGGGAAAACGTTTGTGTCTTTAACTGTCATCCTTGGTTTATTTAGAAAGTGGCGCGAGATTTTTCAGCTAATCACAAAGCGTAAAACTATTAAGATAATTAACAATTATTCCTCGAGCCCGAATGGGCTCTGAGTCAATAGCCCATGGGGCCGACGGCCGAATGGGCTATTGACTCAGAGGCCATGAGGGCGAGAGGAATAATTGTTTTAGTAAAATCCAAGCAGTTGGTAAAAAATATCGAGAATAAAAAACTTTTAGCTAGTTAAAGCTAGCCTTTCATCCGTTTTTGCCGCCAAAAGCCCGCGCTTTTCGCTACTAGTGGGCTATAACATATAGCCTAGTAGTAGCCGAACCAATCAGAACGCAGCATTGATAATAGACCACTAGTTGGATTTTACTTAAGTGACGATAGACGTCTTTAGCTTGTGTTTGTTTTCCTCATGAAGATCATGTGATAGTACTCCAGAAAACTGTTTCTTTCAAGTTTTGCCTTATTCACGTGCATATGAAAAGACTGGGGGGTCAAATTCCCCAGAGACCTTCATTGGGGATATAAAACATACAAGCTAAAGAGGTCTATTCCTTCCACACTCGTGAAAAACCACTGTATTAATCAGCATGGGCGTCTTGCATAGTGTAACCAAGTAACAGTTACCTCTACGGGTCATGGACAGAGAGTGCAAGCAACAAGCCTGGAGCTAAAGACACTCCGGGAGGGAGGTTACCAAAACGAGAAACGAGGAACGAGGAACGTGGAGCGGGGAGCACGGAGCACAGAACGGGGAGCACGAAGCACAGAACGGGGAGCGGGGAAAGGAAAAATGGAAATTGGGAAAAAAACCTAACTTGAAACCTAGCCCTATGAGTAACTTCAATTCCAATTCTCCACTTTGTTCCCACTTTTTACTTTCCCATTCCCCGCGCTCGTTCTCCAGTCCCTTTTCCCCGTTTAAGCAACATCCCTCCCGGAGCGTTAATGAACTAAGCTTTAACACATGGCGGCAGAAGCGCCTTTTAACCTAGCATTGTGTTTACCAGCTATGTCTCCCAGCTTGTGCGGACAGCAATAGTTCTTGAATTTTCTTGGTGATCTGTTCTGTGCACCGCACCACATCCTCTTGTGATGGCTGTCTTGAATTTTGCGTTGCTTGGTTTACCAAGTCATCGACCGCATGAATCAGTTTTACAGCTTTCTGATCTAGCGGATCATCAAAAGGACTGTCCGCTAAAACAAATCGAATTGAAAATAAACAGTCTTAGAGAGCCGATTCAGAATCACGCTTACGGCAAACGGCAAACGGCAAACGCGAGACTCAAGTTGACAATGTCCTAAGAAGCCCACGTTCGATATATTAAAATTCTAATATGTCTCTGAGACTTTAGGGTCAAAATTGCAAAATTTTCAAGACTCCATTGTCTCGCACTTTCCAAACCAAACCAAATATAGAAAAATGACCAGAAAGCCTCGGAGTGATGTTTGAATTTTAATATATCGAACGTGGGCTATTACGTTAAAAAATGTCCAAAAAAAATCTTATGAAAGAAAAGAACATGACACTTCTTATTTTGGTAAGGATTTAATGAACAGTAACAACTAGCCGACATAACAAGCGTTTCCGCGTAATTTCTTCGAGAAAGTTGGGACCAGTTGTTTTTGCTCTCCCTCCAACTTTCGGCCAATAACTCGATTAGAAACGCTTGCCACGCAGGCTAGTTAATAAAAAGGAGATGAACACTTGGTTATGTGGTACAAATTCGTGTTTGCTACGTATACATACATATATTGTCACTGTCTACACAAGACTGTGGCTTTGCCAATTTAAATTTATGGGCCGTGTTAATTGAGAGGCGGTTATAGCAGAAACAAGGTTTGTTACTAAGAGAACTCATAGACCCTGTTTATAGTTAACCCAAGAATAATGCTCGGCCTTGGGGAAAAATTTTGTTCCTCTGTGTATAGTAAATAACCCAACTGACTAAACTTACAGGAACTCATTCTCTCATGTTCTCGCATCTCATCAACATTAAGATATCTGCGTTCTTCTTGCTCTTCTGCCGAGTCTGCCACATTGTCGTAAGGATTGACAATTTTGCTTCTAGTTGTATTGTGAGAATGCCCCGTGGGGGTGGGCTGAGTAGTGCGTTTTCTTAGCAGAGAGCCTGGGGCTTCATATGGTGTAATTTCCTCGATATCCACTTTATCATCTTCGTCGTCACTTTCTTCCTGTAATAAGCAGATTAAATCATAAAACTACGACTTTTTCACATAGTCGACCCTCTGCCGTTTGTAACAAGGTTCTGCGGTGGTGAGCATTAGAGAGTTAGAGCCATCATAAAGACGCAGGGTGCAAAGAAAGTCAGTTTTACAGCTTGCCATTCGGGCAAACGTTCGCTATCATGTGCCAGCCCAAAAGTCATTTCAGCTATAGTGGAACTTCTCCTTTAGGACTCCTCTATTCAACAGACACCTCCATTCAGGGGATACAAAATTTGGTCCCGGAAAAACGTTCACATAATCTCTGAATCTGTCACCCCTATTGAAGGGACACCTCCAATCAGGGGAAGGGACACTTTTTCTGGGTCCCAAAACCCAGGTTTAACCTCCATTCAGGGGACACCTATGCACTCAAAACGTGACTGACCATAAAGAGGGTTGATAACTTTACGTGTACACTTATCACAATGATGTAAACTTTCACATTCTAAACTATCTCACTTAAATCGATGGACTGTATTTGTGGAAATCCTACACACAATGTCGCAATGTCGATTTTTCATACATTATTTAGGTGCTTGAAATAATGACTGAAGAAGATTCCCAAGCAGAATTTTTTAAAAAATATTTTATTTGCTGTAAATTATTAACAAACCCTTGCCCAACCTCTATTCAGGGGATACTTGCCTCGGTTCCCAGTACAGGTCTTGTGCAAGAATTCCCCCAAAAAACTACACTCACCCGTCGTTTAAGGACAGAATTCACTAGTTCTTAAACTAGGACTTTTCCCAGTTGCCCAGAAGCCTTTGTTTTAAAGTGTGGCAAAATGCAAAGTCAACGGTATGAAAATAATAATTTATTCTCATGCATATAAGCTTATTTTGACAAGAAAGGTTTGGCACTTAGCCTCGTTTTGAAAGTGAGTGTCTTTGGAACTCGAAAATTGCCTATAGGGCAAATTTTTTTCAAGTTTTAAAGCCATGTCAGCAAAATCACTAAAAAGTTATTGTGGCCATTGCTCGGCCCTGATGAAAATTGTTTGATACCTTCTTCATAACTCTACAACAGCTTTTTACGTATGGGCAGAGGTACTAATTAATGATGATCGCACAGAATTGACCTGCTCGTGACTTAGTCACCTTAAATGCCAGCCAGACAGGCAGCCTACAAGTCATTACCTCAGCAGTAAATGTATTAACGTACCTTAGGGGTGAATACATTATCATCACTGATGGCAGTGAGACTTCCGCCATTTGGAATTCCAAGCTGACTTTTCAGTGCCTTATTTTCATCCTGTAGCTTATGAACCTAACCAAGAATTAAGAAACAATCACGCCCTTAAGACTAAAAAGAACAAAAAAAGAGCAAGGAGACAATACAATAAGCCTAGCTGGCGTGGCCGTCGTTTCCTGCTTGGCTAAAAGGTAATGGAAACAGAAGACGCGCGAGGAAGTCCTTTTCCTTCCATGCCTTCGCGCGTCTCCCGCGCCTCTTCCGCTAGACAAAAAGGTAACGGAAACAGAGACGCGCGAGAAAGAGACACGTGGGACTTCTTTTCCTTCCATGCCTTCGCACGTCTCCTGCGCCTCTTCCGCTTGGCTGAAAGGTAACGAGAACGGGAGACGCGCGAGGAGGAGACGCGTAAGACTCCATTTCCTTCCAAGCCTCCACATGTCTCCCGCGCCTCTTCCACTTGGCTGAAATGAGTTCCAATCAGCCATCAAACAACAAGGTCCAAGTGAGAGACATCCTGAACAAGACTGACACGGAAAATCACTGACGTTTGGACAAAACAGTGAAAGTGAATAGTGACCAGCACTGCTGGAAGTTGCTACTAACCACTGATTGAAGATTCTGAATTTCATTAATCTGATTAGCATTGATTTGAAGGAGCTGCTGTACACGGGCCTGTAAAGACAACAAAGACTTTATCAAAACATTACACCCTACATACAATCATATTTCAAATTTCCTTTCATCCACATTTCGTTTTAAAAAACAGTCCTAAAATTCGTGCCCCTCCCACCTGAAACAGCTGCAATCTGATTGCTGCCAACAGTAATAATCATAAAACTTACATTAGCCGTAGCTAAGGCAGTTTCTACTTTCATATGACGCTCCATGGGTACGGAGTCTTCCTCTAGAAAGCTTGTGGTGGTTCCCTGAAGCAGAGAGAAGTGAATTTACACAGAGCCTGAGGTTTGAGAATTATTCTTGGGGAGCTTAAGCAACTACAACGACGACAACTTCAAAAAACAATAGATTTAATGATGAAAACAACAGCTCTGCACTTGCATCACGCTTTTAGTAGATTTCTTTGACGTCCACTGCACGACTACGACGTAAAACCTCCTAATTTGCCGCTTTATGGAGGACGTGGACATACGACGACGAACTTTCCTTCCTCTTTTTGAACTTGAATAAAATCCTTAAGAATTCGACTCCATGAAAAGTCGCCTGCATTTGACATATTGAGCGGGTCCAAATAGACGCGATTAAGTTTGACAGAACGCAAATTCTTTTTTTTAGCGACGTTTTCACTGCCGTCGTCGTCTTCGTCGTTGCTTAAGGTCCCTATTCATTTCCACAAATATTTCCGTTGAGTTGACACATTTAGAACAATGTCTGCATCTTAATGTTTAATGAAATTGAAGAAGAAGACGGTACACAAGGTGACGAAGAAAATAGCAAAATCAGTAATCAAAACACGGAGAACACGAAAGAGGTCATTTACAAAGTTGAAAAAAAACAACAACGAGGAAAATACCAGAAAATCCTGGCGCCTTTAGCACAAGTTAGGACAACGTGGCAAATAATTAAGCCGATTTTTGTACATTAACTGCAAAGGAAAAGTATTTCATTGTGCAGAGAATCATAAAAATGTAATATTAAATATAATTATTTAATTCAGAAAATGCCACGGCGACTGTTGTACAAAAAAAATCCTAGATTATCACACAACATGAATGCAGTCATACTCACCTTTTCAATCTGAATTTTTGAAGTTATTTGCGATGGGGTCTAAAAAAATAGAATCATGACAAACGCTAGTAAAACAAACCGCAAGTCCTTTTACAGTCAAGACAGGTCAAATGTATTACTGTAATAGATTCTTTCAATGGGTTAAAACAACATTTGAAAACTGAATCCATTACTTATTGCCAATGTCAGATTCATTCCTCCATTCTTGAGTACAAAATGAGCATTGAATTCATATGTGAGGTGCATGTACAATCAGTGACAAAATTGTTGCAACACTGTCTTCACAGTGTCTTTAACTAAGACACTTAGCAGAACAAAATAATCTTCACCCCTTTACCCTAACCTTGCCAACTTGCAATTGTTACATGTATTTTATTGTATTAAACTTTGGCTAAATAAAACTGAACTGAACTGAACCCCTCCCTCCATTCAAAGTTGGGCATTTGTTGTTTCCTATAGGTGGGCCAAACAGAGGCACAACATTGCTTGGAGGGGGGTGGGGGAGGGAAAGTATCATGTTTCCATACCACAACTATCTTAAGTCAGAGATGTAAATGAATCTACCATTGTTTGCAACTGAGCAATCCGGTGGGGGGAGGGGGGGATGGACTCCCACAAAAGTGATGGGGATGCTCATCGTTTTGATTTAGGGTGTAAATTGCAGATTTTGGTCTCACTTATGGTGTTTGGGATGGAAGGTCACCATATTTACCCATTCAGGTATCACTTAGTAATTACAGTGTAGTGACAAAAAATGTCCTGACACTGACCATACAAAAATCTCCCTTAGGGGTCAGCTTAAGCTTAAGCAACACCCACATTAGTCTCCCTTAGGGGTTTAATTTGAATTTTCCAATGAGCATTTCGTCACTTTTTTGTGAGAGTCCCCTCCCCGGGGGCAAATCACTAATTTTAATTGAAAATAGAGCAAAATAAAGCACAAACTTATTGACATCATAAAAATTAAAAGTTATAAATAAACAACAGAATCCCCACTATACCTCTGGTGTTGAATCTTTGTCTGCAGTTTCCTCATCTGATGGTACTTCATCATATTCATGATCATATTCACCTTCTTCAATGGGGAAAATATGTGAATGTGATTCAACAAAACCTGTGAAGGTACATAGACAGATAGATAGGTTTATTAAAATAATCAAATTGCAGCCAGGAGGCTGAATTGCTTATTTATTTACAATTTTATAAAGGGGATAAAAATTTTGATTAAGTCTTTTTACACTTTTTTTAGTTAAGGATACAGCTAATAAAAGTAAGAATAGTTCAATAGAAATAGGTCAACAGCAACTACAAAGTCAAACCTGTATTAAGAGGTTACTTTACCAAATTCCCAAACATAATTTCCCTTAATAGACCTTTTTACCGGTATGGTGGCCATATTTAATTTATTAGATTTAAGGAGTATGATGGGATACCTAGGGGGCCCTCGCTCAGTATTTACATTGTACGCGCACTTTTTGGGCAAAAAGAAAACTTCAATGTATATTTCTTGGGACAAAGGCGATCATCATTACATCCAAACACAGCACAACGATTTTTTTCCTATTACAATCTTTTTCTAGGAAAACTTAAAGAAAAATTGGCCCGAAAAGGGCGTGTAAATACTGAACGAGTATATCGGATTGTGCTCACTCATGCCCCCAGGGCATCCCATAATACTCCTTAAATCTAATAAATCCAATATGGCCATCGCATCGCTAAAAAGGTCTATTTACCACTAATAAGCAGTGAAGGTCACCTTTTCCAAGGTCCCAAAGAGTTGTTTGTGGTTTTTGAGCACTGCTGGGCAATGGGTCATAACATCAACCCATACAATGTTGTTTAATGTTTAACTGACAAAAATCACACCATCAAGTGCCATGCACCAACCTTTTTCCCTTACTATTATTCGCAAACAAGATGAGACAAGACAATATTAATGTTAATGTATTGCCCTCTACATGTACCACAACAACTCTATGAGGTGGGAGATAGGCTTTTTATCAGAGGCAAACCACCATAAAAAATAGCAACCCCTCTCTGATGTGCAGTGCAATGGACAGTTACCATTAAGAAAGTAACATTGCCATACCTTGTGTAAGATCAGGATTGGAGTCTTGTTCCCGCCGCCTTGCATCATTCAATATATCAACAATTAATGTTGCAAACTCCTTAGCATTAAACAATGCTAACTTTTGTCTGCCCTGTTCATGAAAAGAAATAATATATAAACATAGAAAGTACACCAATATGACATAACTGGAAGTCATGTGTACAATCCCCTACTTTAGATAATTATCAAAATGATTTTCTCATGCATCTTTTTCAGTAAAAGTAAGTAACCTTGTGACCTGGTGAAGTACCACACCTTCTAAATAAAACCCGATAGTTCCTTTTCCGAATTTATTAAGACACCTGTAAGACTAATGCTCCCTTGTCTGGTCACCATGTTCTAATAAATCCTTGCAGTTTCAGCAAGACTCAACAATGCTGGACTAAATCAACACTTGGAATGAACACTTGTTAATAATAATCATATAATAATAGTTGCAATGGGTTCCCTACCTGATTTCTTGTTGAAGAAAATGATGGATTAACTGGAAGGAAGGGTACTGTAGTGGTGTCACTTAAAAGAGCACTTTGATTCTGTGTTGCTAGCCAAACTAATGACAAATGAACATTAAGACGACAAATTAGCAAGCTTCCAAAAAAAGACAAAATAACCTTGTTTTCTATGAAGCTAGAGTCTACGTCTTTCTTATTTTCTCCGCAACATGAGCAATATTATCCTGAAGGTCTTTCAGTGTTTGCCGGGTTGGATAAAGTTAGCACGGAAATTCAAGGACTTTCAAGCACCGACTGTAATTTTCAAGGACTTTCAAGGCCTTGAATTTTTTTTTAAATTTCAAGGACTTTCAAAGTGCGTGCAAACCCTGTTTTTTAAGTGATAAGAGGGGTGGGGTGGGGGATTTATTAATTGAGGGAGGCGATTATTTTAAATATTTCCATCAAAGGGGGGGAATTATTCGAGGGGGGCAATTAATCAAGGGACAGCTATTATTCAAGGAAATGGAGTAAATGTTAATTGTACCTGAATCACACTCTCTTCTGTCTACTTCATCATACACATCAGAAGCTAATTCTTCAAACAGATGGTGACTCAACTGTTCATAAAGAAGAAGTCAACAAGTATTACAAGTGTTGTCTTGACAAGTTAAGAAAGCATGTGGTGGAAATCATTTTGCTCATTAAGACTCTTCTTTTTTTCAACCAGTGAAGTAATCACTTGTTCCAAAGTAATCAATGCTTTCAAGCGATAGAAATCATGAACTGTCCCGTTCCGGAAAAGCTCGACATCTTTTACATTAATATTTCGCAAGCTTTCTATGCATGGCTTTTGTCACGCCACCATTCTTATCCCAAGGTTCCACGGACTCCGCTAGGAACACCTGGGACCCCCTTTTGGTGTGCACATGCAAAAATATGCTTGCATTTTTTAAGTCTCACAGCTAAAGCAAGCGAGATTAATAATAATAATAATTATTACTAGATGCACATCATTAACAGCATGAAAACACTCCTCAAACAACTTACAGCTTGTAGTTTTAGTTTAGCTTTTTGTGCATCATCTGATAAATCCAGACAACTATAAGCAAAGCAACACATTTCATGGTTAAAACATAACAACGATAAGGACTAAAATAATATTGTTAAACTATTAAAGTTATTAACTGGTATGCATTTCAGACAACTAGTAATTCCCAAAAGGGATCACCATAAATTTTCTCTTAGCAACACCAATACACAATCAAGACAAAAGGTTATGAGAATTAATAAAATCATCAACTACGGAAATGTATAGAGACTAATCTGGAGAATTTGTATGTGGATATTGGGCCTTAAAGGGGTAAAACAACAACCACAAAGAGATGAGAGCACTGGGACAAGACTATACTTGAACTGGTCTGAAAGTCATGCTTGTATAACAAGGTTAAGGTGTCCTTCTGTGAAACAAAAATGATGTACCTTTCTGCCATGGTGGGAATAAGGTAGTGAACTCCATTTTGATGGTCTGAAATTACAAATTTAAAGACGTGGTTTAAACAATGACTTTCATACACACTGTAACTTCAAAACACCAAGGAGATTACAAGTTACGCACATTTAAACAAGTACTGATTTTCATTGTGGCAATTTTTCTTTGTTTCAGACCATTATGGTAGTCCAAGACAAAAGGAAACATTCATTCATTCATTCAATCAATCCTTCAAACAATCAATCAATCAATCAATCACTCAATCATTCATTCATTAATTCATTTAAAGCATTTGTCAGAACGCATCCTAATCTGGTGTTCCTGTGGCACTAAGGCAGAAATTTTTGAGCTATTATGAGCGACTGCAAATTAGCCACCCCTACTAATTTTATCAGAGGCATTTTGGCCGAGAAACTGGACCCCTTTCAACTCGATTTCGTTTCCATAAGTGGTGAACCCAGATCCGTCATCAATGATTACCTCTAGTTACAAAAATCAACTGGTTTAAATTCTCTCAAGACAATGAAAATTTGAACAATGAAAAAACACATAAGCAGCCAAATTCTCCATAAAAAAATATATTAATGATAATGATCATATAAGCTACAATGATTGTGATAATGATGATGATGATGATAATGTTGAAGGTATTGATGTTGTAAAAAAAAAAAAGAAAGTGGAAAAGAGCACTTACCAGGTCGTCTGCCACATAAATAATAAGTAAGTCTGTCTGTAAGTTCAAACTGAACTTCAATAAGTCGCTGGGCAATATTTGTATAGCCAGCCTCCCTGCAGAAATAACATTGCTCACATCAGATTATAAGTCTGCAATGTTCAGGAAAATAGACTTACACAGTCATTCTATAAAAGCTCTTTCTAAAAAGCAACACTCAATTTCTTACCTTTGATGTTATTATTATTGTTACTATTATTATTATTATTATTATTATTATTATTATTAGAGAACTTCATAAGGTACATGCATTGAATACAAAAGGAAACTAACTGTGACCAGTTTTTTGCATGATCTGAGAATGAAATTATTTTCTTCAAGTCCTCTTAACGGTACATATACATTCAGTTTGCAACTTTTCACATTTCTATGGAGAATGGAGGTCGCTAAGACAATTAAAATATTACAACTTGTATTCATGTATGTAACACAAGTGCATGTGCCTTACTGAAAAGGTACATAGTAATATTTTCTTTTGGACAAAATTCATAAACGATATTCCCACAAGAATTTGGAAATCTTAAAACTTATGAAAAATGCATAGATCGTCAGGGCTGTCATTCAGATCTTATGTGGCTGGTCTCTCAGGGAAAGTAGCCATTTACTTATCCCACAAATCAAAGGCTGTGCTCTACATGTAGCAGTGCCCAGTGAGCCATAGTGCTTTACTTTTGCTTTAACCCTTTAAGCCCCAATATACATGTACAAATTCTCCAAACTGATCTCTATACATTTCCTTAAAGAGTGAGTCGAGTGAATTTGATAAACGATCAAAGCATTTTCTCTAAGGTGATCAGTTTATTAATTCTCATAACCTAATCTCTTGACATTGTATGGATATTGTTAGGAAAAAATTGTTGTTGGTCACTATTGGGACTTAAAGGGTTAAGATGACAAGGAAATCTAAGTTTTTTCATAGAAATCACAAACTGGGCACCCTGGATTTCATTGAGTCACAGCAATGGTCTCCCTTCAATTTGTCTTAGAGAACAGCCTTGAATTCTTCCTACATTGTGTACATGTTGTGGTTTAATTTTGTCCTTGGTTTAAATTTATTTTCCTTTGTCTTTGGGTATGATAATGTATTATAATGAGTTTGAAACAAAAGAAAATTAAAATCAACCCAAGGATAAAATTGAATCACAACATATACATGTATATTGACTCATTTTCAAACTTAGAGTAGCTGGCTGTTTTTACTGCAGTAGCCTGCTATAAAAAACCGGCTGCCCACTACTAATGTTAGCCCTGGATCTCACGGCCTATCCTAGTCATGCATGATAAAGATGACCTTTACTGAAGATTTAAAGTTGATCACTTACATAGCACAATCCACAGGGGTTTTTCCATTCAGGTCTGGTTTAGTGGGATCAGCACCATGTACGATCAGAAGCTCAACTTGAAGCGCTTGCCCTGCATTAGCTGCTACATGAAGAGGAGTATTATTTCTTTCCTGACAGAAAACAACAGTCAAGGCATCATTAAAGTGACCTCAGTGCTAATTAATCTTAACAGTAAATAACAGGTAAGTCCAACTGACTTACATGTACAATTCCTTGTATAAATTACCTTATGGTAAAGGTTGATTGATTTATTCATTTATTTACTATTTATTATTATTGTTTTTGATTTGAAAATTTTTAATCTGAACAGAATTCACAAAAAAAAATGGTGAATGAACAATCAACAATGTTGTCAACATAAAAAGCCAAAAAGAAGCCAGCAGCTCAACACAGTTAAATAGGTCAACAGACCACTTGCTAATTTTGTTTCCTGTTGGGTATCCTGTGAATACTGGGGATAAAAATCGTGAATGGTGGCCATTTTCTGTTATGACTCACAAATTCAAGCAAGCCACTGGCCTCATTAATTTATTTTTCATGACGTTAAACATCTTCCACATTCCACCATTGGCATTCTCAACTCTTGACTCATTTTAACAAGATTTCTTATCACTTACAGGATGAAAATAGTTTGCTCTTGCACCTAAAGAGAGAAGTCTCAAACATGTCTCAAGATTCCCAGTCCTTACACTTGAGTGTAGTTGCTAAAATGGAAACATAAAAGGTACAATGTATCACTTGTCAACAAGTATTGTCACATGCAATGAAACCTGTATGAAGGAGTCCGTCCCATATGGGGTCTGCTAAATACAGGTTTAACTGTATTTATAATAAAAACTGGCTCATTGTTTGTTATTAGCTTCTACTATTGTGTAATTATACAATCTGTATATTAATCTGACCTTATCCATCTCATATAGTTTATGTTACAAAAAAGTTAATACTGGACTTTGCTTGTCTCCCCTGTAGCTGCACCTTGACCTTGGCTGTCTTAGAAGAATCCACGCTATTTTTTTCACTACTTCTCAACATTAGTTATGGCTCCTAAAACTTTCAACTGATAATTATCTGAAGTTTCTGAGCTTTCTGTCTGGGGCTCTTAACGTTTTCAAGTTTTGGGTGTCTGAGCAGCCTTTGTTTTTAAGACTCCACTTACCTGGGCATAGCTGTGCAGAGATATGAAATTTCTATTTGAGTAGCGTCAAAAATGTAGTTCACAAGCATAAGTGAGCACAGCAAACAAGTGAAATACGTTCAAGACAAGAATTGGGAGAAATTTTGTATCTCCAAGCAGCCATGTTCTATTTATAATAATAAAGAACAAAAATCAAGATTCTACCTGGCTGAGGTCTGCAACTGTGATTGTATCATCATCTTTACATGGAAGACGAGGAACAAATGCAAGTCTTTGGTACTTGGCCTTGATGAAGGTTGCTTTAGTGGGACTAAAAATTTAAGAATAAAAAATAAAGAAAGACATCGTTAACATTTTACCATAGTTTCATAAATAGGATGTTTACTTTTACCACCAGTTTGTGTTTTCATGTTAATATGTTTTTTATGTGTGATGTTGTATGTGTAATTCATTGGAGATACTAGCCTTTAGGCTACTCTAAAATCCGAAGAAAACAAATAAAGTTATGTATGTACGTAGCTATGTATTGGCTTCTAAAGTCATTTCTTAGGGCCATTTCTAAAAAATATTTTTCTGTGTGAAATGCCTATAGTGGATCTTTTCAAAGGATAGCAATAATAATCGAAGAATAATCCTTGTAATAATAAACTCCTCCATGGTTTTTCCAACTTTTGACTGGGACCAGCTAGCACAAATCCATCAACATGGCTAAAATGAATGCCTTAATATTAGTAAAGATGTACCAAGTTTGAACGTGATTTGTTGAAAACTATCAAAGATATAGCTCCGCAAAGTCGCCAAATTTTACAGACGTTTGTATGGTGGGGGGTAATTTTGTGCCCCCCACCATACAAAACAACTATGAAATTTTGGTATTAATATTTATTAATATCTTTGCTCGCTTTTAATGTATCACCTATAAAATTGCTATGTTTCCTAATTTTAAGGCGCTTTTTCCAGGAGTGCTAATGGATATTTGCTAACTGGTCTTTATAAATCAAAACTTGAGAAAACCCATGCAAGGATCTATTACACAGAAGACAAACCTTCATGATTTGCAAGTTTTTCATGCCTTCTTCCACTATTCCATGTGGGCTTATTACATTAGTAAACCAACAGATAAGTTGGTTGATTGCTTTTACGAAATAACATTAATTTAGCAAAATCAAAGAAATTTTTGATGAGTTAACAGGACATATACTAGGTCTAAACAATAGATTATTAGTACAGCAGAATCTCCCCTAAACAACTCCTCTGGATATACAAGTACAAAGACACCAAAAAGTACAATACCCTCCTTGACACCTCCGTAAAGCCAACACTTGGCTCTGTTGCCTTGCTGACTTTATAATGGCGGTTTCAAGTACATGTATCTCAAGAAACAAGTTATTTCTTTCAGTATGTTACAGGCTGTACATGGATTGCGGTCTCGCTTAGGTGATTTCAGTAGGTTTAATACAAGTAGCATACTCACTGCACACGATCTTTTTGGTTTGGTTTCCTTAATCCACTCTTCATTTGATTTGGATCTAACAGTGAATGTTCCCATATTGAGTTTGCTCCATTTGTAACAAGCTGCCTAACCATCTGTTGCACAAAGGTAGTAATTATTATTAAGGAGAAAAATGTCACATTCTCTGTCAGTGAAACAAAAACTCCTTGACTACTCAAGTACCTGATGAGCCCAGGATTATCCAGAAAATTTTAAGAGGGAAAAAATTTAAGCAGGCAAAAAGATATTAGATTATTAAAGGCAATCGCAAGTGAGGCTAGGTTTGGAAGTGGGTTATCGCGCTATTAGAGGAGTCAGGGTGGTTTCCCTGGGGAAAATTTTAATTTCAGGGACCCTGAAAAACTAAGAGTGACCAAGTAATTATTGTAGCTCTATTAGCATTAGTTTGTTTCCATCCAATAAAGTATTGAGAAACAAATATGACACAATTAATATCCTCCTTTAAAAATACTTTGATTTTTCTGTCACTAGCAGGCATTTCTGGGGTAAATTTTTGCTAATCACCGAGTAGTCTCTAGAAACCCTGGACACCCACCAGAATATCTTGCAACGCTGTCAAAAGAAGTTTGTGTTCCTTGTTCATATACTTTAAATAAATGTTTAACAATGAGCCCAAGGTGTCCTCTGCGACCTTAAACCTCCACTAAAATGAAGCCCCTGGCAGATGCAATGTACCAATATACCATACAATCACGTGAGATTATGTAACCAAGCCACACATTTGCAATATAGGGCTATATTTCAAAATAATTATCTTTTGTTCCCTACTTCCCTATCTTGCTACCTTTTTGCATCATATATATTATCATTTTACAATACTTTAAATTAAATTAATTGAAAGATCATTCAATTTATGACAAAGAATAATCATCTGTTTTTGTATTTTTAGCATCAATCAGCATTCTATGCATATATTATCCTACACCTTTCTCCATCAAATCCTCACGTTTTACAGGAAGCCCACAAAAAGCTAAGGAAGAGGAGGTACTTAGTATAACATAAATATACCTTCCAATGTTATTATGGAAAAACAAAAAGGAAAGGGACTTATTTAAAATGTTAATAGAGAAAAGTCTAATTTCCAATGGTAGAATTTAATTTTGAAATCCATGTCAATTGTAAACAAAAATAAATTTGATAACAAGAAAACATGCTTCACGTTTTCTGAAAGATTTTGTTTTAATTAAAACACAAAACACCTGCCTATAACAAGCTTACATTCACACAGGATAAGAAACCTTTCAGATGTTCATTTTTGCTACAGTTATTTCGAACCATGATAAGCTGTGTCCACTGAACCATTAAAACACTATTAAATTAATGGCTACAAAGGAACAAGATCCAGTTTTTGTCACTTTAATTTCATGTTAAGCAAAACTTAAATATAATTGTGACCATTTGCTTTCGAGTTTAGGGATGATTGGTATGCCTTATCTTTTTGGCAGAATTTACTAAGCTCTGTTTTCCAAAGATCTAGTGGTGTAATAATATTTTTTTTTTGTACCCTCTTAGAAAAAGGATCTTAGTAGTTCAAAGAAAATCAAAAGAAATGCTACAGAAGAGTAAATTTCTCTATGTACTGTTCATTGTTCGGAAAGATTTGACAAAAAGCAGTGATTAATTTCCCCACGGTGAGAATGATAAGTTATGTTATTGTATACAAGGGGGAAGTGTACGCGGAACATTATTTTGACACTTCAGAACTGAATCCCTTAGTCAACAAAGAATAATCGGGGTAGTAGACTTTGGAGAAAAGCTAAGTTACTTTTACCAGTATAGTTTTCTATGGTAAGTAACCTTCAAATCAAGCTTTACAATAAATCAATTACAGACGTGAATGTTTGCAATGATGTCCATCTTACTTGATCGAAACCATTCTCTCTCGAAACTCCCGCGCCAATAACAACAACGCACTGTTATCCAACATCTAAATAAGATCACGAGGTCGGATTGTACCTTAAGACAGCAGCAAGAACAAAAGCGATATTTTTATCATTACATATACGTACCGCTTGTAAAGTTGGACTCCAAGACGAATGTCGAAGATGCTTCACTTGAGAAATATGCCGGCCCAGACTTCGATGTACACTGCAACATTCGTCGCAAATCAATACTCCGCGATTCACCGATGCCCATTCTGGACCTATTCAAAGACCAGTGATCAAAAGTTAGTTCTAAACTCATTAAAGGCAGATTTCTACAAGGATCCATGTTACCTGTCATCAACAAAAAGTTACTGTCATGTTACCGCGCTATGGCGTGTTAGGACTCAACTCAATATCTAGCTAACTTTCTCACCTGGAGCGCTACAATCCGCGCAAAAATCTGTCGTTGGACGTAGCTTCATCCTCGAAGACATAATTCAAGCCATAAAGGTGCCAGAAACTATGCAGCCTTGCTAACTCAACAAATATTGTTCCATGAATGCAAACAAATCCTTCACATTTCCCACTTCCCCCTTTTCTTCATACAGTATTACGCCCGCGTAACAACGGTCAGTTGCCAGAAATGGATATGCGCACTGGGCATCCCTTTAACTCGTTAAAGTTCGGTTTCCGTTCGGGTGGGTTTCTGTCAGCCGAGGAATTTCCGACAAAGCTATTTCTCTGGCAGGGGTGCGGTAAAATGGAAACAACAGGAAAAGAGGTTGACCATTCGCGGCACGAGAACAGAGATTATTTACATCTGCTCAATTTTCAGGCACGTCACGTAACCACAAAGCCATTTTTTCTTGATGAAACGCGATTCAAGGTTTTTCTTCTTCTTTTAGCTCCCAATCTCATCATCTAGGATTATTATAGCCTTGGACCAGGGTCTGCAGTGGGGGGAAAGGGCAAAAAACGGGGTCAAACAGGAAAAATATCGGCGAGCGAAGCAAGCCCAGCGGTGCAGTTGGGGAGGGGGAAAGGCCACCCTTTCCCCTCACCAGACTCCCTCTCAGGCTCGCTTCGCTCGCTGATTGTTTCTTTCGCCACGCCGATTTTTTCTCCTTTTTCCCCTAACGCGGAGCCTGGTCCCAAGCTAGGGTTATTAGTGATCTCATTGTGAGTGCAATCGCTAAACTTCCAGAATTGTCGAAATGCCAAGCTCGACTGACGAGCTTTCTGGGTCAACGATCAGGGAGTGGTCGGAAAAAAAGTTTTCTTCTCAATTAGGAAATTTTACTCCGAGTAAGGGAAAATTTAATAGCATTAATAACAATACAGAACTGATATTGAGGTAAGAGAGGATACTTCTCTTGCTTAAAGTCGTGGAAACCAACGCATTTTGGCTGCAGATTCTTGCCGCGTTTTGCATTTTTTTCGATCCTACCCACAATTCTCTATTCAAAACAAGAGACATTTCAAGTTTGAAATCAGTGCGCGCCTAAAGCTGGCTTCGGTGACGTTTAGCAGTTAACATTTTGTTTTTGGTCACCTTGAGAAAAGTTTCGCGAAGAGCATCATGTAAAGCTCTGAGATGGGACAAAGTTATTTCGATTCGCAGAGTCTGCATCGTCCAATATTGTATTGTATTCTCGTTTCATTTAGTTAAACAGATCAATCACCCTGATCCGGGCTGAGACAGAAAGATACGATATTTGTTCCCTCTTCTAAGGTGACCACTAAGTCTTTGGTTGAATGGAAAGCGCCCCAGATAACTAGGAAACCTAACGGAAATGAAAGTGGGAGACTTTCAGGGGAGCTTATTGCAAAGGGGAAAGGGGGAGTGCCTATATTAGAGAGACCCGCTTTTTCGAGGAATACGTTACTTAGCGAAAAAGATCTTGGACGACCGAACTGTTTTGCGTTGTTTACCAATCCGGCCTGCCACCTAGTTAAGTTAAGAAAAGCGCGCCACTCGTCAGAATGATACCTGTTTCTTTATTCTTATTATGTTTGTGGTCTGTGACTGATTAGACAAAAAATCGGTAGGGAACTTCAGCAACGAAGACAGCGGCGGTAACGAGACCTTCAAAAAATCAAAAACTTTTTAAATGAACAAAACAACAATATTGCAGGTGCGATTTTTGGTACATTTCTGATCTTTGCAGTCTCTTCACGCCCAAGAGGTGAAATTTATGAAGGACGTAAACACACCACGACGACTTTTTCTTTCCTTTCTAATCTTGTGTGTGATCCCCAAGAATTCAAGTCTATGAAAAATCGCCTCCATTTCCCATTTCAAGGAAGTTGGAGTAAACGCGACAAAATTTGTTTTCTGCTACGTCACCAAAATGCATTGACCGAGAGGCCCGGGAAGACGCCATACAGGGACAAGGCAATTGGTGATTACACTGGCCACTCTCACATTATTTTACAAGCTGCTAATTCAGAAAGACTCATTTATTTACAAACATATTAATTCTGTACTTCTTGAACTCTGTTGCTTTACACTAGCTCGTGAGCCGTTGCTGCTACTCAAGCTTAAAGGCACTGTTTAGTGTACTAGAGCATCTACATAGTAAGTAAAAAACTCTTACAAGGTCACAAGGTTACGTTATCTACGATAACGACAGCCGATCGAGAGGTTAACTACATTGCTAGTCCTCAAATGGCTATTCTTTGCAACATCAAGAGTTCTATCCCCTATTTGTTCTCTACCTTACAAATGAATTTCTTTTTTGGTGTAGCTCAGTGCTACATAAAAACGATACAGAATACTACATTATGCAAGCCACATGAAGTGTCCAACTTTGTCCGCACTTTCTTTTCCAGTGCTCCTCGTCTTTCTCCTCCCAGTCCTTCTCCAAGCTTGTCGCCGAGTAACCTGCCAATGAGGCTAAATTTAGCTAGCCTCCCATAGCTTTTTTGCCGGCTTCTACTATTTTAGAGGTATATCTTATGAAAGTCATTGTTGCCAAAAGTGGCGTTACACTTGGGACATTTTCTTTGCCTTGTGTCGTATCTGGTCTTTAGACACTCAAAACAAAACACATGAAAACACTTCGTCAAGATGGCGTCCTTCTTCCTTGTGTTGCAGCACGGACAAGTCAGTTTTGCCTGAAAGTATAAAAACAAAATAAGATGATTAGAACGCTTTCGAGCAAAATTCAGAAGTAGTTGCCAACCCAGAACCATGGTAACCAGTGTGGCCAATTGCAATACGTGCAGACATTCAAATAAACCAGTCAGATGTCATGTCAACCACAGTGTGGACTGGCCGGCTTTAAGCGCGGGAAATATGCTTGGGAGCAAGTGACAATTGTTTTTGGTTTTAATTTTGATTGGTTGAGACAAAGAGGCGCGAGGTCTTTCAGCAAAATCACAAAGCGAGCAAAATAAGACTATTACTTTCGAAACTCATCTGAAAATCGCTCCAAAAATTGAAAACACATTTTTACGATCAATCATTTTGATTAAAGAAAGAGGCGCGAGGTCTATCAGCGAACAACAAACAGAGAAAAATAAGACTATTAGTTTCGAAACTCATCGCAAATCGCTGCAAGTTGAAAACAAATTTACGGGAAAAATGTTCGCGAGAAAATAGAAATTGCCTTTTTTAGGATTAATTTTAATTGGTTTAGAGAAAGAGGTGCGAGTTCTTTTCAGCGAATCACTAAGAGAGCAAAATAAGACTATTACTTTTGAAGGGTGGATAGCGCCTCTAGATTCCTTCTTGAACGTCACTGGGTCGAACCTGTTCTCTCTCCCGTAGCTCTTGTAACAGGACATTAAGAGAAAAAAATAATTTCTTGAGCATTACCTTATATTGTTTAATTTCCTCCAAAAGAATTTCATCTGCCGCACCATACAAAACGTTTTTCTTCTCCTTTTCTAATTTGCGCCTGAGGCTTGCGCATTCCTCCTAAAATAGAAGATTGAAAAAGAAGCGTCAAAAAGATATAAGGCAGAGGAGCCCCAAACGTGATTACAGACGTTCAACAAGAAAAGAAGCTGTCACTCAATATAACCTGAACTCTGCGGGATTTGAATGCTTCCTCCTCCGATGCACGGGTTTGCTCGGATAAGCTTTCTTGGGCCTGAAACAAGAGAGACATAATTTGAGGGAAATTCAAGTCGGGCGATTTCCTATTGAAGTCATGTGCAACCAAAGGGAAGAGTCACTTTGTAAACCAAAATAGCTCACCACAGGGTCCCCAGTAGCTCAGTTGATAGAACATCTGACTAGAGAGGGATGGGCGTGGTTTCGATTCCACTTGGAGCTCAAATTTTTTTTTTCTAGGTTCTTTGTATATCGAGAATCTGGTATCAGTTGTGATAATTGGAATTTATTTGTTAGTTTGCCGAAAGGATTTCGTCAGCGAGTTATTTTCGAAAATTCGTATCTATTGCCCAAGGCCCCAGTTGTTGAAAAGTTGGATAGCGCAATCCAAAGGAAAAATCACTATCCAGCGGATAAGTATTAAGGAAACCAATTACACTATACAGAGGATAGAGATTTATCCAGTGGAGAGCGTTATCCACCTTTTGAAAAACTTGGGCCAGCTGGCCTCGGATGTTTAAAAGATGTCTAACGCTATCCACCGGATAAATCACTATCCACCGGATAAGTCACTATCCACTCGATACGTATAAGGGAAACCAATTGCGCCATCTAGCGGATCTGAGTGATAAATCCAGTAGATAGCGCTATCCCCCCTTTTGAACAACTAGCCCCTGATAACAGACTATCATGCGGATAAGAATTAGAGAAACCGATTGCATGCATTATACAGTGGACTGGGATTTATCCGGTGGATAGCTTTTAAACAACTGGGGCCTTGGGCCTAAAGCGAGGGCAACTGTGTCAAAACTCAAGCCACAAAAGAATCCCATAATGCAACACAACGCAAACTGAGTCTTATTTCGCGCAACTTAAAAATGGCTAACATCAGTGTCGTGTTGAAAAGGGTATCCACGTGGTAGTGGCGAGAAAAGACTTCATACACGCATCTCACCTCTTGAAACTGCTGTTGAAACGAGTCGAACCGGATTTTGATGTCTTGGGCGGCCTGTGCACTTTCTATCGCCTGTAAGAAACAAAAGAGGTTGTTATAAACTGACAAAAAATGTTGAAATGGAATGACAGTTGGTCATGTATTGGACGACAAACTGTTAAAACATTCAGCTTATTATACAACAGTGAACACACAACCAATGTTATTACAGACCTTTCGTTTGTGCAGCTCCATTGCTTGCTGCCTCAAGTTGAGTTCTTTCTCCAGTGACGTCTGGTAACGGAAACAAAGGAGAATTCAATCGGGTTTACGTTGCAGATAGCACTCGTGAAAACCTGGATACAATGGATTCAATGGTACAAATACGCCAAAGCAACGTGTCTTTGGCTTATAATAAGCCTATTATGCTATTGTTGTTGAGCATTATTACCTTAATTGCTTAAAAGAGCTATGTCACGCTAGTTGCTACCTTTAAGCTTTAAAGCAGTGATTTTGTTACTAATAGTTATGGTGAGTCCTAGGACTCATCTTCTGAAAATCATGAGTCCCAGTCCAGAACCATTGAATCCCAGTTCAAAAACACAAAAATCTTTCTTCTATTTTGTGTATGGGTATTTATGACTTCCGCACAGAATGGACCCAAAACAGCAATGCCGTATTTTCTCGATTAAATGTTGGACTCCGATTAAACGTCGCCTTGAAAAAACGGCGGGTCAAAACTGCCGATTTTTAAATAAACGCCGGGGGCGTTTAATCGAGAAAATACAGTAGAGCGATTTTCGTATGACCTTGAAATGAAAACGCGCAAACAAAACAGAAACAACAGACAAACGAAAATAGAGCGATTTGATTGGTTTATCGAACGGATATGAACGCGCGTGGCTTTTGGTTGGTTAAGCGAACGCTCGGGTGAAAAAACTTCATGCCTGAGAACTTTCTAGAAATCAATGGATACTTCGCTTTGACGTCACACTGCAACACGATTGGCCAATCGAACAATGCCTTCTCCATATTAGGGTGTTTTTTTGGCGGGAAAACGAAGAGGCCATGTTTTGACCTTTTCATCCATTGGCTGATAAAACAAATAACGAACACTTAAAGAAACAATTTTTCAAGGTCATACGAAAATCGCTCTATTCTCGGAACATAGTACGTTTAATCTTTTAATCATAACTCCTTACCATTGCATTTTGTAATGCCTTTTCTCTTTCGTCCTGTTTCCTCACTAACTGAGTCTGCGTCTCACGGTGTGCGTTGAGAGAAGTCACGTGGTCAGATAACACGTCCATCTCCTCGCGCAGTTGCTTTTGGATCTGATTCCCTTTTATTCGCTGAAAGAAAGCAAACAACAAGGAAGTTGAAAATGAAAAAATGTTGTCATGTCACTTGCGTGAGACAACAGGGTTAGCGCGAAATTTGAATTTAGATATGAAAGCTTAAATAGCAAATTCAATTTAATTCTTTTTGCATACAATTTGATGATTAGATGTTCTAAAAAGAATAGAGTAAATTATCCCAGAAAATACTGTTGAAGAAAAGAAAAAGACACCCCGTTAAAATTTAACCGCGAGAACAACTGGGCCCTCACTGCTAGACGGGATTTAGCTTGCGTAGCTAGTCAAGATAGTTGTTAGCACAACAAATAACATGCAAAAGTAATATTGGTTTCTCTTCGGGCAATTCCAAGTAATCGATATGATTAGAATCATTATTATTGTTCGCTCAGAATTACCTTAAACGAAAACTTCAGGCTGGCGACGTGTTTATCTTACCTCGGACATGAGTTTCAGGTTGGCGTCGTCTTTTTCTCGTAGCTGCTGTAGAAGCCGAACGTTCTGTTCTTGCATCTCCTCAAACGCCTGACCTGTAAACTCCATTTCCGCCAACACGGCATCTTCTTCCTGCAGAAGGAAACAGCGACAATATTGTTATCCTCCATTCAGTTAGCTGCCGTGTTTCTAGATCATGCAAAAAAAATCCACTGTTTGGATGAATAAACCATCACCTTGACCACAACATGTCTAGTGACAAATGTACAGCCTGCACTAGGCACTCGCGTGACTTCTCGCGACTACTCCAAATGGACAGTTTGCTGGCAAGATAAGCGTGCACTTATACTTTTATCTTCCACGCAGTCACGCTGACGGCGTTACGTGCATTGTGTCGGCAAAAGATCTTGCAGTTGGGGTTTCCTTTCACGATTCTTAACATGTTGTGTGCTAAAGGCACACTAGGAGCCAAAAGACCCGTGCGCCACACGGCCAGGCCGTTTAAGTAGCATATAGCGTCCCACGCAGACGTTCTTAGGGGTTCGTCACGCGTTCCTGCCCCACAGGGAACGCGTGACAAACCCCTAAGAACGTCTGCGTGGGACGCTAAGAAGCATTAGGTACCCTAAAGTATTAGCAATCCCCGCGGATGAAATGCGAGTACATCAAAGAGTTAGTCCAAGCATTATTTTGGCGGTACCTTTTGATACACTTGAGTAGAAACAGAAATTAAAGCAAAGTTTCTGGTCTTAAGGCATACTAAAGTTGACTGACTACGTCTCAGGTCACAACGCAGTAACACGGTCTAACAGCGAACAATAAGAAATCCTACGCGCTAACTATTCGAAAAACTAAAATTCAAAAGTTCGGACAAAGAAGCAGTCACGTAACAAGATCATTTGTCCGTGTCATCGTCCGGTGCAACGAGTTGAAAGTAAAATTAATTTTTCTTGAAAGAAAACAAGTGGTTATATGTCACCTGTTTCGTTGCCGCCAAATTTTTTTGTAGTTGCTCAATTGTTTCATCTGCCATCTTCAGCCTCTTTATGGCCTCCTCGTCAGCTAAAGCACCTTTATACTTTTCTAACTCCTTTTCAAGATTCTCTATTCGAACCTTCTGCTCTTCTATTTCCTCTTTCAGTTTTTTCTCCGCGGATATCAGCTAAATGGCACACAGAGGAAAAAAAAGAAAAGAAAATCATGACTTTGCTCATAAAAACTTATCACCATTTACCCATCTGATCTTTACCTCAACTTTATCCCGGAGATCTTTTGCAGCGCCTTTATACACGTCTAACAAAATCTTCATCTCTTTTTGGCTTTCTTCAGATTTTCTGTCAAGATTTTCCAAAAATAAAAATAGATAACTAACTTTTCAAATGCAGCACTTAATGCCACAAATTGTTTTTAACAGGGAACTTATTTCATATAAATTGTTAAGGGTAAAAGGAGGTGAGACGCGGGCTCAATATAAACCTTCGCCCTCGAAAAAATCTCCAGTTCTTCTACTGCAAAATTTTGGTTATAAGTCTGGGTTCAAACCTTTCTCAGTCTACATATATATGCGGTCAGAAGCATGTAACCCATATATATAAGCATATGCTTCTGATACGGCCGAACCACCCGTAGCCGACCACCCAAACGGCGGAGAGAAAGTGGTCGCCTACGGGAACTTGGTCGCTTACCAGGCTAAAAACAACGGAAAATTATACTCTTATGATATTTGAGAAGTGGAAAACCGGCGTACCCGGAGACAAACTTCTCGGAGCAAGAGAGAGAACCAATAACGAACTCAACCCGCATGTAGCGCGACGCCGGCATTAGAACCCAGACCACATTGGTGGAGGCGAGTGCTCTCACCGCTGCGTCATCCCTTGCTCCCCACCCCTGCTCCCCCAGTAGACTAACGGAACTCACTTCAAACTAGCCCGTAGTTCCTTTAGCTCTGCTTCAGAGGATTTACTGCTTGAGGCTGCTGTTTCCTCACCATCATCTATCTCGCCCTCTTCTTCTGGTTTAGCAGTTGCCTTTGTCTCTGTTTGGTCTTTAGCCTGTTCACCGTCTTCCTGCTTCGCAGCCTCAGATGACGGTTTCGGCGATTCTTTCGCCAGTTTTAGCTCTTCGGATAGCTAAAGCAAATACAGTAAAACCCACACATCAGAAACACTGACTTTTGGCCATGAGCTCAGAGAATCGTTCCACAGCCTCTACGTGGTTGTTACGTACCAGGGGCCGTGCAAGGGAGAAATTTTGAGGACGGACGAACGAGGGGAAAGAAGAAAAAGAAGCCTTCCTCTCCCCTTCGCGTGTTGCCCTCGCGCGCCTTAACAGGGTAACATTTCTATGTTTGGACCATTTTAAATCTTGCCCTTAGCTTGATAAAGGCAAATCTTTGCTTTACCTAAAAAAGAAAAACAAGACCACTATCTAGTTATCTTCACCTTAGTGGCTTGAACCTGAGCTTCACTGAATTTTCTTTTATATCTCGACACTTCAGTCTTAAGTTGCTGATTGTGACTCTGAAAAATATTAATCAGATGTGGTGAACAATAAAGAAACATGATAAAGTTTAAGCCCGGTAGTGATTGAGAAAGATTTAATTGGCCATTCCCGAGTCAGTCCAAAAACCTCACGTTCAAAACGAAGCCAAGTGCGAAATAGCCTCCCCCGCAGGCGTTTTTAGGAGAGCTCGTATTTCTTCCCTCCCTTCAAACGCCTGCTCAACGGAAAACAACATTCCTTTTTCATTGTTTTATTTGCGTGGTGACCAACCAATCAACAGTGGCACCCAGTGGGGAGGGAAGAAATACGAGCTCCCTTAAAACGCCTTCGGGGGAGGCTAAGTGTGAAACCTTTGTTGTGAAAATGAGTGTTATTTGCATAAGAATAAAAAAAATCATTTTCGTATCAATAGCTTGGCACTTAGCCTCGATTTGAAACAGAGGCTTGAGACAACTCAAAAATGGCCTGTTGGTCACTTTGAGGTTGTGTGAGAAGAAAATCCTTAGACAGGAATGACCGAGACCAGGTTTTATGAGCCAGCGAGACTGAGCACCCAACCCAAACCCTTGTTTTTACTAACACCGCTGGACGCCCAACCTGGTTGAGGTCATTGTTATCTAAGGTCTTCCGTGTGAGAGACTGGCTCGAGCCAGTATTGTCTTGAATTGCACCATGGGACTGTTTGGGGATGAATATTTCGAACCACTTTTTAGCAACTTTCAGCGCAACGTAGGGAGCTTAAGCAATGACGACAAAGACGGCAGAGAAAACGTCGCTGCCAAAATGACTTTACCTATCAAACTTTGTCGCGTCTACGTGGATCCGCTCAATTTGCCAAATCAAGGCGATTTTTCCTGGATTTGAATTCTTAAGGACTTTATCCAGGTATTAGAAAAGAAAAGAAAATTCGTCGTCGTATGTTCACCTCCTGCATTAAACGTCGCATTATGAGGTTTCACGTAGTAGTCGTGCTGTGGACGACAAAGAAATGTACTAAAAAGCGCGATGCACGTGCAGGCCTGTTGTTTTTCTCATAAAACTAATTGTTTTTTTTACTACTACGACGATGCCCTAAACGTCCCCTAAAAAGTGAGTTCACGCTGTTTAAAAATTCATCACTCTCATTCCACGTCGTTCCATTTTGTCAAATGCTGGTGAATGTTTCAATCCTAAAGCCCTTACAAGTCCAAGTTTTAAAAGAGAAGTAGAAAGTCGTGGCCTTGTATTCGCGTCCTTAACAGTACTATGAGCATAACCCGGTTGGTTTCGTTGGAAACAAAAGGAGAATAGAACCGAAGAGAACTTTCCAGCTCTTAAATTCCCAGCCTACTAATTGCATATGCCAACTTCAGTGGCGGATCCAGGGGAGGGGCCTGGGCCCGCCCCCCCTCCCCACCACTTGTTTTTGGACCAAACTGAGGCCCCCAAAAATTTTCCCCCCTTATCTCAAGGTCTGGATCCGGTACTGACCTTGAAATCTTAGTGATAGCCCTTTTGCACTGTACATTTTTGTTACCGGTCGTTTCGATACAAGTTTATTTTGTCGAGGTGTAAATTAATAGTTTCAAGTACTTGGCTTAAGGAAGGACGAATATACACCCCAAATGTTTTTTGTTCTTGTTCACGCGTAAACTACAGGGGCACCCAACGGCAATTTTCGGGAAAATATCTGTTCGGAAGACGATTTGAAAACTAGAATTTTCGAAACATTTGTTGTAAAATTTCTTGCTTGCCTGCCTCTCCTAGGATTTTCGAACATCTACAAAATGGTATAATTACCCATTTTAATCGGATATTTACCCTAAAAAAGGCCACCTAGAATTTTCGGGAGCCTTTTCCTGGCTGAAATTTTCGAAAAGGTTAGTTTTGATCCCTATAATTTTCGGATCACTAGACTTTCAGCTAGGAAATCTGAACAGATGAAAAGTTTTTAGGGGATAAAAATATGCCTATATCTACCGTTTAAATACTAAAATACGTTCAACAATGCTATGTTTGGAGGTTTTGAACTATATCCTCGTTGGGTGCCCCTGAAACTATACCTGAGGTGGTCAAAATTCTTGTGCAATTTCACTGCTTGAGTTCGTAACGAAACGACTTTGTATCGAAACGACCGACAGTTTTGTTTCCCTGCAATAACTTACCTGTAAGCTGCTAAGCATGTGGCTCATCTCTTTCGTCATTGGACCTGTAACCAAAAACATGCAGCTATGAATACAACTCAGCCCCTCTCTGACCAATGCGTTTGTTTTTTGAGTGAGCCGACAGTTACATGTAGTGCTAGAATCCACGTACGAAAATTCATCTTGAAATTTAAGCTCTTTTTGCCCCCGGCCTTTCATTGACATTAGGAGGGATTACGAAGATTTAATAGCTGCAAATTGCCGGAAGTAGGTCCTCCATTTTAATGGAGAAACACCCTTCTCTGCAAAAACTCATCCCCACCCCTCAAATGTAGAGCTTGCCTGCAGGCTAATAACCCTCCAATTATCACCTTCCAAGGTCTATCGTTAGAAATGATCCTCAAGTGCAAAATATGACTCCTTAATAGCCAGACATCTCTTATATTTGCTATAATACATTTTAAATATGGGTCTTCGTGGTTTTGTTTGACATTCGAACCGTAATACATGGAAATTCAATGTTACGTATCACATTCCAAATATTAAAACGTTTTGTACATAGACGACTTTTTAACTCAGACTTTCCTCCACTTTTAGACAACCCAAATTTGACAGACAATTTACCTCCTGTTATAAGGTCCCTTCGAAAATATCTTGAAGCCCCTAAATAAAGTCATCTACAAAGACAATAGTCCAGGGGGTTATTTCCGAATTTTATGGTACTCCGTTAAAAAAGCAAGGTAAATTTCCATAGTTAAATAAAAAGAGACAAACCTGTTTGTTCATTTGCCTTGAGATTTTGTTCAAACTCCATTCGCAGCAGGTCGTAGTCTCTTTTCACTTGTAGCAGGGCATCATGGAGTTCGCTTATCTCCGCTTTGTATTTCTTCTGCATTGTAACATTGTTTGACTAACAAAAAGTCAGTGGTGTGTGAGGTGGGGATATGAAAAACCTTTAGGCGAGGTTATGTTAAAACCTGTATAATGTGCACCCCGCATCACGCAGGTTTAAAAATAGGTACCGTCGAATCTGGTGCAGGGATTAACCCATAGCTAAAAAAAGGAATGGTTTGCCATTACTTGCCTGTCTTAGTTTATGACTTCTCTCATGCACTGTAACCCTGCGATGCACTGGCCTCACGTCCAGCGCAGAGTAGAATAATCCCTAGTCACTTCATTCTAGAGAACACTCAAACCGAGTTAAGCTCTGGTGTGATGAGCCCCTTGGCTCCAATACAGACCTCAATCATATAAAGCAGACATGAAGACAATGAGTCCTTGACTTTCCTCTTGAAAGGAAATATTAGGACTGACTTTAGGGAGACACCAGCAAAGGTGACATGGGCATACTCTTAATACAGGTTTCACTGAAAATGTTGAACAAGCTTGTACACTTTCAAAGAGTTTCGTCCAATCGCCATGCTGCCCCAGGAATTAGACTCAATAAAACATCCGTCAGTAGGCTAGTCTCATGTTCAAATTGATCTATGAAAATGGTTGCTTGGGTGCCAATTCATAGATCTTTTGATGTGGATTATTTCTTGTTAGGTATTTGAGGAGAAGTCAATAAATTACCTAAAGTCACTTTAAATGTTTTGGTGGAGTTGGTAAGGTCAGTGGGTTGGTATATCGCCTTGGGATCACTGGATTTTGCTGTTTCAGTTCCCAAGCAATAGGGAACTTGTTGAACTTGCATGTATGAACTGTTTTTAACTACTGTGGTATGGATCAGTGATCTTACAAGAAAAAGAGATCAAAAAAATGTTTATAAAGATACCTCAATTTGCTCCAGCTGTAGGACATGCTGTGTTTTAGTTGAGCTGAGAGCACGCCGAGTGTCATCAAGCTGTTGGCGAAGCTGCAGAAATATAAACACAATAAATTAAGAAAAATATACCCAAGTCAGGGTACAGAGAAAGTCAGTTTTACAGCTTGCCATTTGGGCAAACTGCAGCTAGTATGTCCTAGCCCAAAATTCATTTCACTAGCCCCAACAACTTTTTGATGAGCAGGATTGATTACACAGTTCTTATGTAATTTGAATTCCTCACAAAACTTCACTTTCCCGTTGGGCAAGTTAGGAACAGAATTCACTAGCCTGATAGTAAAATCCACTAGTCCCGGGCTATTGGACACTACTTTCTTTGCATGCTGCAAGTAATATACTTTATGAGAGTCTTAAAACCAGACAAAGAAAACATTGCAAAATTATTAGCTATAATTCTCTTTTCCAAATTATTCAAACCCCAAAGGATTATTGAAAGAATGAAGAGATCTACATGCAGGAGAGTGTTTGAAGCAGTTTGGAAAACTTGACACTCTTGCTGATTTAACAACATACGTTGAAAACTGTAGGCAAACCTAAACACAGCACCCCTGCAGTGTTGGTACTTGATTTTTTGATGACCCTGTTTGCTACAAAATATTTTTGCTTGTTTTTCTCTTAGGAAGAGATAATGAAAATTCAGTTGGGGGCCTTCTACATATGTCACCACTTTGCACTCATCATGTAAGCAGGCAACCCACTCCATATCTCTCACAGTACAAAGCATCGGTTCATTTAATAGTTCCTCTGACCAACCTGGGTAACTTCTCCATACAAAACAGAGAATTGTGACTGTAAGCATTTGTAAGGAGCGGATTGAAGAACTGCACTTTCAGGAATGTTGGTTATCTGGAGAAGAAAGGAAAAAAAATATCACATTATATATTATTCCAGCATTTCCTCTTTGTAAAATGAGGATTGGCACTGTGGCGGTGTAGCTAGTTTGAATAAAATGTTGCGCTGATCTCAAACCGGTGTGCGGTGTTTCTGATTTTACATCAACGGTACTTGGTGAAGCACAATAACTTGTGGACTCTTTGCAGTGTTGTGGTTTATTATTTGGGCATACAAAAGAGTGCATAACCGACTGTGTAACTTCTTTTACGAAGACAGAAAAAGGGTGGGGATCCAAACTACTTTCATAAAGACAAATTCTACTTGGTAAGTTCGTAACATGCCACCATGCATTCTTTATACCTGCATTACTGAAATAGAGTTCTTAGAATCTTGAGGTCAGTTTGAGAGTCTACTAAATCAAAACCAGCTCCGAGATCCTCCTTTCCCAATTACATGGAGATTAATAGAATAGATTAATCACAGGGCAAAAATCAAATTGCTATGGCGGCGTTTCCTCAACTTTTTCTGCGGTGATGCAGTGTATGCTATTTTTTGCTGTGGTGTTGTGGTGTTGACAGTCCCCCAATGTCCCCCTGCTACTTCCATGTAAGAAAATTTCAGAGACAAAAATTTATCACAGGGTAATATTTTGTATCCACATTGTGTACCAATTTTTCATTGAAACACCTTAGTGGGGAAGAAAGACGATTTTATAAGTGCAAATTTGCAGTAGTTAGGTATAGTTAGGGAACAATCCTAGCCCCAGGCCCTAACTGTCAGCTCTGAATGCCCTTAACCCACCCACACTACAACTCTAACCATGCAGGTTTAAAGTATTCAGTGACAACAAAGCATTTTTTACAATGAAAAACAATCAAATCAAACAAATCAGTTTCAAAACACACATATCATGTTGCTTATACTGACCTCAAGCTTGAGCTTTTCCAGCTCCTGTTGGGAAGTGATATAATTGTCATTGAGTTTTTCCAACTCTTCCAACCTTGTCTTGGATAATTCTTGTAAGTCCTCCAGTTCAGTAGATGTTTCATCATTCTGTGGTTAGGGTTATAAGCAAGAGGTGTAACTTTTAATCATCATCATTTTTTTAAACAGGACATGATAATTATAGATATACATGAGAGAAGTGCATACTACACATTTACAGCACATGGTGATGGCAGTGAAACAGGAGACATGAAAGCCCCCAGTCAAGTGCACACCGACAATTCACAAAAAGATAAAAAGATTAAGAACACAAGTCTACCCCAAGCAATGTCAAATTAAAAACACTTAAGGGACAAAGCCATGCGTTCACATTACAGAGATGCCTGTGTTACAGAGGAAGAAATTGTATGACATTTACTAGATGTATTTTGGGGGCCATGTGAATTGGCCATGTAAGGATGGCACTTTCTCATCCCTGCAAATACACGTACAGATGTGAGACATGCAGCTGCTGTAATGTTAAATTGAGAAAACACTGCTTGCACCTCTGGATTAGACTACAACATACATGTGCTGACACCCTCATGCTGTGCACTTTGTTATGTTCAACACCAGCAGCATAAACCTAACTTTACAATTAAACGTACAGTCAACTCTTTTTACCACGGACACTGTAGGGACATGAGTTAGTGTCCTCATTCATGACAGTGCGCAACAGTGGGAGTTTATTACAGTCAAATATCTGCAATTTATTTTTGCCTGGGATTTAGCTGCTGTCCGTACTATCGGGGTGTCCGTTATAACAAGGTGTCCACAAGGCAAGAGTTGATTGTATGTGCTGTAGGCAGAGGTAGGCAGGCGTGGGTAATGGGTGAACCCAAGGGGAGTGGGTTGGGTGGCTAGCTACCTCCCTTTAGAACAGCTCACCAATTAAAATATAAGGCATGGAAAAACAAGCAGAAATACATGGGTCCCTAAAAAATATAGAAACACGTGGGTCTCAAAAACCTTGTGAAGCCAACCAGCCTTTATCCTTCCTACATCACCATGTTTTGGGACAAACGAAAGATAAATTAAAATAAATTTGGTATAGTTGGGTGGCCAATTGGTATCATCCACCCCCCATTAAATAATCCCAGACCCGCCCCTGAAGGCAAAGTTTGGTTTGGCACCATACACCATTTTGACTTTACCTGAGCTGGCCCACTGTCCCCTTGTTCTCCTGGTGCTGTATTTCCATCACGCAGTCTCTTATTCACGTCTTCCAGTTCATTAAGCCTCTTCACCAAATTGTCAACCCGGTGATTGGCTTTTTGAAGCTCATATAAAGCATCCTGAAGTTCAGTGTTTAGCTGGGAAATCTCCTTTTGTGCTAAAGCATATTTATCTCGGATTTCTGAAAACTAGAAATACACGTAAACAGTAGTACTTTTTACCAAAATGTAATGTAACTTAATTCATAATGCAAAAATATCTAGTGGGATAAAAACTTTAGAACTTTTTGTCTAATCCACACACAATCCTTAGTGGAGCTACCATGCATGCTGGATCTTTCCTACATGTGTAAATATAGTACACAAAAACAGTCATAAGCTTTTTATACACGTCCAAACGGGATAAAATAATATTAATTTCATACTGTGTACTCTTACAGACTTGGCTATTATTTAATTACAGTCAATATCTGACCTTACCTGGCAACTCAACAATAATATCTGAGTAACGGATGTGTTTCATCTTATCCAAACTAAACCTAAACATGCTTTTAAACCACACACCCATAAATAAATGTTCCACAATATGGGAAGTGAAAAGCTTTTAGTTACATAAAAAGCTAGGATGTCTTTTTTTTACAGAAATTACCATTAAAGGTGGTTACACATGTGCATTTTAATCAAGAAACTTTAAAATCAGAGACTCCAACAATCATACCTACATGTACAATAAAGAATAAAATAAAAGTGGTGGGGGTGTAAATGGGGATTAACAGTTACAGATTACCTCAAGAGATGTGGTTTGCTGTTTTTGATGAAGTGAAGTGACAAGCTCTCTAAGTTGTTTATTGTCAGCTTCGAGATCAGGTTTTTCCTGTTCATCAGCACTTGTTTTTTGAGCAAATTCTGGTTGCTGTTGTTCCTCTTCTATTAGAAGATGAATTTTGGTTATTAGCTACAATAGATGCAGGTGTATGCCTTTTTAAGCCGCAAAAAAGACAACAAGAGATTTTGAAACTAATGAATCTAACAACAATACCAAGACTGTCTTGATTACTAATGATCATTGAAGGGATGTAAAAAATTAGGTGCTCAAAGTGGTTCTGGATCTCCTGGTCTTTCATGTTGATCATTACATCTCCCAGCTGGTGAAAATATTTTTTAGTTCCTCTGTGCTATAGTCTGGAAATTAGCTCAAAATTTCCCAACAATGCTTTTGAGTAGGTTACTAGTACAATGTATGATTTCTGAGGGCACTTTCAAATGCCTTTAATCACTAACAAGGACTAGTTTTGTCATTATAGACATAGAAGTGAGTTTTGATTTTTTTCTGTCATTATACCCTGGGAAGTGACTGTCTGTGTAAGGCCATGTATAACTTCCGCAGCCACATCCACATCACGATTTAAAGCTAACTGGGTGCGGATCAGGGGTACATTGGGTTGATACTGGGGGTGGGTTCTGCAAAAGAGACAATCTTTTGATTTTACTGTAGCTGTGCTCTGGCAGCCCCTGGTGCCTAACATTATTTTGTTCTTGGGTTTCTTGGAAATCTTAGCCTTTTTAAAAAATTCATATGCTGGGCTCCCTGAATTTCAGAGGTTCCAAACACTGGGCTCCCATCATTTTTTTTTTAAAGCACAGCCTTGGTAGGTCTCCAGACATTGGCATCTCTGGGATAAACACAACTTCCATCTCAAGAACACCAGCATCCTGCATATCAGCGATTGACCAAGACCGTAACATTTACATTACCTTTGCTCTCTTCTCCTACTACATCAATCTCATCATTTGACAGCTCTTTGGTGACTTTTGGTGCAGGTGTAGTTACGAAAGGTCCAGACTTTTCTACATAGCTTAACAGTTTCCTGGTGTGTTCTTTTGTTGCAGTAGATCTCTTGGCCACTTCTTCTCTAACTTGGTCCGAGTCCAGATTTGCAAGGTAGTCTAAATATGACAGAGTAGCCTCATTGGAAGTCTGTTCAGAGTCCTCTTCACCAATTCCTTCATATCTTTGTAGTATAGTTTTAATGTCTTCATCAAGCTGAAAAAAAGACATAATTATCTGTCATACCAACATGTAAAATGAGTAAATTAAATGAAACAACTATTAAAATGGCCGTACAGTGCATTCAAAAAGCAGCTTATGAAAGGCATCACCTTCTTTGCTCACAGCAGTCTTAGCTACTTCTTTTCCTTAAGTGAAGTAACTGAAGAAAGATTCTTCCCAGTATTGCTGATACAGTCTATACTGGTCTGAAACAAAATGTCTACATCTATTTATTTATTTACCAATACAGCAACCCCTCAAAAAGAGGAATATTAGCCAATACCGGCCGCTGTACTCAAATCTTACTGAATTCTCTGATATGGTGACCCGTCTTCAAGGATTTTGCTTTCTTCTCCTTAAGTCATTCATGAAAACTTTAATACAGTTAGCTTACAATGTACTTTTGAGTACTGGTATGTTAATAATAGGATATGATGCAATCACTTGCTTGAACGTACTTAAAATGCAAATTATACGGTGCTCTTATTTCATTAATTTTTCATTATAGCAAGATGTAGGAGCTTCTCATATTTTGATCCTTCAAAAAATTAATTATTCTTTTAAAAAGGAAAACTTATACCTGCATCCAGTGTCTGTTGATAACAGAGATGATGTTCATATCAGACTCTCGTTGTTTCTTAAGTTTTTCCACTTGATCTTTTAACTTCTCTTCCTCTACCTTTAGTTCCTCTAGTCTTTCACCAAGCTTTTTATTTTGAAACTGCAGAACCTTCAAGTCCAGTTCATCCTATTTAAAGCAAAATAACAATAACAAAAAATAACATCAACTAATAAGTAAGAGTATTAAGATTGGCAATTTTCATTGTCGGTAGAGATTGCTAAAATCTTGCTTTCCACTCCTGTAGGGCCAGTGACTTCAACAGTTTGTTTCCATAGAAAAGGTCCCATAAATTATACAGCATATCTCATGGAATGTTTACCAGTGATAACACCACCAAATACCCCGCAGTTTTAATATGGCATCACTCTTTCTAGATGGTCATCCTGTACAAACTTACAGATGAAAAGGTGAGAAATACTGTCTGGTAGCTGCATTTTTTACTGAATGAAAGTTTCAATAATATTTTTTGCCAATGAGTTTAAATATCTCTTTACTGGTTAATTAACCATCATAAATAAATGATTTCTTTTCTCCTCCACATGTGAACTGATCATGATGGTGTGACAGATGCAAAAAATACTGTGGGGTAGTGGAGTGATGTAGCGAAAACCACACATATCTTTTTAAAGCATAAGTATTAAAGGTATAGGTTTTCTGACAAATCCCTACTGTCAGCACCAACAAGATGACAAAATTAATGCCTGACAAATGCCCAGGGGAAGGGGGGAGGAAGAGGGGGGGGGGGATAATGGACACACTTGGAATTGACTGAGCCATTATTGAGTCACAATAGTATGTAGTTCTTTAAATTGATAAAATACTGAATCAGTTATCAGTGTTCTTGTGATTTCAGTAAGTCACATAATGAAAGGAATGTAAGGATAAATCCTAAAATCAACAAGAAAAAGAGAATAATCCAGTAGCAAAACAATAATCAGCAATCAGTAAACCAAAGAAACAACAAATGGAACACGATGAAGACTATGCCAGGAGTAGCGTGATGTGTTAAACTAAAGCTGCTCTTATTGGTGTTGTTTCCTGAATAGCATCATCATGCTCAGAATGCCTGAACCATATACTCCCCAGGATTATTGCTTGTTATCGATGATCACTTTTATTATTATTCATTGTACTCACTATCTGTCTTCTCATTAGCTAAGAGCCTACAGCTAATTTTGGAAATTATCGCAACCTACTGATATCAGTTAGTTATCTGCTGGCAGATAACTGACTAATCTGTAGGTTGCAAGTGCAATGCACGATTTCCAATAACAATATCAATCCAGGTTCTTCCCGTGTTTGTCATTATTTTCTTCAAAAAAATGTGCAATAAAACAATTATCAGATTCGGTTTTTGTAATATCCTAAATAATCAAGGTCTTGGTGAGTGTTATCAAACTCGGCCCTCGGCTCAACTGATAACACTAACCTCCACCTTGATTATTCCAAGTATCACAAAAATCTCATCCAATAAGTAATGGTACCAGGACTGAGTGGAGTCCAATTCGGTCTGTAATCATACGAGTGATTAACAAAATCGGACGACCGCGTAGCGGGAGTCCGATTTGTTTAATCACGAGTATGATTACAGACTGAATTGGACGACACAAAGTTCTGTCACCAATTAATCATAACTTTAACAAAATTTGCGATACAATAGGCTATTTTTTAAACCAAAACACAAGAAAGTTGAAATTTTGTTTTGCTAGCAGTGAAAAAAAAAGCCATTCAAGCGCGCGCATGATGGCGTGTACTGTCCAATTACTTAGGCATGACGCGTACTGTTCTATTAAACTGTCCAATTAAGGCTGAAATCAGGGCAGTTGAGAGCCAATCAGATTTGACAATTTTGTTATAGTTATGATTATATTGTTTATTATGGGTTGTTATTGATTTTCTTTAGTCGATAATGATTAATAAATTATTTTTTCTTTGACTTTGATTTCCGATATCAATTGATAACAATAGACTGATTATATCGATTGATATCGATTATATAGATTGATTTCCATCGATTAACTACGCCTGGAATTATTCAAACCTGCAAAAATTGCTGAAATTGAATTATTGTTGGTTAATCTCGACTCATTCAAAAATATGTTACTACTGTATAGCTAACACGTAACAAGTAACAGAGCTTTAAAGGTGCATTTACGAACTTGAAAAAGTATATTTACTCTTAACAAACCAGTGAACATAGCGGTTTCGTTTCTTGTGTCAACTCACCTCATTTGCAACAGCGCCAATGTTTTCCGCTGGAATAATTTTTGTGGACAAATGTTTCTTCGCCGGGGGACCCCCTGACGTCTCTGGCTGAGATCGTTTCATATTATTTACGTTATGTATATTCAGAAGGTTTTTTCATCTGATTTGTACATCATTTTTTCTTTTCCCATGAAAAGGCCTTATGGACGCCGCCATTTTGACAACACATGTTTCATATTATGAGCCCACGGTATTATGTTGGCGGTTAACTATTGCTAAAGTAGGTACGTCAAATACTTGGATCACTTGTGTCCAAGTAGCCTGAAATTCATCCGATTGCTTCGAGTCGTTTTCTCCTCTCAAGTTACTGAGGGAGTAATAACGACTCGAAGTAATCGGATGAAATTCAGGCTAGTGTGCAAGCCCTCCGGATGTTCTTGTTTCCCCTTCCGCAATATCTTTTTTATCATGTCAGCGGTCGCTCGCATTAGTAAAAGTTAACCAGTTTTCAATCAGCACCAGCGCGCTTTTCATGAATTGATGGATGTTTTTATCCAGGACAGGGCTGAGTTATAATATAAAGTCCATCAAATTATCATTTGTCCATCCCCACCATGCTGACAGCTCCTTCACTGGTACCCATCAACATTTACAGCGTTGGTGTTATTACTATCTGCTGTAGTATTAGTCTCGTTATAGGGAAGATGACGCAAAAATTATATCTCCTTGTTTTCTCGAAATGAACATTTTGTAAATTTTAAACTACAAATCGGGAAACGTGAACCAAATTAGCAAAAATTTAGTTATTCTAAAAAAACGTGTCTGCCACTTTTGATCTCTTATTTTCGTTTTTAAGTTGTAGTATTTCTTTCCCACCAGTCACTAGCCACCCGTCACCCGTCACACGCCACCCGTCACCCGTCACCCGTCACCCGTCACCCACCACCCGCTACCTGCCACCCGCCACCCGTCATCCGCCACCCGCCACCTGCGGAAAAGTCCTGCCGTTGTGTTTTGTGCGCTCTAAAATAGACAGAAAACCAGTCGTCAAAGCATTTCTCTAGACCTCGAGCAAACAGACCACGCATGGGCACCTGGACCACGTTATCAGTTACTTTCTTGGGGCTAGAGGTATTTTGCAAATGCTACGTTGTAATTTTAGACCACCATCACGAGGGCGAATCGGGTCACTTCTAATTACATCATGCGAGCAACCGCTGACACGATAAAAATGATATTGCGGAAGGGGGTCACAGATTCGTTTCCTGTTCTTGTCTGTTCTGGTTAGTTGGCGTTCTAGTTGGTTGGCGTTTCGAGGATCTTTGGCTTTCATAGGAAATTTCAAGCTGTGTTCAGGTACAGTAAACAAACGAATCGCCATTCGAATGCCTGAATGAAGGCTAGGTTGGTATTGATGGCCTACAATAGCATACAAAAATTCTAATCAATTTTTGCTCATCCTCGGTGTAAAACCTGTGAAACTCACGAAAGTCGCCACTGAGAAGTTAACACAACAGGGCCAAGGAAAATAATAGCTAGAAAACAAAGAAAAACTTCCCAGGTTTTTACTTTGAGGTAAACCCTCAAGATTTTGATTTCTCAATTCAAATTATAAAGGATGGCTTCCAGTGATATTGAGGTGGACTTGGATGAAGTGCAAGAAGCTGCCAAGAGAGTCGCACAGTACATAAATAGAACACCAGTAATGACCTCTTCAACTCTTGACAGCATGGCTGGAAGATCTTTACATTTCAAATGCGAACTCTTCCAAAAAACTGGATCCTTCAAGGTTAGTTCTTGATTGTATGGCCGCTTGTCTGATGGGATGTTCCATTTTTTTCCCGAACCCCACCCACCCTATGGATGAGCAGATTTCTACCACCTCACGGTTTTGTCGGAACCCTGTGAAAAAACCTTTCCCACCCCCCCTCATTTTTTGTTGGTTCCTTTCAAAACGGATTTCTACAAGTTGTCTGCCAGGGATACTCATCCATAGGGTGGGGTCGGAATAAAAATGGAATGTACGTCCCGATCCACAGACAGATATCAGATATGACAACTGCCGCTAATTTTTAAAAGTGTCTTATATACAAAAGGAAAGTGTCATGCAGTTTTTACAATTATTATTACTGTTATTACTGTATGCAATATCTACATTCCGTTTGTGGGGCAGGAACGTGTGACAAACCCCTAGGAACGTCTGCGTGGGAGGCTAGGTTGTTTGTTAACTAAGAGAACAGTTGTTCAAGAAGTGTGGATGCAGTGTATGGTGTATTTGTCACTGTGGCCCTTTAGTCATGTAATTTGACCCCACCCTGGTAATACGGCCACCCTGTTGATACAGGCATCCACTGTATTTAGGAGCTAGGGCTTATAAATGGAGGGGCTTAAACGAGTGGTTTTATACCGTAAAATTCCGAAAATAAGCCCCTCCATGCATAAGCCCCCCAATCCAGTAATGGGTTATTCCAGAAAAAATCCACACCCCCACGACGGAAGGCACGGTTTTTTGACCCCCCATCCACCTGGATTTCCAAAACTGCTTGAGCCCCCCTCCACTCAGGATTTCCAAGTTCAAAGACCCCCCCACCCCTCTAGATTTCCATAAAATTGTTAGACACCATGATTTTACTTTACACTCAATGTGGAAGAATCCTTTTAGGCACCTAGATGATCTTTTTATTAAATAAGTCTCAATTTTCCAGGAATTCTGTGTTTGTTGTGAGCGTTAAGATTCCATTTTCCCATTTTCTTAACCGGCTTACACTTTTTGCAAATAAGGTCATATTTGAGTGAACTTCTCTTTTTTTCTAGAACAGGCAAAATATACAGCAATATGTACTACAATAAAGCTCAAAACTAACTCTGTTCTCGAATAAATGGTTCTCTTCTTTGTCGATAAAAAATGACCCAGAAAGAAGGAAAAAGGACACTTCGCGCGATATTACATGACACGCTGTACCACTTGCCACAACACTTGCCTTTCACTTGGCTTGTACTCGGAAATTTGCCCTCAAATATAAATTAAAACAAAGCAAAAATGGTAAATTTATTCCAACTATGAGACTAACCCAATTGGTTTTGAAACGCAAATTCCCCTCTGTAGAGAAGTCCCTCCGAATAAAAGTCCCTCCAAAAATAAGCCCTTCAAAAAGGGTAACTGTCATCCCAAGAGAAATTGAAGACAACTGTTCTGCAAAATTTTGGGGGGGTGGTGGTGGGGGGGAGGGGGATAAACAAGGTGCATGAAAAATGGTCTTTGTAAAAATGGTGAATTAATGCCTAACTGGTATTTCAGACCTGCTAACTCTTGCAATTCTGCCATGAGTCTCACAATTTTTTTACTTTTCTCACGGCCTCACAACAAGGCTTACAATCTCACGGCTTTTGGAGAAAAATCATTCTGAAATGAAAACTATGGAAATTTAATAAGGAATGTAAGTGCCTCTTTGAACCATGATGGCTGCACTTTGTCTGGCATTTTTGGCCATAAAAAGTTGGCTTGTATGGAAGAAATGACTACTTGCTGTAAGTTTCATACTAGTGATTACCTCTCAGTAGAATCATCAACAAAAGCAGCATCTTGTTTATACAACAACGACCATAAATCGGGAAAAAATAGAATCTCACTCTAGATTTGTTTTCACGAGTCTCCAGAGTTTCCTTTATAAGGGGTTGGCAGGTCTGGGTATTTACAGAATTAATCACATTATTTTACTATTTAATTTTTTAGATCAGAGGAGCAACAAATGCTGTTCTTCAGTTAATGAATTCACTGCCAGGGAATCAGAAACCTGTACTTGTCACTGCAAGCAGTGGCAATCATGCACAAGCTCTTGCACTAACAGCAAAGAAAATGGAACTTGATGCTTACATTGCAATGCCATCCAATGCACCTCAAGTAAAGAAAGATGCTGTTAGAGGATATGGAGCAACTATTATTGATTGTGGCCCTAATGCCTATGAGGTAATTAATACATAATCTGTTAATTTAACCCAATAGGCTAAAAGTAGAGCTCTGTATATATATTACAGGTCAGGCAAATTTGATTTCAGGTTAATTTTGATTTAACCTAGATTGATTCTTTTTTTTCCCAGCTGGAAGAAAAAGAAAATTTATAATAAATCTGTGTGAAAGAAAAAATTTAACCTGAAATGAAATTTGACCTGTAACATATGTCCTCATTTATATCCTGTGTCTTGCAATGATAAGTTTTAAATCATTGCAAACAGATTCACATATCTACTGAACTTTCAGTTCAGCGGTATATAAAAATATTCTATTAATGGTGAAGTAATATGATAGAGGCTGAAATATACTGTACATCAGCTACAGCTGTACTTTGAAGATACCAAAAAATTTTACTTTCTGTCACTGTTGCAATCTTTGTGTAAATGCAATGTCAGTAAGAGAATGTCTGACTGTTCTTTTTTTCTGTGTCAGTTTAAAATGGTCAGGTTGCTAAAGTTGTCCTTGGTTGGTTGATGAACAAAACCATGTTTTTAATACCAGGACAGCCAATAACAATCTTTCACCAAGCAGTATTCATTTTGCTCCACTTACACGAAGCTCCTCTATCATTCACTGGTACAGTGGAACCTTGACATAACAAACCTCTATACAACAAAGTCCTCCGTATAACGAATGATTTTCTTTACCCCAGTAATAGTAAAATAATGAATTACCTCGTTATAGCAAACTAATTTTGCCAGTCCCTTGGCCCTTTGTTATATCAAGTTTCCACTGTGGAACATTGTGTTTGTATAGATGATATCCATACTCCTCTCATGGAAAATTTTTTGTTTGAGCCCCCACCCCGACCCCTCTGAAAAATCCATGGTTAAGGTTTCTATTGTCTGTTTCAAAGGTTTGCTTTTAAGACCCTCTCCCCTTAAGAAGAGCCTGGAACCACACATTCTATAGCCCTGATAAATTGAAGTCTTTCTAATAACAATATTTAGGAAAGAAGATTATTTTGAAGGGACAGAATTAAAAGCCATGTATGGCTTATTTAAAATGTCCACGGTGTACTGGCAATGTTTTTGTTCCCCATTTGTGATAAAAATCAATGTAACGATTTGTAGTTTATTTGTTGGTGTTTTTTGAAGTAATGATTTGTATCGATATCAGGCAAGAGATGCAGCTACCAAGAAACTCATTGCAGATCATGGCCCACATGCATATCTTATTCCCTCATCTGATCACCCTCACATTATAGCAGGCCAGGGTTCAATTGCTGTTGAATTTCTGGAGCAGGTAGCTAGCTTTTTTATATATCTATATACCTTATTGGAACTTAATTTCGCGTTTTTGGGGATTGTAAAAAAAATCGCGAAATTTAAGACCCGTGAAAATAAATCCTCGAGAAATAACACCCATATAGAAATTTCAAATCGCAGGTAACATGTATTAGTAAAATCCAACTAGTGGTCTATTATCAATGCTGCACTCTGATTGGTTGAGCTACTACTGCTGCACTCTGATTGGTTGAGCTACTACTAAGCTATATGTTATAGCCCACTAGTAGCAAAAAGCACGGGCTTTTTAGCGGCAAAAAAGGATAAAGTCTAGCTTTTACCTAGCTAGAATTTTTTATTCTCGATATTTTTGACCAACTAATTGGATTTTACTAAAACAATTATTCCTCTTGCCCTCATGGCCTCTGAGTCAATAGCCCATTCGGCCTACGACCTCATGGGCTATTGACTCAGAGCCCATTCGGGCTCGAGGAATAATTGTTAAATAGTAACATCATATACAGGATAGATATATTGCGAATTGGTTTCACTTTCATTTTGTGTCTTCAGTTATGAAATAATGTTAATTTGCAAAGATTTCACACATTGCTTGTTCTAGTCTATCCAGTAAAAGGTTTAGGTTTAGACTTTTTAAAAACATCAAAATGAAGTTGAGGACGCTTAATTCGCAAAATTTAATGCCCTTTCTTCATATTTAAAATCGCGAAAATAAAACCCTGCGAAATACTTTCTCACCTGAATCGCGAAACTAAGTACCCGCGTTGACCAACATCATTTATTGATTTTGTCACCATCGTGGTAGACTACGAGCAGTGTCTCCTTTTTTCTGTAGTCCGTCGAGCAAAACGCGAGACACGCAAATGACGACGCGCGTGACTGATGGCGCGAGACGGGAGAGGCACTCTCTTTCTTCTCGGGCTGCCGCCCTCGTTTCGCGCGTCTCGCGACTTCGCCGCTCGCGCGCGTGCACTCCCCTTACTAAATCTGAAGAAAAAGAGAGACTACTCGCAGTCTTCCATCGTGGTTGCGTAGCTTACTAGTGATGAATGTTGATGCACTGTGATAAAGTCAAGACCAAAACTGAACTAAGAATCCTTATGCAGCATCAAGTCTTCCTGTTGCTAGTCATTCTTACATGTATTTGTGTTTTGTCCGCAGGTCCCAGACTTGGATGCAATTGTGGTTCCTGTCGGCGGTGGTGGAATGCTCAGTGGGATTTGTATTGCAGCCAAAGCAATAAAGCCTGATATCAAGATCTATGCTGCTGAGCCTTTAAATGCAGATGACTGTGCAAGGTCCTTTGTTGCAAAAGAGAGGATTCCTCTTACAAGTAAGTTGAAAATGTGCCTTCATGTACAAAGCAACAGTGTTAAATGCTTATAACCGCAAGTTTTCAAATGTACGGGTCATTGGTTCAAATAAATTGCCCGATGAGTGTGGTAATCTTTTGACCATACGAAACAGAACTGTTGCATTAAACGAAAGAATATCTTCTGCAGTCTGATGTACACTCAATGGACTTATCTTTGGTCCTCTGATGAATTAGCGTTGAGCTCTTTTTGAAATCCATTCAACTGAACTGTGAAAGAATGCTGTTATTATCGGTATGTATAGTTGTGAACGTTGGTAAAATATGGAGGGGAAGAAGTGTATGAGAAGTGGAGGGGAGTTATTACAATCTAAGGACCTTTCCAGGGTGCAAGGATAGTCAGTTAACAGCGTGCCGTTCGGACAAGCTGCATAACATGTACTAGCCCAAAAGTCATTTCAAGTAGCCCACAAAAACTTTTTGATGAGTAGGATTGCTTACAGTTCTTACATAATTTGAATTCCACCCCAAAATTAACTTTCCCAATGGGCAATTTAAGAAAAGAATTGACTAGCCTGACAGTAAAATCCACTAACCCCGGTCTATCGGACACAACTTTCTTTGGGTGCTGCTGTCGATTTATGGTTTCAAAATTGTGGAATACAATGATTACAATGATGAACATAATTAACCCCCACTTGAATATTGTTGTGACGTCCACACTAAACACAAAGTTGCGTTTTCAAATATATCCACTTCAAAGAGTGTTTTCGGAAAGTTCCAGCTTGGATTTTTGTGAACGGTCGGCCTAACCGTAAGAATAAAGTCGCGGTTTAAAATTTATCCGACGTAGTACAGTGTAGACAGGTTCTCAAAGGACAGACATCCGTTAGCAATAATCCCTTTTTCGTAACCTGTATGCGTGCAAAACAGGCGTTATTTTTTGCGTTTGTGAAGGAGAAAAGGCAAGCGCGTGGCTTGCTTACAGCACGCCGTGGAGATGGGAAGGGAGATAAGTGCGGTGGGGTAAACCGCGATAGAAATATGTGCGGGATGTCCTCCGCCTCGCGTGTCTCGCCTTCCACGTCCCGCCTAGCGGTAGCCTTCGCTCGCCTCAAAAAAGCGGGAAAATGTGTCATGTTCTCAAATTGGAAAACGAATTGATGTGGACGAAGTTCTAAACAGCTATTTCCTTGTTCCTCTCAGCTTCTCCCAACACTATTGCTGATGGCCTCAGGATCGGCTTGGGCAAAAAAACTTGGCCAATCATACGAGACAACGTGACTGACGTCATAACCGTAACGGAGGAAGAAATAATCTCTGCATGGAGGCTGGTCTGGGAACGAATGAAACTAATGATTGAGTCGTCTGCTGCTGTAGGCGTGGCAGCAGTATTCACAGAGAAATTTCAAGCCCTTACTTCCGAAGATCTGAAGAATGTTGGGATTATTCTGTGTGGTGGAAATGTAGATTTGGAAAATCTGCCCTGGAAAAAATAGCAGCTTTCAACTATCCACAAAAGAAAGATGTTAGATGTCGAACTGTTTAGAGAACACAAAAAGTCTTGATTTTATGAAAGTTTGAGATCCTCACAAGAGAGTATATTTTTTCGCAGTATATACACGGTTTCAGAAAACACATATGTTATTATTACTATTATTATTGACAGATGAACTGTTATATCGTCCCTAGTTTTTTGGCCAGTTTCCATAATGAAGGTCGTTATTGTTTTTTATTTGTGTTATCTCAAACAGAAAATAAACTTGACATGTCTAACTCTAGCCAGTTACCTTTTAACTGAGTTGGATATTTCCTCGTATAATTACTTTAAGTTTTAAAAATGGCTTACTTAATTTTCCCGACCGAAATAAATAATATGATTTCAAACTAATTCTTTCGGCAAAGAGAAGAAGTGCAGTGCAGCATTTCAGTTAGAATAGACTGTTCACAGTCCCCTATTTTACCATAAGATCGTCGAGATCGAGCGCTTTGTGTTCCCGGGGGGAGGGGGGGACTCCCATATGAAACAGACGGGGATGCTCGTCGTCTCGCTTAGGGTGTTACGGGCAAAGCACCAATATTTTAAGCCGCCAAGGTCTCGTTTAGGGTTCCGCGAAGAAACACAGAATTACGCGATAAGAAACAGAAGTCAAATTTTCTTTTTAACTTGTTTTGTTTACCGCATTACCTCTGTGATTATAAATCAAAGATTTCTACAAATAGTAGAGCTTGTCACTACCAGCCTTTAGCCTTCAGCATGTGTAGCGTTTGATGACATTGTGAACAGTTACAGTTCTTTTAACATTAACTAGTTTTCTATTTTGCCAAGTGGCAAAGAGACAATGCATGAACATGATGAAGACCTTGAGATTTATGACACCACAATGCTTTTAAAAACTACTTTTAGATAAAACCATTCGATGATTATGTCTTTATATCATTAAAACTCATTGCATGTCGTATTTGTGTGTTTTTAAGCGGTCTCTTTAGGGGTCAAAATTTGCTTAAGCCACGCTCAGATTGGTCTTCTTTTATGGGTCACAGAAAGCTTGAGCCACGCCCAGATGGTCTCCTTTAGGGGTTAAATTCAAAATTTCCGACGAGCATCCCCGTCTGTTTGATATGGGAGTCCCCCCCCCCGAGTTTGTGTTACGGGCTGCCATCTTGCGTGAGTGTCAAAACTACTTAGGGGGCGGGGGGAGCTATAATGCCCGACTCCGCCCCCTAGGTACATTTGAAAATCAAGATGGCCGCCATTAATGGTAAGACGCGCTATATCTTGACGATCTCACGGAAAAATAAAACCTTTATACAAACAAATTTTCGGTTCAAAAGGGTTCTTTGTTTTGCTATACAGGACTCTTGAATTTCCAGGCTTTTGCGTGACGCGGCATTTAGCCGGCGGCCGGGAAAGCTCTTACGTGGGTTAAAAACATCACGGATTTTTGGACATTTTGCTATCTAAACATTCCTTGTCTTAGAAAAAATATTACTTCAATCTTTATGAGTTCCTCAAGCGAAGAATTCACACATAAGTAGGAAAACTCAAAAACAGATCTTTCTGTTGGTTTCCGGCGGCCATATTTGTGCCCCTGAAAGGGACACAAACATGGCGTCTCCATACAAAGCTTTATAAATTTGGGTAAAACGTTTTTCCGAATATCTCGCATATGAACTATTGCATCGACCTGACTCTTGGCAAGGCTTTTTGAATATTTATCTTCTTTTATTTCCCAGATTCTAGACTTTCTGTATTAGAAGATTTCCATTTTTATTTCTGCTTTCTCATGTGAGTGAAAACCGAGAATGCATTCTGAAAATCCTGGCATGTTGCCGATTTCGTTCCCTGCTAGCAGAGGTCTCTCACGACGAGGCAAAAGTGCAAAAGTGCCTCGTCGCGAGAGACCTCTGCTAGCAGGGAACCGATTTCGTAGAGGTATGAAGCCTTTTGTCGAAGAATGATTGGCTAAAACGTTTCCATAAATTAACTATGGCGGTGATGGGAAAACTCGGAGAGCAGAATTTATAACAATTTTTATGGGTTTCTACTTACAAAAACTCTAATTTAATTGAAAATACTTAAATAGCAGGAGAGGTGTTACCGCAGAGATGCACCAAAATAGGACATATTCCTTGTTCTGGATTCATGTCAGGAAAAACTTTCTATCGATCATCGAATAAACTTATAAACTAAACTATGGGTAGTGAAATAAGTTACTAAGATAATCGGCAAGAACGCTTAAAACAACTTCACTTCAAATATGCATCGGTAGCGTAGCAAACAGCACAACTGGCTGATGTGACAGAAACAAAGACACTGAATTGGTAGCAAGTCATTTTCTCATTTCAGGCCGGGATGTCATTTGGTCGGTATCCTATCGATACCAAGGAGTGGAACAGCAAGTAAAATGAGTCAAATTGTTTTAATGATATTTTCCTTCACATATAAATACTTTTCAAGCTGAAGAATCTTGTAATAACAACGTTTAGTCAAAACATGCACCCTACGAAGATTTTTCATCTCTTTACATTTTTCTTGCTTAACAATGAAAATGGATGAATGCAAATGAAGGCAAATGATATCATATAACTTTATATCTCTATGTAGCGGATGATCTTGTTAGTGCGCACCTCTGCGATCCTTGGCGTTTAACCCTGGCTTTCATAGAGGGCAAAATTCCAAGCTCTGTGCCGGTACATCAAACAAGCGAATCACCCCTTTGTATACTTGAATCAAGGATTGATTGATATCGATGACGCACAAGAGCGTTCAAAATTTCGAATAAATTTTGAATGCCCAACTCAAATTAAAGGATGGCGTCCAGTGAGAGTGAGGTGGACTTGGATAAAGTGCTAGATGCAGCCCATAGAATCGCACAGTACATAAAAAAGACGCCCATAATGACCTGTTCAACTCTTGACAGCATGGCTGGAAGGATACTTCATTTCAAAAGCGAACTCTTCCAAAAAACTGGAGCCTTCAAGGTAAGTTTTAGGGGTCAAGGCTGTCGAATTGGTGAGAGCACTCACCTCCAACAGTCCAAGCAATGTGGCCCGCATTCAAATCCTGGAGTTGATGCCTTATATTGGTTCTCTCCCTTGCTCCGAGAGGTTTTTTTTTCGGATACTCCAGTTTTCCCCTCTCCCGGCAAGAACCAACACTTCCAAATTTCAATTCGATCTGCACCTCACAGACACGTTTAAACGAGTTCGTAAGAACGCCTACGTGTTTCGTGGGTAAACAAATTACAAACAGTTACACTTAGATTGTACGGGCACCTGTGGTCCAGGGACAGATATCAGATACTAAAGGAATAACTCAGTATTTTAATAACAGCGTAAGCATCAGTGGAAAGAATGAAAACGACCAGGGGAATGCTTTTCTAGTTTCTTCCAAGGCCTGTTCACAGGCTACTTCCAATAAAATCTTAGTTAACTTCTCACGAAGTCTAAGATACTCGGTTTCATATCTCGTTTTGAAACATGATAAACTGGTGTCCAAGCCGGACATTTTGAACGATACGTGAGCAAGGCCACATAGTAAGCAATTTGTTTTTCAGGGTATTGCTTTCTTGTGCAAATTAAGGCTTTTGTTAATAAAACCTCACTGGAACTACCAAATTTAAATATGAAAGGAAAAACAAAATGAATTCTGGTCTTAGTAGTAAAAAGACCATTGATCTCGGTGTAGAAATTTTTTATGGCTGCACTACGGCTTGATAAATTGGACTCGATTCGGGTCCATGGGGGTAGTTCGCTGTTACGGGTTCTTAATTACTATCATATTTCAATATAATGATAGCTAACGATCGCGGGGGATAACAACAATTTAACAATACGCTATACAATCAAGAAAAACGACGATCTGCTATAAATTTCACTTTTTATTTTATATCTTCTTTTTTTTTTTGAAATTACCGGTAAAAAAGTTGTGACATTTACTAAGGTGGAAATTAACTGCAACAACGCAGTTCGTTATGTAACATAAAAAAGAAAATTACAAAATTTGAGGAGGAGCGAAGTAGCTGAATTGTGAAGGAGAAGGAAGGGTAGTGTGGTAAGTGAGGAATTGTGTTGAGTGACAAAAAGAGGTGGAGTTTAGGGTTAGATACATTATGCCTGCTTAATTTAGGGCAGCCCTGTTGTCAGAGCGTCGAGCATAGTACACTCAATGCCCAGAAATGTAAGCATGCAGTGGCGAAAATGGCGAATCTGGAAAAAAAGCGCTAAAGGGTTGGCGAAAATTTGAATAAATTTACAAGAGGTTCTCCTTATAAAGTGAAAAATCTTCGCCAAATTCGTTATAGGCGTCAAAATCATCACTTTCTAAAGGCCCCATTTTGCCATCTCCTTTAAAATTTCTCCAAAAGTTTGGCGAATCTTAACTTCGCAAGATTCACAATATTTGTCAAAATCGCCACTTGCTGTGGGCCCCCTTCGCAATCTCATTTGAATCGAAGTTTTGCTAAGACTTTGAGGAGTTTTCACCACATTCGTCAATCGAATTCACCACTTTTCATGGACAAAATATTTTAAATTTCATTGACAGAAAGTCGAATCTACAAGAAATAGCAAACTTTGGCAATTATCCGGGAGATTTCAGACACTGATAGGGGTGGCGAATGGTTCTTCAAAAACTCTGGGTCTCGCAAAATTTTAGTCGAATTTCACGGGTCTCGCAATCTCGTTTTTTGAGCGGTTATGTGCGTCTCGCAGTCTCGTTTTTTATACGAAGGTGTCTCGGAGTCTCGATTTTTTGCAATGTTTAAGGGTCTCGAAGTCCTGATTCGTTGGTTTGTATTTTTTTAAAATGACGTCTTCCCGTCACTTGATATTGAATTTCAGTAACGCAACTTTCAATTTCCGAGAAAAAGTTCATCCTAACTTCTCCTAAATTGTCTGAATTCCACAAAAAGCTAGAAAAATTACCGCAACGTCATTTTGGAGCCAGAAAAACAGTTATTTTGTTTTAGCATATCATAACGTAGTGTTATAGTCGAATTTTCAGTTCCAGCAAATACACAAGCTTACACAGAAGCTGGCCAAAAGGCTAAAAGGGGACTGAAGAAACCCACACAACCTCACGATAGCTCATGATGAAACCCACGAAGTCGGAGAACTTATCGGTTGTCCCCTGTGGAACCGTAAAAGCACAAATATTCCCAGTACAACAAAAAAGTTACTATTACTCACCTAACAGTGCCCTAGTGCCTCGTACATGGACAATTGAATAAGATAGTTCCATCATTCTTCTTGTAATTTGTTCGATGGTCATCTGGAACCCTTTTAATAAGTTTTAATTGTTCTCTGTTCTCAATTCATCCATGCAATCGGACGAGTTCTGAGTTAGTCTTCTGAGTAAGTCTTATGCACTTATCAATTCAAACCCCGACCCCCCCCACCACCCCGGGCCAAGGTGGGGATTTGACTTGACATCATTACAAATCTTAGCAAACTCCCACCCTACTGGGGCATATTGACTGGTAAAACCCCCACCCAGGTGGGGAAACCTTTTTAATTCCCTGACTGACTTTATTAATATTTCGTTCGAATTTTCAACTTCTTAATATTGACAAATTTACTACAGCAAAAAGGCAAAAATGATAACAGACCAAGATATAACAAATATTTGACAATAAGTAAACATAATGACCCCTACCCACTTATAAAAAAGTCAGGGTACAAAATGGATGATGGAGTAGCACATTGCTATAAAGTTATATTAAAAGGAAATCCGTACCATCTCCATTGAAAGTAATATCTGCAATGATAAGTTTAATTGAAAATAGCAGCCAACATACCTTAACCTTCACAAGCTGATGTTATAAATAGACTGCATAAAATAGTTCCTAGGAGCTATATTTTATATTTTGGCTTAAAGAATGAGGAAAATATAGAACTTCAGCAACCACATGGGTTTAACACTAGACGTTAAACGAGCTGTGTCATGAAATTTACCAAAATGTAGGCTGTGGGAACTGCCACCAAATTGAGTGAAACATAAAAATAACCGCTTAAGACATTAAAAGATGGTATAAATGACTCAGCAAATACAAAAGAAGGTACAGATGGGAAAACGTGAAGAAGATTAAAACGGATTGAAATTTTGGTTTTTGAAAACTTGTTAACCTAACAGTTTTTCAAAGTTCATTGTTTTCGTCCGTAACGCTTGATATGCTTGGGAGAAACATCTGTTTAAAACGAAGCTTTGATTTCTTCATTTCTTTGCCAACGTAACGCTCAAAAGCAAATAGGGACCACGTAACTGGCAATATTAACAAAATAAACCAGATAGCCGTGACACAGCACCTTTTATAATAAGTAGAGGAGTTTGTATCTGCATTGTTTGAGAAGTTTTGAATAACAATAACAATTTCCAGTCAACGAACCATGAAAGCTCAAGGCAAAATCGCAAAGGATTAGCCTCAGTGAAGAAATGAAAGGAAAAACAATTAGGAAACTTATGGCCGAGCAGTACATCAAAATACCAGTGATCACGTGAAGAAATTACCGTGAGGAAACTAGGCACGAGTCAAATCCCCACCTCGCTCCCCGACTTCCATCACTTCCATGGACTTCCATGAATATGCTAAGCAAATCCTGAGAAATCCCCCACCCCCACGGGCTAACCATGCCTTCAAATACCATAAAAATCCCCCACATTGCCCCACCTAGGCCCGGGGTGGCGGGGGGTCGGGGTTTCAATTGATAAGTGCATTAGTCTTAACCAAGCAGATAACCGCCCGCAGATTTTTGTCGGGCATAAATTATCTAAGCTTATCTAGTCAGTTCGGCCGCATTGCGGCCCGTGATGGAAGATGATGCGGAATTGATAAATGACACTTAAGAGAACGTCAGAGACAATCAAAAGCTTAAAAAGTTCACAACGAGAAACGCTAGAGACATAACAGTCAGGCAAATAACGACAGCGACACCAGTCTCTGACGAAGCCAAGCAAAATTAATTTTTTAAATGAGCTAATTCGTGGGTAAGCAAACTGAACTAGCAAAACTTGCATGACAAATTGCAGGGTATCAACGGAAACCATCCAGACCAACATGTCACTTTTGACAGATCTCGACATGCACAGTCGAACGGCGCCTCTCTACTCAAAAAAACGAACTCTTCCATAGAAAGCTATAGAACACAGTATCCATGCATACAGCGCTCTTCCGCAGCAATGATATGAAACAGAATAGGTTAGAAAAGCAAACTTTAAAAAAAATAGAACGGCAAATGTATAAATGTTTAAAGCTGTAGGTTGTAATTGCCAACGATCCATCCGAGCGAAGACGCTCGGATGGCGAGGCGGCAGCAGAATAGAGCCGCGCAAGACTGGGCAATAGGCAGAAAAATTCTCGATCGAGCTGAAAAAAGTGTAACCTAATGTAATGTAGATTCACCTGACACCAAGTGGTCAGTTGTGAACCAATCAAAAGGCAGTATCGGGCGCACGGGCTCAAGTTGAATAAAATATAAAATTTTACACAATTCCGGCCGTCGCGACTTCTTGTGTTCATTTACCTAATTTTTTTCGTCAAACCCGGCCACTGTAGTCAAGAAACATGAGCACTTGATATATTCTATTAATTTTAGGGGCCATACTGTTAAGTTTTAACGAAGAGAAGTTTGTAAAACAGCAAAAGTCAGCTGAAAAGTGTTCTACGTGCAACAAGCAATATTCTCACCACTAAAAAGGGTCAGATTTCACGAGGAGATAAGGAAAGCTTGACACGAAGAATACAGTCGCTTCTGTTGGAAAATCTGGTGTTGGGGAAAAAATCTAACCAGCAAACAAAAAAAATGAGAACAAAAACGAATTGAAAGCCTAAAGCGAACGACAAAGGAAAAGAAAACAACGCCATTTTTTTCGAAACCTGGCCGAGTTCAAATTGAATACCGACGTGCCGTACATCGCATGTCCTTGGAAACATTTCAGATGGCCGCAGCGAATCATTCTAAGTTTCAATCCGATAACAAAAAGTCTTGGGAAATTTGAAAGGAGGTTTAAATGATTAAACTGTGCAAATATTTATCTACAATGTCAAACCGAACCGACAGTAGATTTTTAGCTGGACTTAATAATATTCCCGATCGACTCGATCGCTTCCTCTGCAAAGCTGACTTTATTCTTTCAAGACACTTCCCACTTTTACATAGCAGGTTTGTAAAGCCACCAGACTGAATCTGAGAACTTTTCAAGAAAATAATCCTTGCAACAGGAAGGGACCAAGAAACGGTCAAATGGGAAAAAAAGGAATTTTATTCCTAAGCAAAATACGCATGATTTGCTCGTTGTGCACTCTATCGATAGGTATACCTAGTCAGATAATATTTCCGGCGACCAGGAGCGCCTCATGAATCAAATTATGAATTGACGTCACAGACCTGAGCTAGACCTGGTTTGCTGCCGCTCACATTAGCTCACATTGTAGTTTTAATATTTTGACCTATTTTGCCAGCTTTTGCCATCTTGAGCAAACAATCACAGCTAAAACCACCATCAATGCAACTTGCAGCCTATGCCTTTCATAATTAGCTATAGTACTGTAGCTTAGCTTAGCTTATAGTAATAGAATCGAACCTGGATGAATGATGAACTGTGGGACCTAACTGGTTAAGCATGGCGTGGTTGTTTTCTCGAATCCGGGATTGAAGTTCTACTGATAGACTAAGACGAATTGTCGGCACATTGATAAATACAAACATTAATAGAGTACTGTACAGAACCGCAAATGATCCCCAACCGCAACTGATCCCGAGACCGCAAATGATCCCCAAAATGGACCGCAAATGATCCTCGACCGCAAGTGATCCCCAAAGTCGACCGCAAATGATCCCGAAAGAAAAATAGGAATGACTTGGACTCAAGAGTTGGCGGATCATCGTGTCGATTTTATTGTTATTACAAAACGACAGATTAAAAGCTAAATTTTACTTCTCAAATAAATCTATGAATAAAAACTAAATGAAAAAAAAAATCATTCAAGTGTAAAAACGAAGTCGGTAGGCAAAAGAGGACTTTTACCTCATCCTAAAATCCCGGATCCGAATAATTATAGGCGGTTTTCTTTTTCGTCCGTGAATGTGACGGTTTCCTACGATGTTTTGTCACGCGATAACTACCGCTTACCTTACCTCAATTGCTTCAATTTTCTTTCAAGAATGTTTCGCCGCTGAAAAATTTATGACAGGCAGGACGTTATGCAGAAAAGACTCTATTATTTTAACGCCTAGAAGCTGAGGAATACAAAGCCGAGCACCCTCTACATAAACAAGAGCTTTATTGACTTTACTGATCTTTTTGAAAGTGTGAAATTAATTTTCAGAATATTTAATTTTGATTTTTCTCTGAAGTGTTAATTTTACGTGATAAACAGGAAGACATTTGTTCGTAACTTAGGTGACCGTTACGAAACAAGACATGATTTAACTCAAACACAAGTCAAAATGCCCCCAAACTTATCAATGTCCACAGGTTTCTGTTTATTTCCAAATAGCAACTTTCTTACAACTCATGAACATGTTGCGAATAGTTATATTGACGCTTTTATGTATATTCATTTGTTTTGCCTTTGCTGGAGACAGTTACCAGGAATCTAAACCTGGTAATGAGGAACGCAAAAGCGAGGTAAGCGGTAGTTACCGCGTGACAAACATCGTAGGAAATTGTCATATTCACGGACGAGAAAGAAAACCACTTATAATTATTCGGATCCAGGAGGCACTTTGGAAAAAAATAAACAACCTAAAACCCTTAATTAGCGGCAATGAAGGGCACTGCATTTCAAAAGAGGTCAAAGGAAATGCTCTTGCATCAAAGGGCAAATCATGCTGACCAGAAACAACAATAACCGCAGAAAATGCGTGTCATGACCTCTCAGTATGAAGTAAGCGGCAAAAATTAGATTTGCTCAGTCAAAACGTTTTGCTCCGAGGTATAATCTACCCGCCAGATCCGGAAAAAATTCATTGGAACAAGCAGCATTTTAGCATGAGGTAAAAGTCGTGTGTTGCCTGCCGACTTCGTTTTTACACTTAAATGATTTTTTTTTCATTTAGTTTTTATTCATAGATTTATTTGAGAAGTAAAATTTAGCTTTTAATCTGACGTTTTGGTAATAATAATAAAATCGACACGATGATCCGCCAACTTGAGTCCAAGTCATTCCTATTTTTCTTACGGGATCATTTGCGGTCGACTTTGGGGATCACTTGCGGTCGAGGATCATTTGCGGTCCATTTTGGGGATCATTTGCGGTCTCGGGATCATTTGCGGTTGGGGATCATTTGCGGTACTGTACAGTACTTACGTGATTCGCGCTTTCGTTTCCGATGAGAAGAAGACGACTTTTCCTCCATTTCCGTTTCCTCCATGGTTTTAACGCATGAACGTTTCCACTCAACTAGCTTCAACTGAATTCAAACACAGCCGCGCATTCTTTTTGACGACTTCCAGACAAATGTAAGTGACAGCGCGTCAGTCACAAAAAAACTCAAAGGCAAACGACCAAGTGTAACCTCCTGACCGGAAATTAGGTCATGGCCAGGAAAATAATAGAGTTTATTGACTGTTGACAGGTTTACAACAAAAGCCTCCTTCGTAAGACTTTTGTACAAGCTAATTCTAGCTCATTGTCATATCTTCTCATAGCTCTGAACCAAATCTGGGGCTCGAATTTTAAGAGTCTAAACGTCTCGCGCTCGCACTCAAAACACTTTGAAGTCTCGGTCTCGCAATCTAAAAAGTCAAAATGTCTCGGGCTCGCAAAGAAAAACGCTATTCTCGCCGTCTCGCAAAGTCTCGCATTTACCATTCGCCACCCCTTCTAATCTGGAGACCGGGAGAAACGGTTCAAAATCGGGAGTCTCCAGGATTATTCGGGAGAGTTGACAGCACTGTAGTTTCAGCACCATAGAAATAAAATATCTTTATACCTTTATCTTTATACTAGAGTAAGGTACATGTCTGGGTCTCCCTTCCCCTCCTTTACTGAGAATTTCCCTCCCCCTACCAGAGTTTGTACGGACTTACTGGCATGTGGACGTACGCTGACGTCATGGCTAAATTTTCGAGTATCGATAGGTAGCAACAGAGACGGCTCCACTAACTCGTATCTTCAAGATTTTCTCGACAAAATTAGCATTTCATTCTTGGCATATTTCGAGACGATAACGCAAGTGCATTCAGCAGTTAGTATTAACCTGAAAAGAACATTTTTATGCATGTGAGTACGTTATTAAAAAAAGATTTCAAAAAGATGAAATTCGGTCATGTTGCGACACGCATCACACTGAACAGCGATAAACCACCGAGTTGACAGTACCATAGAGATGTATTATGTGGCAGTTTACTCACATAATCACTCTGTGACCATCACTCATGTGCTTTCTAGCAGCTGATGATGATCAAGTGATTGATGAAATATCCACATAAACTCGTATTTCTCTGAGTGAAGTAAAATATGTCTGATGTCTAATCTCGTTGAAATACAAATCCAGCGCATGAAAACAATAATTTGAGTTAAATTTCCTTTTTCCTGTAGAAGACATTGTTTGAAGAACCACAATTTAGCAAACCTAGCAGGTTTTAATGAGATATATAAGAAGTAAGATAAAGACAAACAAACTCTAAAATACTAAAAATAAATAAATAAATATATAAATAGATAATACTTAACCATATAAAATGCCAGATATAGCTACATCATCTAAATAGATGATACTAAACTATATAAAAATGAAAGATATAAATTATCTAATCTAATCTAAAATTATCAAACAAATTAAATAATGAAATGATCAAGAGTCTGCTGTTAACTCAAAAGTTGCATGTTTGAAAGATTTCACCGAGTCCGTTTGTCTTAAATACAGTGGTAAACTTGTTTTCTTAGAATAAATTCTTGTCAAACTTCTTCTGTATTAAGTTAATTTTATTAGTTATTCTAGCTATTCAGTTCTCCCCTCTTTAAATAAAGTGTATTATTGTTATTACAATCATTATCATTTACATCGATTTAATTTTTTACTTTGAATTTATAACAAATTCTACTCTAACATATTGATTCTCTGTCTGCGGTTTTCAAACCTATTTAATATATTTCTCCTCTGGTAATCATGTACTTCCTTGTTCCTTCTATAAGAAAATAATAAATTATTGTACAAAAGGCTATTTTAACAATTATTTTTATCATTTACAGAATTAATTAGAAATTATTATATTTATTTGTTTGTTTAGATCAGAGGAGCAACAAATGCTGTTCTTCAGTTATTGAATTCACTGCCAGGGAATCAGAAACCTACTCTTGTCACTGCAAGCAGTGGAAATCATGGTCAAGCTCTTGCACTTACTGCAAAGAAAATGGGACTTGATGCTTACATTGTCATGCCATTAAGGGCACCAAAGATGAAGAAAGCTGCTATCAGAGGATATGGAGCAACTATTATTGATTGTTTCATTAATACCTATGAGGTATTTAAAATGTAAAGTGTAAGTTTAACCCAGACGGAGCTATGTTTATATTCTAGCTGATAATAATTAACTGTTATTGTTAGGGATTCACAAAGAGATTCACAAATCTACTGAACTTTAACTTAGTTACCGAATACTTCCGTATGAGATGCATTGATAGCAATATCAAGCTAAAGTATAATTACTCAAGTGATTATAAAGATTCGTATGCTCTGACTGGTCGAGGATTTTGTCATCCTATGTCGCTATCACCCCGAGAGTGGTGATTAAAGTCATAGCGATCAGTTGATGTTGTTATTCAGTTTGTCAAGTAATGATTTGTCTCCCCTATATCAGGCCAGGTGTGCAGCTACCAAGAAACTCATCGCAGACCATGGCCCAAATGCATATCTTATTCCCTCATCTGATCACCCTCACATTATAGCAGGCCAGGGTTCAATTGCTGTTGAATTTCTGGAGCAGGTAGCTAGCTTTTTTAAATATCAGTCTAATGTATAGATTAGGTCGATTAACCAAGGCTAAACGCGAAGCCCCTGATTATATACTTGTAATTAAAAGCAATTAACGATAAACTTGGAAACTCAAAGCCAGTAAAAAGAACCTTCAAATCCCTTCTTAACTTGAGTAGTCTTCTATTTATCTTTAAGGGAGAGGCTGGGTGGTTTAACAATAAGTATGATGCCGTTAGAATTATGCAGATCGAAGTTTCAACAGATGCTTTTTCTTTATTGCAGATGCTCCTCAAAAAGTAGATAACATCCAGCTAGCAATATGTTTTTCCTTATTCTTGCATGCATTTATCCTTCCGGCAGTGTTAGTCAGAAATTCAGCTTCTTCGTCTTCGAGCTTAATTCTTCGAATAGCCGTAAACACAATTCCGAAGCAAATATACCATCGTTCATCCTCCTTTCCAAGCAAATATACCATCGAATCAGTGGCATATTGTTCGCATCTTCCAAATATTGTAATAAGCACCATTTTTTGAGTAATTAGCTATGGAGGTTAGCTAATCCAGAAACGGCGAAATAATCATATTTGTCAGGAGGCTTCCTTATTTGCATTGTCCACAGGTCTCAGACTTAGATGCAATTGTGGTTCCTGTCGGCGGTGGTGGAATGATCAGTGGGATTTGTATTGCAGCCAAAGCAATAAAGCCTGATATCAAGATCTATGCTGCCGAGCCTTTAAATGCAGATAACTGTGCAAGGTCGTTTGTTGCAAAAGAGAGGGTTCCTCTTACAAGTAAGTTGAAAATGTACCTACCTGAACAAATGTTCATTATGCAGTGGAAAATGATTGAGTTCAATTCATGTGCAAGTAGTTAAACGTATGTCAGGTTTATAAAAACATATGAAGGTGAAGAAGTCTATGGGAATCACAATCACTATCTAAGAACATTTCTTTTTTGAAATCTGTTTAATCATCGTTTTAATTACAAAATGCATGATGGTGATAATAAACTATTCAGTTTGAACATTGAACATTGTCATGATGTTACATTGTTAACAAGTGAACATAGCAAGGTGCCAATGGTGATGAAATACAAATACAAATGGCTCAGACGATGCACGGACCGGCTGCAACGCAGGCTAAGAATAAAACACTATCCGAATAATTTGAAAAAGCACACTTTTGTGCCTCAGGTTTAGACAAAAAGGGATTTTAAAAAAAAATGTTCGTGCACAGTGCGACGCAAAGCAGGCGGAAATCCTCTATCCTCCTCCCTTGGACCACGGAGGACACTGGAATAAGTGCGGACGATAGATCTAGTAACCTTAAAAAACAAAGTTACGTTTTCAAATGTATCCGTTTGTTATCGGTCTAACAGACATCCTTCGGCAAGACTTCATTTCGTGAGCGTTTTCGGGTCGGTTTCTGGTGTACCTACCTTTTCCGAAAACCTCCATTTTCAATCCTTTTAGTATGGAAGCAAATGCTTAAAAATGTATTTGTTTTCAAAGGAAAATGCGTGCATTATTGTGGACGGAGACTAAAACATCATTTCTGACTTCTTCTCAGCTACTTCTAACACTATTGCTGATGGCCTAGATACCTGCATTGGTAAAACGACCTGGCCAATCATACGAGACAACGTGACTGACGTCATAACCGTAACAGAGCAAGAAATAATTTCTGCATGGAGGCTGGTCTGGGAACGAATGAAACTAATGATTGAGTCGTCTGCTGCTGTAGGCGTGGCAGCGGTATTATCGGAAAAATTTCAAGCTCTTCCTGCGCAAGATCTGAAGAATGTTGGGATTATTCTGTGCGGTGGAAATGTAGATTTGGACAATCTGCCCTGGAAAAAATAACAGCTTTCAACTACCACAAGAGAAAGTGGTTTAGCTGTCATTATTTTTAAGAACACTAAAGTTCTTGATTTTATGAAATAATCTTTAATACTATTTTAATATTTGATCTTATCGATAATGTTTTAAAGGAAAGCATGAGTTTGGGGACAACATATTTTCAGCTATAAATATACGGATTCATAGAACAAAATTTTTTTCACAGTTCTATGACAAATTTCTTGAATGAAGGTCGTTATTGTTTGTTTGTTTTATGCCATCCTAGCCAGTAGCCTGCGAAAACACCCGTTTCTCCTCGCTCTTCGCCGCTGGGGACGTTTCGCGTTGGGGAACGTCTGGTTTACCTTTTAAGTAAGTCGTGTATTTCTCAGGTACACAGAAAAAACCCGCGAGTACTGGAAGAACTTGGTTTTTAAGAACCTGTAAGGCTAAAATTTGGCAGTTAGCCCTCGATCCTCTACTATACAAGAACCTATTTAGCCTAAAAATTGAATCAGGTTCTCATTTTTTTTCTATAAAAGATTCTGTATACCTGGGGAAACGATAGGTGAACATTCAGGATCCTCTTTGGAGGCATAGGTGTTTTATCACTCCTTCACTAACTGCAATGTAATGGTATACAGATGTTATATAAGGAGTAAGCTGCATACCACTAAATACTATTAGCTACCTTAATTTGTTCTTCAGAAAATAAGAACCTAAGAACTTAAATAGCCTAAATTTTGTGCTAAAAATTACCATTTATGCAAGAACTTGTTTTGGCTAACTTGGGTAAAAGCAGGTTCTTTTAAAATTTAAATTAAATTGCTGGTTTTTACTGTACTTCAAATGTTCCAGTAAATGTGTTATACAATAGACTAAGACAGTGCCATCAGCATACAAAAGCGTATTACAATTGCGAGTAACAGTGGGTAAATCGTTCACATGAAGCACAAATAAAAGAGGTCCGAGGATCGATCCTTGGGGCACTGCAACAAAAAACGATCCGGCGTCTGAGAAAGCTCCCTGGAACCCAATAACCTGAACTCTACCTTAAGTTAGCAAACCACTCGTACTCTTGATCTACGATATCCAGGGCATAAACCCTCTGTGACAGAAGGCAATGGTTCTACCCCGAGTTGTTTAAAACAAACTAACTACTCGAATAACAAGCCACCTGAACGACATCGTAAACGCTAAAAGCCGTGTACCCGCTCACAGATTTTCGAGCAAAAGAGAGACTGCTCGCAGTCTAGTAGCCTGCGTAGCAGGGCGCTTGGAAGTACTGGGCGAAAGAGAGAACGGGAGCGTGCGAGGGAGACACGCGAGGCCGTAACCCCTACGGTTATTTTCGGCATCCCACATGCCGTGCGTACTTTCAATCCCGAATCCCACCTCCCCCCCGCCACCATTTTTTTTTGTCAAAATCCCGAATCCGGGCTGTAAAGACCAGACTCGTAGCCACTTGCTATTTATGTGTTTTGGGGTGAGAGAAGGTTGGGATTAGGTTGAGGCGCGCAAGGACTCATGGAAAGGGACGAAAGAAATTTTTTTTAATGTTCTTCGTCCCTTCCATGGGGGCTCCATGAGTCCCCGCGCGCCTCAACCTGCCCTCGATCTTCTCTCACCCCCAAACAGGGACGAGTCTGTATATTGAAAGACTACAGACGAACTTTAATACCGAACATATAGTAAAAAAGAACCCAGTCGCGCGGTCAAAAATTTCGACTGTGATAAAAAGCCCACGTTATTTCTTTTCAGTGGATTTTCAATCTTCCAACTGTTATTTCGTATAGAAGAATGCAAGGTGAATCGTTACCTAGACTTTAGCTCGAGGAGAGTTATTATTCGAATGTATGAATGGTAATGACGATAATCGACTTTAGAAATCTAACCAGACTTCGAAGGGCGTACTTATGTGTTCAAGATTTCGGCAGGTAGCAAGCAATTTCTTGTCACCCTCGATGCCTTATAGAAGTTTACAGGAATCGAGGGCTAGTCCACAGCTTTAATTGTGAAGTTGGATGTGATTGAGCCATAAAAGTAGATACAAGCTTTGCAATATTTTTGTACTCTGGAATGATTCATACATTTTGCATTTTGCAGAATGACTTCACCTTCAACCAGTGATGCTGTAATAACCATTCAGGATGTGCAAGATGCAGCTCAAAGAATTGCACCGTATATACACAAAACACCTGTAATGACCTGCTCAACTCTTGACAGTATGGCTGGAAGATCACTGCATTTCAAATGCGATCTCTTCCAAAAAGTTGGTGCTTTCAAGGTTAGACTCTGAAGTGAGTTACATATACACAGGAAGTACTGGAAATTAATGAACTGCAATTCTAATGGCAATCAACATAATATTCCTACCCACCTACACCCCACCCCCCCCCCCCAACCCAACACGGTAGGCGAGATTTAAGATAAGCTAAGCCCCGGGTCTGGTGTAGGTGATGCTTAACAGTACTACTGTAGATCTCAAGAGGGTGGAAAATAAATTATTGAATCATTTCAGGATGTTTGGAAAATCCTGGAGGATTAAGGATTTAAAACTCACAGATTAAATCCAACCATCACAGAAATCTGGAATGCCTAGAGAAAAAAGAAAAGCTTATGGTTCTAGTTTTCCTGATGATTCCTGATTACAGGAGTATCCAACGACGGTTTCCTCCTAAATACATTGATAACACTTTTAAGGCTATCCAGAGTATTAATGCATTCTAATTCAGTTTGTGTCTGTCCAGTCATCCTAGGGGAACTTGAGTCTTTTCGAAATTACAAGGGCTTCGTACTATTGTTGCAAAAATTTTAGATGCAATTTAATGCATTACGAGAATGAGACATTTTCTGATTTCTCTCTCCATAGCATTTTTGAGTGCGAAAGTTTTACTTCCTTTTCTCTGCGACAAAACAGCCAAACTTGGGAAGTGAAGTGCGAAAATTAAACTTCAGAAAATCGTAGGGAATTAATTAGATAAGCTTTGAAAATTGTGCATGAGTGGAATGGTCATCTAGAAAATATTAGCCATCCTCAAGTGATAGAAAAGTCTAGTCAATACCTGCTTCTCCAAACAGATAATTTAAGGAAATTAGTCGTCGGGTGCCCTTGTGATTATGCCACTGGACTAAAGGCGATTTCTTTGACTTTCGGAGTTTACAATAAATAATTTATATTATATGTTCTTTTACTGACAATATTTGCCGGACTATGGTAACTGGCCACTAAAATAGGTGGTGACCACTTAAATCCACCACCAAACATTTCAAAGAAGCTTTAACTTTCTTCTACACATTCACCACGTGAAAGTGAAATTTGTCATAATTTTATTCACTCTCATATTTGTACACTTTGGGTGGCTTAACCCTGCAGGGGACTTTGTGTCCTACACTTTAATTTGTTTTCCATTTATGTTATGTTTACATGTACCTTATATCAGTAAATAAATAAATAAATAAATAATAAATAAGCATTGTCACATTTTGTCACTCCAGATAAGAGGAGCAATGAATGCTGTCCTTCAGTTGTTGGATTCACTACCTGAAGGCCATAAACCTGTTCTTGTCACTCATAGCAGTGGCAATCATGCACAAGCTCTTGCACTTTCAGCAAAAACTATGGGACTTGAGGCTTACATTGCAATGCCATTAAATGCACCACTAGTGAAGAAAGCTGCTGTTCGGGGCTATGGAGCAACAATTGTTGATTGCGGAAACTCTGCTGAGGTGTTGCTTCTTATTTAATTTGTAGTTTTAGTTACAGTTAATTAAAAAGGGTGGGAGAACATGCATGCACAGTAGAGACCAATTATTAATGTCTATTTTTCAGAGATATCTATCTGAAAGAGGTGTTCATTGCTGTGTATGGCTTATAGTAACGAGTTCTTTTCCTGGTAATGGGGTTGAAGCTGAGAGAATCCATCACCTTTCCCTCTTTTTCTCTTGATCTTTTCCTTCCACATATAGACAGTGTGTTATTGTAGTCTGTGCTGCCCCAGTGTTAATTTTTGTGGGGAGATTGGTTAAGGAAGGTGCATGAGGGGAAAGATTATGGATTAAACAGTAATGGATTAAACAATTAAGTCACCTTGCATCCAGGAGAGAATGGTCAGCTAAACAAAACAAATTATGGTTAACAGAAAGCTAGTAGCTTATGTGAGTTGAAAACTTTGGCGTACATGAAAATATGCCTCTTCTTAATTAATCCAAAACCATAGTCATGAGTGAATCCACTTTTTAAAGTTACACATATGCCATTATTAGATTGTCTTTTGTGGTAAAATGAAATAGCAAGCCTTTTGTTTTATATTCACAGGATAGGGCATCAACTGCAGAGAAAATTGTAAAGGAGAAACCTAATTCATTCCTCATTCCACCATTTGACCATCCTCACATCATAGCTGGCCAGGGAACCATTGCTGTGGAACTACTCGATCAGGTTGGAACCTTCAATCAAGCTTCTATAGCCTTAGCTAAATAACTGCAGTGGCTCACAGAGCTGCTCACCATTTCTTTATTTTTAAATTATGTACGGGTACTTTCTTACATCTGTAGAATCTCGATTTCTCAGGCCCTTGGCTTTTGAAAAATTCCTGATAATTTGAACCAAATGTAACTTCCCTTCACTGGTCAAACATTGTAATTTTAGCCTTGAATTTTCAAACCTCCTGATAATTTCAATCAATTGGCTTTTGCCCATGTGGTGCAAATAATAGGGAGTCCGCTGTTACAGTAACGGATAACTTATTCTAATTTTTGTGTTATGAATTTCCATCAGAGGTTACTTGAAGGAGTAATCTTTTTTTAATCTTTTTTTTTCACAATAACTGAGCGATTTCTCTTGCGCTGATTGGTCAAGAGCTATGTTCAAAAAGAGTACCGGAAAATTACATGTTGGTGGTGCCATTTGTCTTTCTCTTCCAAGCACATGCAATTTTCCGAAAAACTTCAACAGAAATGGACATCAAAAACTATCAAATGTTATGGTAAAAACAAATTGACAACAATTTTCCATGGTTTATACTCTTATTGACCAAAAAAATGATGTCAAAATGTTCAAAACTTTGCAGTGAAACCACTTGCCTACGACTCGTGGTTCCACATGTGTTTTAAATAGTGTTAACGTCATTTCTAAGGTTGATAAGAGTACAGACCATGGAAAATTGTTGTCGATTTGTTAAATGTGGACACATGTATGCATGTGCCTAAAGACTCCAAATTCTTTGTTTACAACCCTGTTGGACATAATGTATTCTCTGGAAAATTGCACGTTAGAATGTAGATCAATGGCGTTTATTTCTAAGAATTTAGCTTTCCTTGTCAGGCAACTGTGTGCATGGTCTTCTGATTTGATATCTGATCACAAGTTCTCATGGCAGGTTCAAAACTTGGATGCCATCGTGGTTCCTGTTAGTGGTGGTGGAATGCTCAGTGGGATATGTGTTGCTGCCAAAGCACTGAAGCCTGACATTAAGATTTATGGTGCTGAGCCTCTCAATGCAGATGATTGTGCAAAGTCATTTGCAGCCAAGAAAAGGATTCCTCTTCCAGGTGTGTGCTTAGAACCACCTGTAGCTGCAATAACATACAGTAATTAATTTTATTATGAATAGAGTTTCCAAGAGGCAAAAGTTTATTCAATCATTTTAAAGCAAAGCAGTATGTACTTATACTGGAAAATACTGCTTGTAACCTCCTCTACTTCTAAGCCCCCTAGCTCAAGGCCTATCTACCTGTAAACCAAAAAGTACATCTGATTTTAAGCCCCCTCCAAGTGTATTAACCCTTTAAGCCCTAAGAGTGATCAGCGTCAAATTTCTCCTTTTGATATCAATGCTTTGTAAAACAGAGTGGTCATGAGAATTACGGACATGATCACACAAGATGAATTTGCTTGATATTTATCAACTTCTCCCCACTACTTCTGTAGCAAATGAATAGGGGCAGCAAATGAGAATTCAAATTTTGATCTTAGGGTTAAAATAAATGATCAAATTATTTTGACATTTTGAAGCTTATAATTAAAAACCAGTTATGTATTTGACTAGCACTGCTACAGCTTGCTTTAAAGCGCTTCTTCTATTCTGAGATATAAGCCCCCCTAAAACCCCTTTTGAAGATATGTATAAGCTTAGGGCTTATAAGTGGCAGTTTATGGTAAACAGCAGTCACTGACCTGCAGTCACCTCCCAAGTAAGGTCTTCTATTTTAAAACAACAACAACAACAACAACAACAACAACAACAACAACAACAAAAGATGCCTTACCTCTTTTCCCTACTCTAAATTCAGACTGTTAAGTCTCAATCATGGAAAAGGTATTGATCTTTAAAGAAATTCTCCACATGACTACTATTTTACTGCGCTTTTCATAAAAATGCGAATTTTGACGTTCAAAAGCCAACTGACAATTGCGTTTTTCGCTGCCATCAATCATCTTAACAGACCTCTTAGGAAACAAAACTTTATTTTAACAGGTTCAAAAGGTCGTGTTTTCTGATTTGTGATTGGTGGATTTCGATTCATTTTGTGTGTTTCTGTGTTTCAAGGTTCGTTTCTTGTGATCGTAATTATGATTGACAGCAGCAAAAAACGCAATTGTGAAGGCGGCTTTTGAACTTTAGAGTTCGCATGTTTATGAAAAGTGCAGTAAACATATTGAAAAACATTGTGAAGAATATCTTCAATTCAATTAGACCTTGAACGGTAAAGAAACATATAAAACTTTATCCTCAACAGGACCTCCTGACACAATAGCCGATGGGTTGAGAACAAGTGTAGGCCACTTGACGTGGCCAATCATAAGAGACAATTTGACTGATGTCATAACTGTAACAGAAGAAGAAATAATCTCAGCAATGAGGCTGGTCTGGGAACGAATGAAACTGTTAATTGAACCCTCTGCTGCTGTGGGCGTGGCAGCAGTATTAACAGAGAAATTCCAAGAAATTCCTGCACAGGATCTGAAAAATGTCGCTGTTATACTGTGTGGTGGAAATGTGGACCTTGATAATTTACCATGGAAAAAATAGCCTTTAGCTTGTGCTTTTCCACAGAAATTTTCTTCATCCTAGCTTTCATTTGCAAAAGTCACTAATGCACAAAATGAAACCTTTTTCTTTAGGTATTTAATATTCCATTTAACTATCTTGCGTACTGTGAAAGTCATCTTCAGAGTCAAAGTGAGTTGTATCATGTCAGTTGATGGTATTATACTCTGGTTATTGGCCTGATTGGTCAATTACGTTGCGATGTTATTGGTCGTCTGTCAGTTAATCTATCTTGCTTACATTACAATATCCAATGTAGACACCGAGGCAAAGGACAGAGACTTGTGTCCACATTAGAAAGTTTCCTTTTCTAGAGGTAGGAATTTTAAATAGTTTAGCCAGAACTGTCATATGTAGAAAAATGACTATTTTATGGAGGTTCACATGCGAGGTTCAGTGAATACTTTCAGGTTTCCTTCATATAGTAGATTAAAATAGAGGTTTTATATGAATTAATGTTTTGTTCAGTTAGGACCAAGTACTGGAGCATTCTGCATGTAAACGGTTTCCCCGAAGAGACTTTCGAGCAGCGTGCAAAGAAAGTAGTGTCCAATAGCCCAGGGCTTGTGGATTTTGCTATCAGGCTAGTGAATGCTGATCCTTTTTGAGGAATTCGAATAAGAAGAAGAACTGTGAAGTCAATTCTGCCAGTCAAAAAGGTTTTGGGGCTAGCTGAAATGACGCCTGGGCTAGTAAATGCTAACTTCAGCATGCCCGAATGGCAAGCTGTAAAAATGATTTTCTTTGCATCCTGCTTTCGAGGGTATTTAATTAAAATAAAACTAATAAATATTGAGAAAAAGTGAATGTCTTTCATCTAAAGCATTCTTCTATAAGTAGCTTTGTTCACAACCATTGATAATTTCCACTTAAATATTAAACAAGATCAAATTTTAGGATGAAAATTGTTCCCTCCAACGGGTAAGGAATTTACCTTTTCAAATAACCTGCTGATTTGAAACCTTTAAGAAGGGATGATGGCTATGTAAAGAGGATTATTGTATCATCGCAAATGTATACATGTATACGTATCTCATTCAGTTCTACTTTTTTAAAATATTATTTTTTGTCACAATGATCCAACAGTTAGTTCTCAGACTCTAGAAACACAGCAAATAGTGAAAAACAAGTTTGAAACTTTTTAAAAGTTTTGTTTTCCTTTCTACAGTGGCGACTTCTTAAATCCAGTCCCTTGTCCATCCTTACTCGAATGGCGAGAAATAAAATCAAGTATTTGACAACAGTTTATTCTTCGTCGCTGTCGTCATTTCGCATGGTAGTGTTTTCAGCGTCACGCGCGCGTTTGCGTGCGAGATATCTCTCTTTAGCAGACATGACAGTCTCATCTGTACTTCGTTTAGCGAATTTGCCAACAGTTTCTTCTTTCACCTTTTCTTTTGAATCTTTAGGTTTTTGGTCGACGTTACTGCTTTCTTTATCAGTTTTTTCCGCCGAGTCTATTTCTTTGCGATCCCGTTCACCACGATCGCGTTTACGATCTCTCTCTCGTCGATCATCGTGGCTGGTTCGACTACGATCTGAGTGTCGATTATCGTCGTAGCTTGATCGGTGTCTTTCGGAATGACTCGACTTTTTACGATGTTCTTTATCGTGCCGTTCCTTGTCACTGTGTCGCCGTCGTTCCCTTTCGGGCGAATCTGACGATTGTTTTCGTCCATCTTCGTCACTTTCACTATCTCTTCGTTTCCGCCTACCATGATCTTGATGTCTTGAATGTCTGGGACTACTCGGGCGTCCTCTATTTTCACGAGAGATTTCCTCACTTGTTGAATGCCTTTTGTCATCTTTATTTTTATGCTTTTCAGATTGTTTATCATCAAATGTGTCTTGAGTCGCCTCTTCTTCCTTTTGTTTTGATTCGCCTCTGTTATTTTTCTCCTCATGTGAATCTGTTTTTGTCGCGTTGTCGGCAGTAAATGAGCCTCCTAGTGAAACGTTCCGGTTTAGAAGATTCCGATAAAATAAGCTTAAATCCTTCTGCTTCGTCACATCATTGGCAGCTACAACAACAACAACAACAAATTAAGACAGGGACTAATTGGTTTTCCACGAAACAGCTCTATCCGTAGCATCAACAACAATTATAAAAGCCAAATGTAGAAATGGTTGTAGTGCATGACTATGAAGATGAAGTTTGACGTTTGATCACCGTGGGACCTTCCACATGCACTTGTTGTCATGCAGTGGCAGAAAATCATTACCCTGTGAGCAACCTCTCCATTAATCTTGGCCCCGTAGCTCTTTTGCGCTTAGAGGGCAGGCTGAAAGGCACTGGGGTCAAGAATAGGTCTTTATTTCAGATCGCGAGAAGCGAAGAGTCTTATGCCGCAAAAAGCTAGCTCGCAGGCCATAATAATGTTACCTTCTAATTCATTCTTTGGGCGAAACAGAAGTGGAAATAACAAAAGTAAACAAAAGGTGGCTAAGCTAGAGGTCAAAGCGAACACATGCATATCCTCTCTAGTTTTTCTTAGTAGCTGTTATTTAAAGGCACACCTCGAGTCACGACGCCCATTTGAAGGGAGCTTCTTTTCGGTAGCATGAAGTTTTTAGACCTTAAGCAACGACGACGGCGACGGCAACGAGAACGGCAAAAAAGCAATCGGTTTACATCAACAACTTTTCTTGCCTTCGTTGCACGACTTCGACGTGAAACTTCCTAACTTCACGTTGTATGGAGAACGTGAATACAAGGAAACTATTTTCTATTTTTTAAATATTTAATAGATACAGTCTTTAGAATTCAACTCCAGAAGAATTCGACCGAGATGGAGCAAGACTTATGAAGTGTTAAACAGCGCCAGTTAACTTTTTCACGTTTTCGCCGCCGCCGCCGTCGTCGGGATGCCAGCCTATGGTTAAAAATGTGTCTGGTACACATTTGTCGACTGATTGAAGGGAGAGTATGTGAAGCAATATCTCGTATCAATACTACATGAACAATCGGCATGAACCGGGCGGACCTCCAGATCAAAAGTCCGACCCAATTATCCACTAAAACTGCTTCGCCTTCCATCAATACTTAAGCTTACCATCAATGGCCTCTCGTCGTTTGAGTCTCTCTTCCTCCTCTGCCTGTTCTTGCATTTTCTTACGGAATCTGAAGTAAATTGCGTCAAGAATAAAACAACCGAGAACAAAGAAAGGTGAGTTTTATAACTTCCTTGCAATTTCTTGGCCTTCATTATAGCCGTTGAAAAAACTCAAATGAAGACAAGGCGTCAAGTCTGCAGTTTCCATCAGGCTTAACATTCATGGAACAATACCGCCTGACCGGCAGAAGTTTGATATTCGTCAAATTGGCTCATTCTCGAGTTTCTCTCCAGTTGCAATTTCCTTTTTTTCAGTGGCGAAAGAAGTTAGATTGCGGTGCGCGGGAGTAATGGGACGGGGAAAAGGAAAAACAAAATAGAGCCGATATTTTTCCCCCTTTTCTTCGCAAATCTTCAACCTAAAAAGTCGCATTACGGATATTAATCAAGACAGCCTTAGAGTCTCAGTGACTATGGCTAATGATGCTAAGTACATTTGACAGTCTGAACCTGATTTGTTGCAAGAAAGGTTTGAACGTGGTTAGTAAAACACGCAACATAACTTTCCAACTCGTTTTGCAGCAATGTTGGAAAACAAGTTGCACGTTTAAGTTTGTGCTGCCCGTTTTACCGAAGCTTTTCTTGCATCATACTCGAGCACGCAAACGTGTGAACTACAATTAACGATAAGGACTTTGCAATTTATCCAAATTACCGTATCCTGCTAGACTGTTCACAGTCCCCTATTTTTTCGTGAGATCGTTGAGATATAGCGCGTCTTACCGTTAAGGTCGGCCATCTTGATTTTTAAATGTACCGAGGCAGCGGGCGTCGGGAATTATAGCTCCAAGGGGTGGCGGGCGAGAAAAATAGCTCCTCCCAAACCGCCCCCTGCCCCCTAAGTAGTTTTGACACTCATGCAAGATGGCAGCCCGTAACGCAAAGCGCTCGATCTCGACGATCTTACGAAAAAATAGAGGACTGTAAACAGTCCTACTAGTACCCTGCTAGCAGGAAGATCGAAGGAGACTCTGTTCGCAGGGTAACACACCGAGGCGAAAACAGCAAAAGAAAAGACACTGCTTTTGCAGCCTAAGCCAGTAACTAACGTTTTAAATAAAAGGATACGCCTCAGTAACAAAAGCTTCTTTATCGTTAAATTGTCCCTCTTCTTTTTCTCTTTCCTTCTGTACTTGTCGTTCCACTGTCCGCTCAAACTCCCTCTTCCGGGCTGCAGCAGACTTCAGTAGACCCTCTATGTACTTTGGCTACAGTTTTGCAAATTTCCAAAACGTTAACGGTTTTTACAGCTATTTCGAGAAAGGGTGTCGCAAAAACTGTGCACGCGACAAGCCGAAAGGTAATATGGGATATGATCAATACACTTGTTCCTGACACTGTAGCTGTCGAACCTACTTTTGTTGGTTTCCTTTAGCACTGGCAAACATATCTGCATGGCCTCTCTTGCCATTCTTTGAAATTTCTTTGAAAAACAGTGAACTGAAAACCACCCACAATACCTTTCGGGATTGTCGCGTGCACTTTTTCCGACAACCTTTCTCGAAACAGCTGTATCTCACAACACTCAATTTTTTTTTAAGTCGAACCTCCACTAACAGCCGCGGCTCTCTACAACGGCCACTTTTTAGGCGGACAGTCCATACATTGACTCTTGTTTAAATCTCTCTACAACGGTCACTTTCTTCTGTTCCCAAGATGGTCGTTGTGGAGAGGTTCAACTGCATTCTTATTCAGTGACCTGAGGAAGTTTCTAAAGCTAATTCGGAATAGCTTTAGAATAGGGATAAAAATGGGGGCATTATAGTAATTTGTCGGTGTCTAGTCCTGAGGAAGGTTAATGATTAAGGATGAACAAGTCTGGTATACATCCGTGCAGACCCTCTTCACCCTATACCATAATGGTATAAAGTAAAGGGAAATTTAATGTAAATTGTGTTATATTGTAAGTGCTGAGAAGTGAGAAACTCTAAAGATCCTTCTGAACTGTAAGTTCTAGGGAGGAAAGTGAGATAAACAAGGAATAAAAGAAAATGTTTTTGACCCCGCCGTGAATTGAAGTCACGACCACCTCTAGGTTAGATCTAGCAGAGTTCTAACTGACTCAGCTTCGAGGACAGCTTCGACAGCCGGGAGTAGGTCGTGAGTAGGGTAAACAGGGTGTGCAATGGGGTATTCGAGTCACATTAGGGAACTTAAGAACCACGACGACGACTTTGTCGACGACGACCGGAAGTGAGATACCGTGCACTGCGCAAGCGCGGTTAACAAATTTCGTCGTCGTGGTGTCGTCGACGACGCCAAACACAGTAGAGTCACGTCGTCCTGCAGTCCACAAGCTTCGGCAGGTATAACTCCCTGTTTTTAAGCGATTTTTCAAGGGCTTTGTATTTTTTCACCTCGTAAATCCAGGTATCCTTTCTTTTTTCTGCTAACAAGCGATGTTGATTGAAAATTTGACTGATGAATTGTGTTTACTTCGAAGACAACACTGAGCTGTGCAGGCCGAGCGAGCGAACTCGTACGTGACAAATTTATTTGTACGTATTTAGGTCAGGCAAATCATATATCTTTAATACAGAGGAAATGAACTTTATATGGAAAACAGCTATCGCATCGGAATGTCTCTTTTTCCAAATCTAAACTCTGACAGACACTCGGACTCGGTCATGTCATTCAGGTTGAAAGTTGAATAACCTTCGTACGGAAAGCAGAGATTTTTCCATTCGAAAAGGTCAGACAACACTAAAAATTCTTCATCGTCAAAGAAAGTAGACGTACGGCTTATAAAATAAGATCTTGCATCGTCTTAAAAGACGCCTTTGCGAAAAAACGTTGTTGTGAACGAACATCACAGTTGTACTACTTCTACATGTGTGTTTACATTCAGTGTCGTCGTCGTCGACCCACCGATCGACTGCATCTTAAGTTTCCTTTTTCCCGCCGAAACTGACGTTCTCGTTCCAGTCCTTTCCCAGTCAACAGACGTCGTCGTCGTGAACTTCGTCGTGGTTCTTAAGTTCCCTATTATTTTATCAGTCCAATTTTCAGCAATTTCTAAGTTACAAGTGAAAATTTTAGCTCATTTCTCGGGTACCTCAGCTATCCATTTAAAAAGAACTTAATGTCTTAGCAGACAGTTAAAATTTTGGCCAATTCTCAGCCACTGGCATCCTTGGAGACCCAGGGGCAGTCAGTTGAGCCAGGGTAAAAAGCGGAAAATAACACTTGTGCTTGAATACTTTCGTCGCGCGTTTTCTTTCCCGACCCGACTGACTGCCCCTGGGTCTCCGAGGATGAGCCATTGGTTAAACTCCATCCAGCTTCGGTAAAGATTTCAGAGGTCAACCAGTGGCACAGCGCACCCTGGAATTAAAGAAAGTACTATATCTCACGTTTGTAAGATATCATGGCTATGCTTGCGAGGTATGGGCTCCCAGTACGATATGTAGTATAACAAAAATAGAGAGTCTTCAACGCAGGGCGTCAAAATTCATCTTAAATACGCACTGGCAAGAGGATATTTCTTATCTTGAGCGCCTTTCTCGCCTCAATCTGCTACCGTTAACATACTGGCATGAAGTGAAAGACTTAATTTTTTTGTCGTGCTGGCCACTACACGTTACCCATGTAGATGATTACGTCAAGCCTAAAGGCACTCGTCTCACCCACAACAGCTCTGATCAAGACGTACTAACTCCCAAGTGCCGCACAAAGCTATTTCAATTTAGTTACTTTAAACGTATTGCTAAACACTGTCTTAAATTGGAGCCTCGTTCTGTTGTGTGTTCCGCACCTTCGTCTGTCGTTTTTGTGACATGTTCAAATGTAATTTTTTTCCTAGTCTTATTTTAGCATTATAATCATGGTGAAAGCAATTAAATACCGTAAAATTCCGAAAATAAGCTCCTCCATGTAAAAGCCCCTCCAAATATAAGCCCCCCAAAACGGTAACGCAAAAACCCTCTGTTAAATCGCTCCTCCAAATATAAGCCCCCCGGGGGCTCGTACCTGGAAAATTGCCCTCAAATACAAAGTAAAACAAAGCAAAAACAGTAAATTTACTTCCAACTATAAGGCTAGCCCAATCGGTTTTGAAACGCAAATTTCCCTCCGTAGATAAGCCCCTCTAATAAGGTCTTTGAAAAATATAAGCCTTGGGGCTTAATAAATAAACATGTGTACCTTTCTGTCTTTCTCTGGAACTTTTACGTTAGCAGCTTTCTTCTTCTCTTCCATCTCATCATAAACAGCATCATACTCATATACAGTTGGATCTTCACGTAGTGCTTTTTGGATTTCAATCTGTGTCTAATGTCAAAGAAAAACAATGTATTTAATTTCCAAAGAGTAATACCATAAAATCCAAGTTTTAAGCCCCCTAATACGCACCCCCCCCCCCCCATTTTAGGGGAAGACAGTTATTAAGTCCCCCTTGCCTTTTACAGGGCAACTACTACTTCTTTTAAGTGCCCCAGTTTGAGTAGTCGCACTGTAAGCCCCCTCCCTCCCTTTGCTCTTTATTAAAAAATGTTACAGTGATGTGGCCAAATTTAATCTTCAAAATAAATCTTATTTTATTGAACATTTTTAAGAGAAAATGATGACTCAAATTTCACCTTAATATTAATAATAGTACAGCCACGTAGAGGATCATTTTTTGCTGTATTAAAACTATTAAAACTTGTATACATTGCTTTCAAACCACTTAAAGACATTACTGTTAGTCTTACATACTGTAAACCCTCTTACAACAGTTAGAATTAATAAAAAGCCTCGCTCTGGTGAGCTTGAGTTAAGCATTTTAATGACTGGGGGGTGACCAAGCATTTAAGTGAGAAAATAGAGCATTTAAGTAGAGTACTTTAGTGTGGAAACAAAAGCATGGAAGTGTACAAAAGCCTAATTGCCACTGGGTGAATAAGGCACCTGTGTCTCTACATAGGATCCCAGATGTTGAGTACAATTTTTTTACAGAGTTTAGAAAAAAGGAATCTGTTTCAAATTTTAGGCTAAACAGATTATTGTATAGCGATGTCTAAGTGACACATTGTATATTTCCTTACAGGTTCTTAAATACTACATTCTTGCTTGTGGCTTTAACTGTATACAAAGATTTATAAGAGAGATCTCAATACATGTAGAGTTATAAACTTCATGATCCTCCGTCAGGTGTTGTAATGGCTACCTATACACAGCATAATTATACTAAATAAGAGGTTGGGGTTTGCTACTATATCTTCTATTACAAATAACTGGGATTTTACAGTAATTAGTAATAATATTAAGATGAACAGAGTGCAATTTATTCTTTACCTGCTTCATTTGCTTCTTCTTTTGAGCCTCTTGAATCAGTGATAAATTCACTTCTTTGTGAGCGCTATCCTATGGAAATTTTTCGTAACAGTTAATTATACATATATTTATAAATAAAATTTCAGTTTAACTAATCCATGAAGTGAGCAGCAAGTGTAGTCAATCTCAGGCATGTAGCCACAACATTAGCAGGCTATTAAGCTAATAAGAAACAGAGAAATATATTTTTGAACAAATAATGATACATGTAAACTTAAAAGTACACTTTTGTTGGCTGTCTGGAGCAATAACAGTACTACTGTAGAAGTTCTTTCCAAATTTACACTAAACTTCAAATTTGTCTAGGTTTCCCAGGCTATGGTTGAAATATTAGAGTACCACAAGCATTTTAGTAATTGACCTTATTCATGATATCCATGACATCTATGTATGTGCATGGGATAAAAGCAATTTCCCATTTTACTCAGGGGGCAAACAAGTGAAAAAAATTTGTGAATGCAAGAAATCATGGTCGAGTTTGTCTATTCTAGACAACAAAAAATTAAGAACTTTTCACGTAAAGATGATAATGGTAAATTATGGGTGGAAGTCATCATTGTTACTTTTTTGGATGCAGAAGCGACTGTAAATGTCCTTATAGCAAACAACGATGTAAATGTTCTTGAAAAATGAACTGGACATTTTGCATGACCATTAAATCATTGCCTCGAATAAAGATAGAATATACAAACTCGACAATGATTACTACAACGATTACAAAATTTTATCACTTGTTTGCTCCTTGAAATACCACATAACATTGCTTTTATCCCATCGATCCTAAAGACTGCCTGCACAGATGGTGGGTATCGTGAATAAGATTTATTGTGAGAATATGATAGGCTGCATGTGTCATTATTTTCCCAAACAGGGAAACAGTCTATGGTTTATAGCAGGGTTACCAAAGCAACATATTGGCCTATATGTTGTTACACGACTCTGTTAGTTACAAAAAAGCTGCTTAAGTGTCAAAAAGCATACCTCATCGTCACTAGAGTCATTTCCAAAGACTGCTAGCTTCTTTATGGGTTTGTTGCCAGACTTTTTGCTTGGAATTATGAGCCCATACCTGGAAGTCAAAGTGAAATAAATAATTGAATCAAGTACACCTAAAATATAACATACAAGCCTGCTTTCATCACATCTTTCTTGGTCTCTTTTTAGACATTTGCTCTAAAAATATACTTTACCTGGTAAAGTATATCACATTTCATCAACTAATTTCCCCCAGCATTGATTTCAAACTTTCACCCACTGAGTGAAACAACAGCCGCAAAAGGTGTCTGTTCTCACAGGCTAGGTGGACTGTATTTAAAAAACACGAATGCTGAAATTAAGGCTGAAAGTACATAATTTTCAGGTACTTCATGCATGCACCATAGTTTTTTTGTCATGAAATTTTGTTTCAAGTAACATGAGGCAGGGGTAAATTCTGAGGACACCATTTGTATCAGTTAATTTAATTGGCTACCCTGTTAGCCACCACCCTGCGAGCACAGCCTCCTTTTGTTTTCTTGAAAGAGAACGTCGAAAAGGAGGCTCTTCCTGAATCACGTCAAGCCACTGAGGTCGCTGCAGCCCAAACCTCTGGGCTAGCTCTCGTCAAACTGCATTGTGGCTTTTTTGACTGTAGCATCCTTTTATTGATACAGCAATGGTTATGACTGAGCCCACTACACCAAGCGCATGGCTGTTAGTCCTGTGTTCAAAAATGTATCCTAGGAACATCCAACGCAAGCTCAACAATGATCGTTCTTGATTCAAGCAGAGTCTTTCTCAAGTACGCCAAAATCAAGGAAGTAAAAGAAAGGCTTTCCTAGCAGGATGGTTAACCACTATTGGTGGTACCAAACCTAAGCTGAGGACATTTCTCTATGGCATTTGATAACATATTTCTACAGCACATTACAAGTATAACATTATCAAATTATTATACTTCTTAGTTTATAGCAGTTTTTTGTGGGGATGAATACAGTAGTTTCTATTGCTTACAAGCGCCAGACCAGACAATCAATGCAGTAACATTAGTCCAAATTTAACACATGCCCTCGAATTTTATCCCAAAGAAGCCATGAGATTTCACAACGTGGATGTCTTGCGTTACCGCCACACTTACTAGTAGTATTCACACCGAACGACAACTGACAACAATGAGCCACAGAACATAACCGTTTTTGTTTCTCTTTATACCTCTAACATGCAGGAAAGACAGTCTGTTAAAATACTAACCTTTTGGGTTCTCCCATCTCGCACACAACTTCCTGAACTTCTCGCTGGTTACTCTATCAACTGTTTCATTAAAACCTTTTCGACCCTGGTCTCGTTTCTCTCTGAGAGCTCTCCGAGTCTTTTGATTCAGCGGTCTTTGCCGCGAAACATTAATTCCTTATTTATGACACACGACGTGGCACCCGGGGATTGCTGTGGGCATCATGCCGAGGTGGAAGCGAGGCTGGAGTTGACCTTGTTTTGATACAAACCTTCCTGCTTCATCATGTAAATCAAGTTGTTCTTAAGCTAACTACTGTAGTATTTTTTCAAGGATACTTTCCATAACAAAGCAGAGGAGGTTTGTATCAAAACAAGGTCATCGTCAGACTCACATTCACGCGAAGGCTAGGATACTAAGTCCACCACTGTAAAATGGAATTTGAATTTTATCAGAGAATGTAAAAGGTTTCCGCTTTTTGAAAGATTCGAAATAAAAATGACTCTTCTTTAGTTTGTGTTTTACAGTCAGTTCGCTTTTTATGCAGAGCCATTTCGAAGTATTTCCAGTCGTCGCTTCTCTCCCTCCGAAAAATAATTCTGATAAATAATTTCGGAGGGAGAGAAGCGACGACCGGAAATACGTCTGCGGTTCGCGGGCTATTTCGAAGCCGTTTTGTGCGTTTTGGTGACCTTTAGACCCCGGAGGACGGGGAAAGAGAACTCACTATAATGGACTATAGCGTATACGGGGAAGCTCTGACAGAAAGGGGTACCTTTTTCAGAGTTCAGATCTATGAAAAGGTAACGATTTCACTAGTTGAATTATATAAAAGGGCAGGGAAACTAGTCAGTTGGGTCTGTAAAAATGCTACAGAAAGGGCCAAAAGAGGAATATATGGTCGAGAAAGTTTTCTGGTTTTGTGATTTTTTGACACTTTAAAGACAGTGTATTTCCAGCCGTTAAAAGGGGTGTAAAGTTCTAAACTAGGTATGTGAAAAAGGGTACCATTTGTCAATGGACGGTATACGAATTAAGGGGGACCTTTTCTTTCAAGAATGGTATATAAAAGGGTAACTTGTTGGACCTCGGGGCGGAGCCTCCCCGTATAAATCTTTGTTGACTGACCCTCCGGTGTTTTAGATTCAAACTTTAGAAGCGAACTGACTGTAAAACTCCCGATAAAAAAAAGGTGAGTACCGTATTTATTCGAGTAAGCGCCCAACCTCGAATTAGCGTCCACCTCGAATAAGCGCCCATCCTAAAGGCAGAAAAAGTTAATAAGCGCCCAGCCTCGAATAAGCGCCCACCCCACCCCCTCCCCCTCCCAATCAAACTCAATTAGCGCCCACCCCCACCCCACCTACTTGAGCGATAATGAGATTGAAATTGAAATTGAATAAGAACTAATAAGAGACTTCCCCGAAGACGGAGTGTTCTTCCGAGTACCGAGAAAACCTTGCTTTGTTACTTCTTCACGTTTTTTTACTGGCATTTACTGTTTTTTTGCAAAATAAAAATACTACACTAATTGCTGAAAATGGTGAAAATTTAATAACCGCCCAGCCTCGAATAAGCGCCCACCTCGAATAAGCGCCCACTCTCAAGGTCCAAAAATTTAATAAGCGCTCAGGGCGGTTAATCGAATAAATACGGTAGTTATTAGTTCGAATATTTTCATAAAGGGAATTAATAACGTATTTTGTTTATTCTCATACATCCCATTCTCCTATAAATATCAAATTCTGACGAACTCTCATAGAGCCTGGGCTGCCTATGTAGGCATTTTTTCTTTTTTTTAAGCCCTGTTTTATGCATTCCCGTTTTTTCTTCCTTTTCTTTCTTCTTCTTTTCAGTTCAGTTATAGAGTTAGCCAATGTTATTCTGATATCTCAAACCTAGGACGTCATTAGACCATATATAGTTAGTGATTAGACCTGAAGCTCACTCTCCCTGATCTTGATTAGACGTTACCAAAGTTAATTCTAGGAGTACGCGCCAGGAGAATATGACTCTTCACAAAAATGATAAGATCTTATATAAAGCTTTTCATTTGAATTTTATTCAAACATGTATCTTGATGATTATTACGATAATAATAATAATATTTAAATTATTGTTCTGTATAGAAATAAGTTTCTCAAGGTTTAATTTATACGTAATATATACATATACAGGTTCTATCATATTGCCAAAAATAAATATTTGTCAAACGCACGTCAGCGTTTTGGTTGCCATATATACATCGAAGGGAGGATTATTAAGTACTGTATTTTAAGGCCAACATAAAGGAAAACACAATAATGGATTCGACGTTTACCAAGAGTGAGCTAATTATTATGGTAAAAAATCCAGGATAAAGGTTAATTGTATGATCTTTTTGAAAGACCTGGTTTGTAGTACGTTGGGCGGTTTGCATTGTACTTGATGTCCTTAATGCACGATGACGTCCGAATAATTATACGTGAGCTGCTGTTTAAACTGAGACTACCGTCCTTTTAACCTAGTCTTCCTCTACAAGAAAACCGTTTTTTTTCAGCGATGAAAAATGGTGTAACGATATTCAAGAAGGTGTGTTATGTAGTCCCATTAATACGGAGCCTCGCAAATTTTCTGCTCGATTTTTCCTTCTCGACTTTTTCTCACCCTTTTTTATATCCGGACTTTTTTCTCACTTCTTGCACCGTTGATCACATGCATCAAAGGCTCATTCATGCGTAGAAATGCTTAGACATGGCCAGGTTTGATTCCTGGCTTTGTAACTATTTTACTTATCGCTGGAAATGTAATGTTGTGTAGTTTGACCTCTCTACTTTCCTATCTTACAGCATGTCCGTGTCCACACTAATCTGTTCTCAAAGTATGCGTTTTCGTTGTTTTGGTAAACGCATGATCAATTCGGGTCCACACTACCGATTTGATGCGTTTTCGACTGTCCACGCTAGAACGTTCGAAAACAATAGAATTACACGTCGTGACGCAAGTTGAACTCTAGACTATACGCACGCTTCAAACACACGCGCCAGCGATATTTTCGGTCATCGTTTTCATTTTGATGAGCGTCTTCGACCGTTTTCGACCATCCACACTAATAAGATATGTATGCGTTTTCATTTTGATCCACTTTCAAGAGTGTTTTCAAATCGATGCGTTTTCATTGAAAACACTCAGCGTACTGGTGTGGACAGAAGGCCTAAACGCACCGAAATGTATGCGTTTTCGGACGAAAAAGCATTAGTGTGAACGAGGCTTAAATTAGTGAAAACTGACTGAACGTAAATAAGTTTCTTCTTCCCAATACATCTGTCATCAAATAATTCACTGCTATTTTCATATCATCTCCTCCCGAGTAACATCTATAATGAAGAAGTTATGAATCAACACTCCGAGATCCCACATGTCGGGTGACGCTGCTTTTTGTACTCGTGGCGCAAAGTGATTGGCATCTGAAAAAAAATAAAAATAAAAATAAAAATGCAATTTATTTGTGAATGTGAAGCTCTCGCTACTGTAGCAAAAATGATTGCAGTCGTGGCTTTAACACGAATAAACTCTATCTAATGAGGCTAGATCAGTGATGTAAGTAAAAGAAACGAGGATGGAAGACCATAAGAAAAAGCTGCCGCTGGATGCAAGTCAGGAAAAGTCCGATGCTTCAAGTTAACTTCAATTCCTACTTTTTTAAATTCTTCAGTGACGTAGTTCTAGTTTGTATCCCTTGGGCAAAATCTTTTGGTGTGAGTGCCACTCAAGGTTTTCCCTCGTTCTTTCAAATGGCCCTATTTTCTACGAATGCAATGTAGTCACTGTTCTGTTGGGGGACTTTTGAGAATGGAAGGATTATTTTGACTTAATAACCAGCCATACATTATGTTCTATTCGTACCTTCATTAATGCATTTTACCGCCAACTCTCCGTAAATGTCCTGTAGATGCGTCTCCAGCACGTTTAGAACAACAGATCCTATTTCGTCCTTTGTTTTTCCCAGGAAATAATCGCTTGCTCGTGCGAAGTGTTGCAGATCCTGCATGATTTGTACATCGACAATTATCGATACAGAAACACGTCTTCTTTGCGCTGTCCTCACATTTTTGAAAACGTGTTTAAATGTTAATACGTCCAAAGTTAACCTGAGGAAATAATGTTGTAAGTGAAAGAGGAAATAATACATACTTAAACTTTAGCAGGGCATATGTATAATAACTGATATGAATGGAAAATTAAATTGAATTTGAATTTTGAAAACGATTCCCATGCTATACACTTGACTGCTCTGTGAGAGGTATACCTTACAGCAAGTTATAATTTAAATGTGTAATATTCATTTTATTGAAAAAAAAAAGTGTAACTGTTTGAATTCTAGTTTTCTGCTTATTATGAGAGTATTATAGGACGCGTATACAATACCTTTCGACTTTGCTTAGACCTGCCCAGGCCCATAAACATTTCCACTTTCCAGCAACAGCTTTGTATTTTTGAGTCCTAGGAATACAACATCCTCCTGTGATGAAAAAAAAAAAAAGAATTTGAAATAAAGGAAATGGAGAGGTTTATAGCACAGAAAATTATTACTGGAGGCGTCAGACATGAAGTCAGAGGACCCACGGGTCCAAGTTGCACACGGCATCCTCTGAACAGGCTAAACCAACCTTGGCGGGGGGAGGGGGGCGAAGAAAAGTCCAGAAAGCACGTAAATTAGGGGGTACGGGAGAAGGGAAATGAAATAAGGGATCTCTCCGCAGTTCCCTAGGGAGCATTTTGCAAGGCCACAGCTTACCAGAGGGTCTTTTGCGAAAGTATCATCGCTGTGGGCAAGTTCCTCTTTATTTCGAGTGGCAAGTGACGGGCCGCGAGAGAACGCGCTCGCATATCCTTTCGCGTGCCGCTCCCGCGTCACTTCTCACGGTATCTCTCCGAGAGCTTGCTCGCAGGCTAGATAGTATTCGGCAAGAACAACTCCTTTTTTGCTGAATCCAGATTTTTTATGGTCAAAAGATGTTTTAATATAGCTTGTTACATAGGAATCTGAAATATGTGATTCTAAACGGAGGGATTTTTTACCTTTTTTAATGAACTATTCACTTAAAATCCGGAACAAGAACATTGTAAATCAAGAGAACATAAAGGCCCCGTTCCCTTGTGTAAACTCAGTATTTATTTCAACAGATGTTTTCAACTTCTTTTAAGTAATGGTCCAGATAAGAAGGAAAGGACCAAAACGTAGTGAACACGTTGGAATGCAAAAAGGTGCTAACTTTACTATTGTCTCTACTAAGGTTCTGATTTGTTTAAACATCAAATTTTACGAAATCTTCGCAAAGCAGCACGTATATTAATCCCTTTTTTTCTATCCAACTTCCTTATAACAAATCTCGTCTGAGTCTAAGTAACACAGAAATCGTATGTGCGGATCATGTAAAATTGTGAACATTTCTTGGCCATTGTTTGCAACTCTTGCGATTGGTCGAAATGTCTTAACACAAAAATACACCCATTACTTAATGACAATATCCAACAAATGTTGTCAAGGCTGAGGATTCTCCGCATATCTTAAGGCCAATGTTGAACGAACGATGGCTACAATATTGTGCTGATGTACTCTTTGTACTACGTACTTACTTACCACCTCTAAATATGTAAAGAATGCAAAAGTCTATTTCAAGAAACTTTATTATCTATCTAAGGAACGTACTAAGTAAACTCAAACGATCTTAAAGGAAGTGCCCTTAGTTCTTAACATACATTCTTAATACATGATCGAAGTCGAAAAATATTTTTATTTGTTTTCAGTTCAAACGACGCCCTATTGCCCCTTTTTAAATGTTAATGGTTCACTGACAATTGACAAACACTAAGTCACGGTAGATCTTTTGTTCTCCAAAACGCTGGAAAACTGTAACACTGTATTGGTTGGTATTAGCGCAGCTCGTAGACCTCGTAATGTAAATTTCAGACGTAGTTGGAATTGATAAAAAGTTCTAACTGAGACGAAAAGATCTCACAAAAGCAAGAAAATAGCGATGTACTATATCGCGGAACTCGAATCGCTTTAATTGAATATCTTGAAACCGAGCAGTTCAGTTCCGTCTCTTAGGATTCTCTAGTCTCTTGACAGTCTTGAGCCTGTTTTCAAAAGTATCAGCTTAGTATTGTAGTTATCTAGTGTTACAATTGGCATTAATCAGTTAAGCAAACCGCACGCCTTTAGATTTATTTGTACCAAAAGAAATAAATTTAGAATTGAACATTTGTTGACTTCTCAAAATGCAAACACAACAAGCTGAGGATAAAAAGCCTCACCTGAGACGACAACTGCCTCTCTGTCGCTCGCCATATGGCAATTACCCATTGTACACCAAATTCTTCAGCGATATCTTGTTGAAAAACCAATAATTTTACCTTAGAAGACGGTCAAGACTGTTTGCGTTTGTGCGCTTTTAGTGAGTTCTTCGAGGTAATATCACAATATCCGTTTAGAATTAGGATCATATGAGAATGCAATGCGCTTTTATAAGTCATCACGTCCGAGGTGATACCTTGAAATAGCTGACATTCCTGAACGAGTCAAGGGCTACGTAAAAGACTAGTTCATCCCCGGTTTTACGTACCGGTATATCAAATTAAGGCAAACAGCACTGACAGCAGTCCATACTTAGAAGACAACAATAATCAACAATGCAATGTGACATTTTGAAAGGAAATTAGTTATTAACCTTTCTCGACCGCGGAAAATTTACTTCAGTCACAATTTTCTATGATTAAATCCGGTCATTCACGTACGTGTAAACCGTCAGTCCTTAAAAACATACAATACACTAAAAATAGCACGGCAACAATTCAATTCCCTTTCGTAAACAATCGAGAAAACATTTGGCTTAGAGAGCGGATTCGAGAGCGGAGTTTTTGAAATTTAAATTTTGTTTCGGTAACGATTTTCTTTTGGGTGTGACATTTTACTTGTGTTGTTGTTGTTGTTTTTTTACTATATATGTATTTTCGTGACATAGGGTCATGACGTGTCTCTTGCTAAACATCCGTAGAAGCAAAATGAAACTGCTACCGGCTTAAATCTTCAGGTTTTATTGCCACCCCTCCTCTTCCTTTAAGTGCAAATACAAATGAAGTAAAACTCAAAAGACAATTTTTTTTTCTCGCCTCTTGATCAGCCAACGAAAAGACTCGGTTGCTTGCCATGCCAGGCTCCATCGCAGACGATAAGCTCCATAAGTGACACGCTATATTAGACTTATATTTCTACTCCGGTACTGCAATGACTAAAATAACTTTTCTTTTTTGAGTGATTTTTGTCATATAGTTTGGTTTGATACAAGCTGACGAAATAATAGGAAATTTTTAATTTTAACCGAAAAAGCAAAACGTCGCTCATTACCGTCATCTTTAGGCTGGCGTTTGGTAGGATCTATCGCTCTCATACACCAGGGGCACCCAACGAGGATATAATTCAAAACCACTTAACATAGCATTGTTGAACGTATTTTAGTATTTAAACGGTAGATATAGGCATATTTTTATCCCCTAAAAACTTTTCATTTGTTCGGATTTCCTAGCTGAAAGTCTACTGATCCGAAAATTATAGGGATCAAAACTTACCTTTTCGAAAATTTCAGCCAGGAAAAGGCTCCCGAAAATTCTAGGTGGCCTTTTTTAGGGTAAATATCCGTTTAAAATGGGTAATTATACCATTTTGTAGATGTTCGAAAATCCTAGGAGAGGCAGGCAAGCAAGAAATTTTACAACAAATGTTCCGAAAATTCTGTCTCAAATCGTCTTCCGAACAGATATTTTCCCGAAAATTGCCGTTGGGTGCCCCTGATACACTCCTTCTTCTTTTTCATTTTGATGAGCTTCAAACTCAGGGTTATATTTCAATTTATAAAACATTAAAAAACGAAAAATATAATCGTAATGTTGAATTATTTTTCAGCCATGTAACCTTTTCCTCGGATTTTGCAGACGTTGCCAAATCTACGAGTCAGTTACATCCGACGCCCCTGCGGGGAAGAACGTGCACTCGTCCAATTCACTTCAAGCGCGCGCCTGTGAGTGTAGCCAGTCTGTAACTTTTGATTTCCTGTGCATTTTATTCATTACAAGCAGTTTTCAATGCCAATATGATATGTTTATTTCGTACAAAATAATAAAGTTCATTTGTTTTCTCCGTCCAAGCAGAATTGCGTTGAGCGCAAATAGACCAAAACAGAACTTAAAACTAAACTTTTAAAACGGAAAAAATTCCAGTAACCTGTAGCTTTAAAGCAGCTGTTCAGTTTTATCCTCTCACAGGTTCAAGCTGAATTATTATTGTGTAGAAAGAGGATGAGTTCAGATTCTGGATGAAAATACGAAATATTATCTGCGACAGAACGTCTCATAGTTATCAAACCTCAAGATACTGCAATTAACAAAGCACTCAGCACAAGTAAGCCTTTCCGGTGAAATAATGCATTATACCGCCTCCACTATTTGTGATAACAAGCATATTTATTTGGCTTTTGAGGGAGTATTGTGTAATTAAGATGTTATCTTCAAAATCTTGCATTTCAAACATTAACTCAAACTCCGTGTCTCAGTGTGACGTTTATGAAACTTCTTTGTAACTCGTTTCCAAACTCGTATTTCATACTTTACCTAAGTGTGTGCAATTTCCTTTTTTTGAGTAGAATGAACTGATCTCGTCAGACCTTAAAAAACTGTTTCGCTACAATAGGCTCGGCCTTTTGTCGCCAAAGAAAACCCAAAGACGAAAAAAGGCATCGTTCGCAGATTGTGTAATCGGCAGCCCAGTTTCTGTTGCCCCAAGTTATGGACAACGTAATTTCAGCTATCCTTCTTTAGCTTGAAATCTGTTGCGTGTTACGTTTGCAGAACCAAACTAAACCCGCGCCCGTTTGTGTCTGTTATATAAACCAATCAAATTCTTAATATATGTTGTGTGTTTGCTGATTCAGTCTTGTTCAAACGTAAGTACTGATTTCGCTCTGTCACGAGACTTCGCAGCACAACATCTGAAACCGCACTAAAGGAAGTACTTTTGTAGCTTTAATTCGTTTGAGCTCGAAGTTTGCGGATGGGAGAACTTTGTATCACGCGCCAACCAATCGCATGTTGTTTTTGCACAAAAATCAAAGCGTAATAATACTTAACCAATTGAGCTCGCTTTTGAAAAAAATTTTCACCTTTGTTTCAGTATCCTGTCGTGCTCTTTAAAACTTACCTACTTGTTACCTCATTAGTTGGAATTCAAATGGTGAGGAGAAGTCGCTTCGTCACGTTGTCATGGTAGCAAAATTTCTGGATCTTATCAAAACGTCATCCTGCGAATATGGCAGAAAACACGAACAAAAGTGACACGTATGACTTTCTTGTGGATGATTGCACTCATGAACAAAACGGTAACCCAAACTGTTCTTACATCGTTCGACATCGCAAATGGCTGTCCGTATTAAGAAAAAAATGTTGAGATCCAGAAATTTTGCTACCATGGTAACGTGACGTCCCACTTCTCCTCTCTATTTTGCTGTGAATCTTGTGACGCCATTTTCCCGCCAAAACAGCGAAAATCGAAAAAAATGAAAAACATGCCATTCCACAAGCAAAGATTTCCCGGATTTCGGAAACTGGGTTATACTCCCTTACTGAGGCGATGTGTCCTTGTAGTCCACTTCTTACCTCTCTTACCCTTCCTTTGCGAAAGAGAGCTTTTTTGACAAACAGTTCTCATGCCTATACAAGTATAGTAATGGGAAAAGTTGCCTTTGATCAACTTGGTGTCAAGGTGTGACAAAACTGGACTGCATCAGACACTGGAAAGGGGCTCTTGGCCCTACATTCCCGCTCCTTTTCACGACAATCTCGCATCATTTTTATGCCGAATACCGTTTTCTTTTCCATTTCTGCGCGCATCCCAGGCCATGATTTTGGAGAATCCCACCTCCCTCCCTATTTCAATAGAATCCTGAGAATTATTGTCGAATTCGCTTTAATATCGTGTTTGTGTCTTGCAAAGTTGCCTAGCGACAATACCTGAACTTCGAAAGCTGTAAGTTACCATGAGGAACAAAAGTTAGCCCAATACTTGACGGGTAAAAACCACGTTTGGGCAGTTTTGGTTCTCCTCTCCACCAGACAGTGACCAAAAAGCGGCTCTACAAATTCTTCGTATTAGGGTTAATTCTCTTTATTCACAACTGTCAGCCCTTTTTTCCGCGTCCAAGAGAACTACGAAACGCGTATTTCTAGTACAGAAAATAAACCGAGCACTGCAAGCTTTAACTAAACTCACTTTCATTTCGCAATTAAGACACAAAAATGGTAGTATTTCAGAAACTAGTCCCAAACGAAATGCTCGACGCGATAAGTTACATTAAATCTAATCCTAGACAGCTACTTCGAAGTTTGCAATTCTGACAGAGCAAGCCTATTTTTTTATTTTGCTGAAAAAAAAAATGTCTACTTGCTTAAAGCTTTATTTTCCAATTAATTAATGTCAAGTAGATGGTGGTTGGGTAATCACCCTCACAAGATCTCTGTAAGTTGAGATAGATGTACGCGTTTTACACAGATCCACTTTAATAAGAGCACAGAAAGACGATACAAAATAAAGGTGTTTAAAAATTACTTCTGGTACCACATTTTGCCTCTGGTACTCTTTACAGAACAAAGGAGATTCAAAAAATGGCCTCTGGTGCCTTGTTATTGTTAACAAAGTTAGTTATTTTCCATTGCTCCAGAAAAGAGGCTTTTTTTTTCATTCCTATGAAGAATGTTTCTTGTTTGTCGAATGTTGGGGGAGGGGTATTTTTACCAATACTAATAGAGCCGTAAGAGTCTCGTAAGACGGGCGTTTGGAAGATGACTTTAAAATTATATAACAAGTTAACGGAGGTTATCTTAAACGATTATTCAAAACAGACACATAAATGGAACAATATGTATAGTCTAAAGAAAACATTCTAACATCCGTTTTGCTGGCCATAATAGATAGCAAAATACTGAGCTTCCGAGTGAAATATTTGAAACATTTCGAAAGCTTAAATTCTCATATTTAAGCTTCCAGATTCAGTTTAACTGATGTCTGTGAAAATCGTCGATGGACTTAACAAAAAGGTAGCTTTTGAGCGTCTGTTTGTCCTCGTAGTAGAAATTTATCTTTAAAATACTTATAGAAGCCTTCACCGTAGAATAGTTAACGTTAGGGTAATAAACTTAGTGTTGGCACCTGTTTGGCTAATGCCTACTGATTACCTTAAGTGAAAAACCAACACTTTAAAGATAACTATCTCTCCTTTTAGTTTATCTGCTCCTCTAAGTAGCTCATCTAGGAAGCAATTAGATTAATGTGCAAATACGTTTGACTATTTTAATGCTATCACGCAAACAAAGAAAATATTACTTTGAAGGGAATCCAACAGTACCAATCTGTTGTACTCATATGTATAAGGCACTCAACTACTCACTTCCATAGATCGTCGAATTCTCAATCATTCGGTCTTTTCATGTTACTAGCAGTATTATTACACAAAATCTTTTTCCTATCAGTAGATTAGGGAGCTGCCACTACTATAACAGCTACCGTTTCAACCCACATTCATAATTCCAAGTACTGACATAAATTTACGACCGGGGGTGAAAATATGGACATGAGATTAAAAAGCCGCTTTTTAGGATAAACGGACTAGTTAGTGCGTTTACACTAATTTAGAATCTTTAACACGCAGTAAATATGGCGTTCGTCTCTTCTACTTGTTGCAGTGACCCTGTGTAACCGAAGAAAGCAAGCTGGAGAGATACGACTTCCTAGGCGCTAAGCCATTCTTCTTATCAAAACATAAATTTGCATGCTAACTGCCGCATCACGATGCGTAGTATCGTTTGAGGTGTTATAAAAGCTGCGCAGTTTTAAGTCATTCATTTTTCAAGTGAATTACACCACGTTGCTCTGGGTTCAGTCATTTTCATAGCGGACAATGACTCGTTTTCTCCTATTTGCTCTTCTGGCAACAATTATATGCTTTATTGCGAAGACCTACCAAGTAGAAGGACAGCTTACTTATAACTGGAAGAAATTCAATCGTCCGTCGAGTGGCCGTAGACTGCCAAAAAAGCCCGGACGCTCAGTATTTAACGTAAGTATTGTACCAAGTAGTATGTCACACTAATTCCTTGAGACATTGCCTGGGCATCAGTGTTTTTTTTTCCTCGCCTAAAAACGGTAACACCATAGTTCTTCTGCCGGCCGAAACCAAGAGCGAAACTCTTGGCGTGGGTCTCTACAAAGACTTACATGACTGAGACCGGCAGCCAGATTATCAAGACGGCACTATTGAATTTAGAATTTCAATCAAACTATGTCACTTATTAAAATGGGACTGTTCAGGAAATTCTTTTCAGTAATGATGCTGATGATTTGTGTTCCTGTAACTTACCTGTTGAGAAATGAAAGAAGTTAGTATATTCTTCTGCTCGAATTTCAAAAGTGACGAAATAATGGAATTTAATACCCTAATCAATGTTGTGAGGCACAGTCCCTTGAAACAACCATTTGGCAGCATGTCCATACTGCACATGCGCATAATCTTTTTTTTCTTCTTTTTCTTCTTCTAAAGAGGGCGTACATGGTTGAGGTATTCTTGTTTTTGATTTGGCTGCCGTTCGTACATGAGTGTTTCTGATTTCAGCTAAACGAAAAACATAGATTAGAATTTTCAGTTTAACAGTAATATAAAAGAAAACGCCCTATTTCGGACCAGCTGGCTAAGATACAAATCCTTCCTTCAGAGGGAAAGAATATTTCCCATTTTATAATGTTTTATATGACGCGGGCAGACTGTCGTTGATACGATCACGTGACCAACCAAACTATTTAGCATCGACTCACAGGCACAACGATAAAGATTTTTCTTTTTTCTTGGCTTATGTTCGGGTTTTGTGTGTGAAAACGAAACGTAGTACACAACGGTCTGTTTCAGTGCGGGCCAATGAATCCCCTGGATCCAGTATACTCGCCTCAAAAGAGCGCTTTACCGCCAATATTTTGGCTTCACACAAGACTGACATGTTGTACATGAACTTAGCATAAGCACTTGTTACTGAGTACCATCCATGATTACATGGCGGTGGGGAACGCCAGGTAGGTGAGGTAACCCCATTCTCCATATAGTCTCTCGTTTTAATTTGATTGCATTTATATGGTAGGTGGGGTGGTTTGGGTAGCCCGGTCTTCCAGACTGGGTAACCTTCTCAGCTGTGGTCAAACTTTGCCATGTGAACGTTTCAAGGTGGGGTAACCCGCCTACCCGGGATCGGATTCGTGATTCATCAAATTCGCGCTAAATTCACTTTGGCCGTGGCAAAGACGTACTTAGCGACCATTCAATAATCTCGAGAAAGTGTACCCCGGGATGGCGGGGTCGTAAGATTGCATGTAAAAACGTGGGTTGTTTTTTTCACCCCCACCTAAGCGTCTTACCTCACTTACCTGGGATCCCATGTAAACAGGTTCTTACTTATATGTATCTTGTGGTCTATAAGGATTTTTGCATAATCAAAAACAAGAGGAAGCACGTTTAAAGTTTCGACAATATTTTTTTCTCAAAATTTCTTAAAGGAACATATATTACAGTTCAAGTACAAATAAAGAGAACTTAAGGATTAAAAGTGCAAGCTTGGCGTTTAGAATCCGTCCGAATAGATTGGGCTACAAACAAACGAAAACGCAATCTAGCTTTGGGTTTGATTTTCCTGGGAGAACTGCAAACTCACGCATTATGGGCGATTCAATTCCTCGAATTCGCACAAGTGAGCCTGCTAGCAGAATAAATGTGCCCTTTGTAGTTTCACGCGGTCACATGGTACAAAAACACTTTGAGAGGACGCAATTGATGTCGCAGTGTGACTTTAAAAGAGAAGAAAATTAGCATGTCAGGTGATGCTCTCTCTCTCCCTCTGTTTTGCTCTTCTTGCCCCATTGTGTCATTTGCAGCCCAACAATACAAGTGTCCAGTGAATGTTACCTGAAAAGGGCCCATTGGCCAGTTAACTCATTTTAATTAAAATATGAGTCATCTGTCACAGCCCATTGAGTATTTTATTTGCCGAACTTGAATTTTATGATTTAATCTTTTAGAGTTATACAAGAAAAAGGGCCATTCCAGCTGGAGATTGTAAAAATGAACACCAGAGTGCCAAACAGAGCGAACAGGAGACGGACGAAACCACACGACGAAGGCTAATGTTCATCACAAAACTCCTCCAATCTCTCACCTAAGTCGGCTCCATGAGAGTGTCTAATCCAGAACTCAGATTATATTGAAGTTAAAAATACCCATAACAAGCTGAATAATAAAAACGACTTTATTTCGTTGTCAGTTTATTAGTTGAATGCAGCGAAAACTAATTAAATGTTTTACCTCACCCTCTATAGACGAGCCTGCCACCTTGATCGTGTTCATTCGAGCCAAGCAAAGGCGAGGCTGGCAGATTGCAGCACAAAGTTATTACTTTCTTCCTTAGTCATGATACAGACCCTGAGTGCCCTGAGATGAAGCGCCTTTTTTTTTTTTTTCAAGAGAGAGAAATATGGGGATGTAAAGGATAGGGGAGGACAGCGGGGTGGGAGCACCGGGAGAATAGGGGGTGGGTGGGGTACGGGAAGCGGAAGGAAGGATTTTTAAAAGAGTAGGAAGCGGGAGAAATAGACAGAGAATTATGCAAAAATGCCAAGAGCCATTATGGCTCTTGAAAATGCTTAATATTTCGCAATCGGAAAAGGGCTAAAGCAAGGAAGCTAAGAAATAAGGGGCGGGAAATGAAGAAGCAAGGTGTGGGAAGCGGGAGGTTAGGACCCCCCTTTCCCCTTCTAACGGAGGGCATGTTCATATGCTAGACCCTGAGTATTAGTCCTACACACTCACTACTGAGCTAACCCTTCCGCCAGTTTATTTATGTTTACCAGTTTTTTAGCTGGCTTTTCAGAAAAATGAAAATAGCACATTTTTGATTCTTTAGTCAATGGAAAAATATGAGTGTACATCTTTAGTGTTTCAACAGGGAACAGCCAAGGATCGTGTCGACAGACCTTAGCGAGAAGCTGGCTCTAGGATGTGGGCTTTTGAACCCATTCTCAGTCGCAGGGCACTCTTAAAGGTGCGGTAATTGGTGCAAGGTTTCTCTCATCATGACCATTATAGTCTTACGAGTTGTATAGCGCTGTTTATTGTTTTACTACCCGCGCTCTCAACTTGTCGAGGAACGATTCTGTTGCAGTTAATTTTTTGCAGAAGATAAAAGAGCCTTTAATATAGTTCGACTTTGCGTAACAAACACTGCAAGTTGAAACAAAGATATATTGTTGAGGGACAAATTGTTCTCAACGAGTTGTACGAGCTACACTGATTTCCAACAATGTTAAGCGGAAAGTTGCATAAATTTTCTGCCCGTATCACCGCACCTTAACTAAAAGTGAAAACAGACTCAGGGGACGAGAATTATACTTTCGACTGGCTGAAAAAATGAATTTGTCTTACTCATCTCTCCCAGACTCTGAATGATACGGCTCAAGGACCTATGACCGATTAATTCAAAATTCCTATTACATCAGCTTACAGCTTCCCAAGCCTCGACTGCATGAACTCATTTTAATTTACATTTTTTTTTTTAATCAAATGTTTCAAACTGAAGCTGGAAAACATTCTTACTGAAGTTTTCTTTTTAATATTAGTTTTGATATGCTAGCATGGACTAATTTGTTAAACCTTATTCGCTAGCAAAATTTGATGCTCGATTTTCATAGGCTGATTAACTGTCCGATTTCACCTGACCGATTACAAGCAGCCTCTAATGATCATCGGACAGGTCAAATTGGAGTGTTCTGGTGCTGTTAAACAGCCAAATTAAGCAATAAATCAAGGGCTTTTAAGAACCAATCAGATTCGAGCGTTTTGTTATAGACGCAATTATGATTATAATTGTTATTATTATTACGATTATATTATTACTATTATTAATAATATCATAATGATAACTATTATAACTATGCTATATTTATAAAGCTCTCTTGAATAGACTTTACTTCTGATAAATTTGACACTTTCTCTGGTAATTTTTATTAGCATCATAACCTCTTTAATCTTTCGATGTCCTCCCGAGGCAAAACGATGTTAATAATAATGGAAACTTTATTGTTGTTTTTGATTGTACAATTGTAAATCTCGCTACGTGTAGGCAATTTACAATCGGCTACTTGAGATTAAATTACCTTATTACATGAAATTTTGGCGACACTTTAAATTAGCGAATTTAGCGATTTTTCTTAAAATCGCTAAATTAAAATGCACCAAAATTAAGTGTCGCTAAATTTAAATCGTCACTAAATGAACGTGAGTACAGTACGAAATTCCGCCATCTGGTCAGTTCACACACATATGCTATTTGACGGTCAAACGTACTTGATATTCAGGGCGGAAAAACGTTCTGCGCAAGCTTCTGCGCATCCTTTATCGCAGGCTCAAGGCCGGCTTTTCTGTGTGTTGAAGTGTGTTGACTGTACAGTTTGTTTGTTTGTCACTGAGAGAGTTCTGACTAAGACTGAATGAAATGCACAAGGTGTGAACGTTTGCTCCTCGAAAAGACTTTTTACTTTTGTGTGGTTTTTGTTTTTCGCCACTTGAAAATTACTTTGGACTCGGAACAACCAATGTTAAAGGAAAAACGGATCATTCCGTCAGTCTGAGGTGGAATAAAGAGTTTTGAACATTTCCAAAGAGGCGAGTATTTTTTTGATTGTTCATTCGATTTATTTGTGAGTTGATTTCGCCTTCTTTCGCCGGGCTGAATTAAAACCCACTCTTTTTTAAATTAGTAAATACTTTTTCACATGCCCAGATTTATTCCCTTTGTAGAACCAGCTTTATCCTTCTGAGTCTAAGAACCATTTTGTGCGCCGTAAAACTTTCTCGGCAAATACCGGTAGAAGGCCAGTAAACTTTCAAATACTGTAAGTAGTCAGAGTTTTCTTCACTTTTAATTACACAGTTTTGTTTTCCACTGCTCTGTGAAAGTTTCTGTTCTTTATAAGAAATAACTTTCTGTACGCAAATTTTCCATTTCACTCGCTGTGAAGTAGAGGACAACTGCCGGCAGTCACTTCAAAACAATTGACTCTGCCCGTAACACTGAATTGCTGGAGCTGGATTTGTCTGAAGCGAGCAAAACAAATACCCTTATGTGCAGTTTTCTGAATTTTGTAACGATTGGCTGAGTTTAATTTGTTTGAATGAAGACCCTCACATGGACCAGTTATTCACTGAGTTTTTAAAGCGAGGAGAAGAGCTACATGGTGAATCATGGTTTAGCTGCGAAGCTCACTGCAACTGATCTTTTGCTTTTAAGATCTTTAGGTTGGTTGTTTTCGTACAAAAAATTCATTTCTTCATTGTCAGCAAGAAGTTTTTGCAGTAATGTAATTTTAACTTTGTTTGAAGGAAATCCTACTTACGTGTAGGTTTTTGAGAGATGTTATGTATTTTCAACTTGACAACACAAGCATAATTTATATTTAATCGCGAAACGATCAAGTTTAAAAATAAACTATGGTTGCTTTAAAACCGATTTTTGGGAAGATTTTACTAGATGAAGATTGACCTTTTTTCTGCCCGCATATCAACGCAATAACTTCTACATTGAGCATTTTGTTTATATTTTAGTTATCTGCGAAACTACGAGTGTCCGATCGAGCGAGGGTTTTAAAATATCAGCTCGAGTGCGACAAGTTCAGTGCCTTCAAACACATTGTGGGCAAGCGTTAATTTTTTTGGGCAAATCACTGTCCAAAGATATGTTGTTTTTGTGTCCACGGTGGAGCTCCGGACCTTATATATCCAGGAACTTCCTTATATGAACACATTTTGTGAATGCATCTTGAAAAAAATCGGACCTACGCATGCACATTTCCAGTACAACGCAAGGAAATTGATGTCGTTAAAGTCCGTTTTACTATGAGGTATTCTTCGAGAAAATTAAGTAACGACAAGGTTATAACCACAGCTTACAACTTTTGAAGACAAATTGCCTGTTCTTTCCAGGTTATGAGTGGAAACATCTTATTTTTAGGCAATAAAATATTTGAAATCCCGCCATTTTTTCAAACCCGGCCAGGGGATCTGGGCAAAAAAGTTCACGCATGCTCATTACGTTTTTCCGCCCTGAATACTTGATAATAAGAAGGTAACTTCTATCCAAGGCCTTTGATACAGTAAATCATGAAATTTTGCTTTACAAATCAGAACATTATGGAGTACGTGGTATTGCTTTACAATGATTTAAAAGATATCTTTTATGTCGAAAAAAATTTGTGCAATATAATATTTACATTAGATATTACTTGTGGAGTCCCTCAGGGCTCTATGTTAGGTCACCTGTTACTCTTATTATATATCTACGGTCACGACTGACTTCAAATTTGCAGATATAAAACTAGAGAGCTCTTAGGCTTATTTGCTGAGGTTAGAGAAAAATCTATCATAGGGTTTCTAAATTATTGAAATGCGGTTTTAAATATATACCGATATCTCAAACCTTTTTATACCTTCAAGAAGATAAATAACATTTTCTTAAAGTTGGACCATTCTTTATTAAGGATGCCAAACATCATAGAAATCGGTTAAATCTTTCCTATCGAAAAACGCGATTCAAAAACATAACCAACGCGCATATAAATATAGGTTCGGGCCACCTTAACATGGAAATCACATAGACATAATGTTGGAAGGAAAGTGTCTAAAGGGCTGAAAGGGCTAAAGCTGTAATAAATCATCTGTAAGTAACACCAAAGAAAATTTCTCATGGGAGCCCAAGAAAATGAATGTCAAATTTCACAGAATTACATCTTACACATGAAATTTTCAGAATTTTGCCTTTGTAATCACAATTCTTGTGAAATTTGACAGTCATTTTCTCGGACTTCCATGCGAAATTTTCTTTGGTGTTACTACAGATGATTTATTACATCTTTGGCCCTTGAAAAATGTAAAAAAGAATGCAATATTCTTTAAATTATTCTGGTACAAGATTTTGTCCACTGAAAATCAAAATTACTCAATTTCCTGGTGGATATTCCGTCTTTTAAAAAATTTCAATCTTGAGAGTATCTTTCAAATAGGAAAATTTGCAGGTTTTTTGTAAGAATAATGCACTTGAGACGTTCGGAGGTTTTTTATTTACCACATTGCAGGACTAATATAAGATGCTCCATCAGTTTCTAATGTCTTTTTCTTTA